AATACACATTAAATTATATCTACATTACACTACACCTACATAAAATTGAGGAAAGTTCTTGCTAAAAAATCGGTTTAGTAGCAGTCTCAAATGTTTAACCAATTCTTAGACCTAAGTTTCTGTAAAGATGTGTCAGTTAGTCTACTTTTGTCAATATTGACAAAAAAAAAATATTACCATTATAATACATTAGTGTCACGGTAAAACGTTTAATCTCTGATCAACAGACAGACATAACAATGAGATTTACAACTTTTAACACAATACTGAATACGACATTAACATACTCATCGCAATGCTTTGTATAATTGTAAAGGTAATAGTTTTTTTCCTTTATACTATTGGAATTAAATCATTGACATAAATAATACTTGGTTTCTATGAATAATAGGATAGTTGCCGATGTATCTAAACTAGTCTCTAAATCCGAAATAAATCCACTGATTAAAGTCACTTACGAATTCAATACTGTACATGTTTTGAAGAGATTCTTCAGGATAAACATAATGACTTAAAATCTGTCCACAAAACACTAATCACACTGTAAAATACGACCATTATTATGAAGTGGATTAAAACTAACATTCACTTTTCATAGTAAACCGAATATGGAATATTGATTCTAAATCCGCATCTTTCACATTTTGAGGCTTCTTCTCTATACAATCGATGATTACATTTTTATCGCACTTTTGATCTTTCACTTTCACAAACTCACACAACATTGTAGTGCTTTCTATATTTTCCAAATTGTTAACGTAGGGCACATTCCTTTTGGTATTCTTCATATCAGGTAACTGTTCATTCGCGGGGCTTTTATTTAACACTTGGTTGTTCATCACAGTAAATGTGAGTTGAATTATAAGTAATAACGTTATAAATGTCAAAAATCCATAAACCCCATAACTTATAGACACTGATCGATTGTTTCTTACAGGTGATTCCGAGATATCCATATTTTGTAGATGATTTTTTCACACGACCTTACAGTTCACGTTCGCGTTAAATAGTGAACCAATATATCACTTTAAGGCCTCTCAAATTCAACTGACTAAATTTCAAATTATTCACTTCGGCAGTCTTGAAGTGAATTTAAAATAAGCAGAATGTATAATCTTTTATTCAGAGATATGAATTTAACTTTTAAAAAAGATGTCAGATATGTCGAATGTTAAATTCGGTTAACACTGAAATTGTATACTCAGATCCGAAAATCCCGTTACGTACTTATGTTATTTTCTATTGTTTCTGAAATCTTTCCTTGTTGTAACATCCAACCGAACTCTTCGAAGGTAAAAAAATAACTAGTGTAAACGTGTTGTTGATGTCTCATTATGATATGTCGAAACCCAATACAAAATCAATTGATATCTATCTTATCTGATGTTTTCGTTATTATTATCACAGCTGGACTGCCTGTAGTGATTGGGTAGGGAAAAGCGGGGTAAAGTAGAACACTATAAACTAACGTTACTCAATAAATAAACTAATTTACCAACAAATCATATCTTTAAATTTACGTGGACATATGATGTTAGCTAATAACTAAATTATATCCAACTAATGAGTGACTTTTTCAAATTGAAAAATTGATAAGCAAAAAGTTTATTAAGCGTTTTTAAACTTATTTTAATAAATTGGTACTTTTTTCCTCCACGTTCCAATTTACCCTTTTTCCTTATAGACAGTTCATGAACTAAAAAAATTAAGATTTTGTTATTATTGTACCAAAGCAAATTTACCTCTCGTTATTCGGTTGTATGTTACCCAAATTAATTAACCCTAGATAGGTCACCCTATGAGGAAAAAGCCGGCGAGAATAGTTTTGTATTTTTTTACTTAATGAAAATACAGCCGAATGGCTCCTGAAAAATTAAGTGTATTTTTCAAACTTTTAAAAATTTTTTAACGCTTTCAGAAAGTATTAATAGATCATGAAGATAAAAATAAATAATTAATTGTAAGTTAAGAAAATCAGTTTACAGTGGTTTCCTTGTTAGCTGATCTAAAGCGTTAGCAGATATTACGTTACAATGTTGCCAAATGTGAATTTAGGTCAGCTCAGATAAATTCGGACTCAGTCGTATTCCCTTGCTTTCAAGTGTGTTGAATGAGCAAGTATTGGTTTTAGGTTCAAGCCGGTAAAAGATGTAGCAATGTTGCATCTTAAAAACCATTGCGGCTTTTTTCTCATAGTGTGACCTATCTAGGGTTGAATCTTTTGGTCTGTCAAAAGATTTCAACCAAATCCTTGAAAACTAATTTTTTGTTATTCTAATTTGAAATTTATATACAATAGAATATAAAAAAACAGGGATGTGTCAAATTACTTAATATCGAGAAACATTAAAAATAATTTTATTATAAAATTAAAATTGTAAGAATATGCATATCCTTGTTTGCTGTTGAATAAGAATAAGATAACCGTACATGAGTTAATAAGATAGTCTAAATATAGATATATTAATAAAGCCGATGTCTTATTGACTTTCGTGTAAAGCAATCAGACTACTGTTGTTTTCGAGATAGAAAAACACGACAACAAGTGTTGCGTTAACCGAATATTACCGATCTTTGCCGAAGTTTAGTTGACTAAAACATGATTTACGCGCCATAATATAAAGTAATTATGTAGGCTATATTTTTGTTCTTTAGTGTTTTTCAGTTTTGAAAAAAAAAACTTTGATAATTTATGAATAATGATAACGCATAGTGGCAAATTTTGAAAGAAAAAAATTAGTATACAGGCTATTCAAACATTCATTATATCGTTGTCCTTTACATTATGAACGTTCGGAAGGTAACGGAATTATTCGGCTGGTTTCGATTATTTTCGGCTAGCATAACGCGTGTCGTATTTTTGTATTACAAAAATATCTTAAAGGTCAAATCATTCATCAGATACTTTAAATTTCTGAGTAAAGATATTGTTAAAATGTTAATATTTGTTTGCATAAAATTCGATAAACTGTTATAGATGACAAAATAAAATTTTTGTGCAATTTTTATTACAACTTTACATAAAATGTCACAGTGTGATTATTCTAATCATTCCTAATGTGGCCTTGTCGATACGATGTCCTATTATAGTTTAATTGGCTTACATGTGTATTCATAAATGCCATAAGTAATACAGTAGTACTAATAAATGTGTCATGAATAACGGGAATTAACCGATGGACGTGATGGTAATTATATACTGTTGCTTCTTCACCTCCCTCCCACTTCTCTGCAGTTACTACCGTCATACAGGAAAAAAGCTGCTTGCTCGGACCGGGAGTTGCATCTCGGTCCTTTTGGTTATGCTTTAAAATGCTTTATTATTTAAGCTATGAAACACACTTGTGAGTAATTCCCAACTTTTTATGCCTGTTCTTATCGTGGCTTTCCGTGGTCTGCCGTCCTTCTAGCGGCCTCATCAAAGCACTCACAATAATATATGTTAATGTCTCGAATACTGATAACAACATTATTTTGTTTAATCAACAATGCGGTCAAAGTGGAATTCTTTGGAAATAATATACAAGGAAATATGTAATTAACTAATATGTCCGTTATTCCGAAAATTTAAGGCCACTTTTTCATAAAATAGTACCTTACCGTAAGAGCCAGCCCTGTCATAAAAATTGTCGCCAGGCTTACGTCCATCTGTTCCCCTTTTGAATCAGATTTCCGTTAATTTTTGACTTTAAATTTGTTGCCGAAACTCTTGCGTCTGTCTGTTTCTGAGAAACGGCAGATATATATACATACATGAATAATTTAGACCATCATAAGCAATTCTGTCGTCAGTCTTACGTTAATTTGGTTACTAAGGAATGAGCCAAAAACCTAGATTAAATTAAGCTAAAAATGTTTAAGTTAGATTTATCAATTCATTTTTTTATTTATTATTCAAACACTTTTTGAACCAAAAAATTAGTCAAACATTAGACAAGATTTTTAATAAAATTCGACTCATAAAAAAACATCCGAACGAGACGAATAATATGAATTGGTCACCGCCAATTTATCAGCTATTCCCAAAAGGGTAACGACTCACTGGCCTTGTAATATTGTAGATGGAATGGATTTTATTTTGAAGCTAGTTCATAATTCTATTCGGACGAAAGCGCACGTGCTGAGAGTGCGGGTGTGTCATTACTGTGTTTATGATTGAGGAAAATTGTTGTTTACGGTAAGTTTGATTTAATATTATACATTGCGTTAAATTTGTGTCATAACCTCTTCTTCCGGTTTATGGAAACAGTAAAAATGTTATAGTCAGTAAAAAATACAGTGAAATCTCTATTATTTGGGGCTTTGAGGTTACGATCTCTTCAAATTATCTAGCAGTTAAGAGAACGGCACAAAATAATCGAAAGTAGGTAGATAATAATCAGTTGAAAATCACCGCGTCATTTGATTGGGTCAAAGTTCGAAATACCAGAGATAAGTGCATTAAAGATTTCACTGTATTGCAAGAACAATTATATCGATAAAGTAGTGTAAATCAGTGTAACTAGCATAGATAAAGATATTTTAATTTTATTAAAAAAGTTTCTTATTTCAAAGGCTATTAGGCTCATTTTTATACAGAGAGTATTACTAATAATAAATATTGTAAGAAATACAATATGTTCTTTAGGGTCACGGAAATCTCCAATGCTAATAACACGGATTTGTATTATCCTTGATCAATATGCGTCATATTTTTTTGACTCGTGTACGACTGATATTTACTAAATATGTCCGTAACATGAAATTAAAACTAACAGGAAATATATTAATTTCGCTTAGTAACGCTTTCGATTGATTGTAATTACCTTTCATCCTTATTAATTAACAAATGAGGATAAGAACTAATTAGGGATAAGTTACATGTCCGTGAAATATTTATATTTCCATTATTATCTTTTATCAAAAAGTATATATTTTACCTATCCTGGTACATTAGACAATTTGATATGAAAGTATTTACATTTAAGTAATTTACAATTGTTTTTTTTTTGATATTTCAGGCCATGTCTCATCAATTAAGATCGAGTCAGCTAGAAAGCAAATTGAAAGGATCGAGTTTTGAGAGTGCTGCTAACTTTTCTGATGGAAATAAATCTGTTAAAAATGGAAAATTGAATTCAAAGTTAAGTCTTACATGGATTAGGAAGAAATTAAAGAAACAAAGAGAATCAAAATTAAATTCAACTGATTGTTCTGATACAGAGGCACTTGATACGGATGATGAAAATTTTACAGCATTCCTAGAAGCTCAAATACATAAAAAAGCTAAACAATTTAAATTTCAAAAACATCACTTTATTGATCAACCCAAGTGTGTAGATAAGAATGTATCAACAAGGATTTCAAAACGACATAGAACCATTTTAGATATTCCGAAAAAAAGATTTAGGAATGTTGAAACCGTTACGGCTATTTTATCTGAAAATAATCAATCAGATGATTTCTATAAACAGTCAAAACTAGATTTACCGAAGAAGTTTGATCACGCAAATTTAACACAGGATACAGAAGCTTTAAGACAAGATAACTATTCTAATTTACTAACAAGGAAAAGAAGAAGAATCAGATCAAATTCATCGTCAAATTATACAAGTGTTGATGAAAACACAGAGATCGAGAGAAACAATATATCGACGACTTGTTCGCATTCAGCAAGTGTACATAATGAAGAAACTAAAGACCTTACAAATACACCCGTAATGTTCAATAATTCATCTGAACAACCCACAGTATTACTTTTTGATGAGAAATTAAATACTACTCAGAAAAATATTCAACCCGATCAGTCTAACTCTACTGACATGGCCCAAAAAACAATCTTACCCGTTCCAGATTCTTCAGCTTCTAATTTGATACCAGATCCATCAAATAATATTCATGTTATAAATGACACAATTGAGCCACTTTCCTCGTGTACTGAGAATTCGGTGATGAATAATAATTCTGAATGTATTATACTTACTGAACAGAACAGTGCACCAACATATTACACTAATAATCAGCCATTATTTCCGAACTCATTTGAAACAGGGAATACTAATACGCAAAACTATTTACCTATAAATACTTTTTATGCCTACGTAACTCCTCCAAATCGTAAGTATATACTGGTTTTATTTTTATCTATATTCTTTCATGAAATTTCTATAATATCTCCTGTTTCAAAGTAGTTTTCAAAACAACCGTATAAAAAGATCTTTTGGTAATTGTGTACATTAGCCCCCTGCACTCTTCTTCCCCCACGTTGCAGACCATCATGATTTGTACTTACATCAATCAACAATGTAATTTGAGCAATAAGGATATTTTGATATCAATGTTAATTTTTGCATATCCTTGTTTTATCTCACTAAATTCCAAAATTCGAAACATTCATTTTGCCTCATGAATATGTTTTGCTCCAAGTTCTTCTATTTATATGTCGTACTTACATACTCTTTCAGAAACAAGCAACTTTCTGGGACTAAGAGTCGAACCTGAATCATTTCGATGGTCTACCACTTAAGCTATCTCGTACTTGTGTCTTATTTCTTACTTTCGATACCTGAACTCATCGTGGTTCTTTTTATTTACAGCAATCATAGAACTTTCTCAAAAAATTGATAGAATTCAAGAAATGCTGATCACAGTAAATGAAACCTTGAAGCTCGTTGTCGAGTCTCAGAAAAAACTAGAAGATACGCAAGATGATATTAAAATAGAACTGAACAATCTTAAAATTCAAACTTTAGCTTATGAAAATAGAGAGAATTGGTTGGCAGAGAATGGTATCATTTTGCCCATGAAAACTAAAGAAGAATTCGAAAAGTTTTGTGCGTTACTTGAACAGTCATCAGAATGCCGTCAAATATTTGTACGTATTTCAATCTATTACTTATTTTAAACTATATTTCAAAATATAATGGTATTTAATTTACTTTGTATTGTTTCAGGAAATTTCTATCCATTTTGCAATCAATTCTAAAAGATCTCTGACAAGAAACATTGCTTCAGTCATTCGAAAATACTTCATTCCCAAATTAGCAAATCATTTTACAGCTGTCAGATATGTTAAGGACAAGGATGTATTGGCAAATACCTCTTTCTACAAACATTTATTAAGTAAATTCTTCCTATTCATTCCTAATGTTACCTAATAAATCCGTTCTAATGAACATCTGATTAATAGTATATTTTATTTTTATTTCAGAAAACTTCCTTGAAAAAAGTGCCGATGGTCTCATCTTTCCAGGATTGACTGAAATGGAGTTCAACAAAGCTCTTGGAGAGGTTTTATGTAATGCCAAAGATTCAAAAAAGAGAAACAAGTAACATAATATTCATTATATATTTCTGTTTATATTAATTATGTTATTATATTTTTTCAAAAAATATAATATCTCTCTGTACCTACTAGTAAAGCACGTTTACTAGAAACATCTATACATTAAAATACTGTATTGTAAACTAACATAGTACTTAATAATAATATGTACATAGTGTATAATGTTGTCAGTAGTTCCATAGAAATATAATGAATGTCCTCAAAGTTCTCAGAAATAATTGCAAAATGAGTTCAAATCTATTAGTATTAATAACAGGAAGTATAAATAGTATATTATTTATGTATATGTAGGAATAAAGTTTTTCTGTGTTTTTACTTGTTTCATTATCATATTTTGATGTAATTTTTATTAATAGATAAATTAAACTCATTAGCATAGATATGTGAGCCACTAATCTCTATTCAAAATGTAACTATCAGGAAAAAGGTAAACTTGTAACTGTTAGAGAAAATATAAGATAGAGTTGTAACTGATGGAATTGTCTCAAGATAGATATATGTTTGATAGAATATCTTTGCAAGAGATGGAAAGATTACTATAGATAATATTACAAACCTACCTCATACATCTCTATCATTTACAAGTCTACCGAAAACATTTATGTTGCTCGCAAATAATTGACAACTTTATATCTTATCCATACTGTGAAAGTTTTATTTCATTTATAAATTCGAAAATATAGCATTTACATTTCTTTTAATCGTCTCATTAGTAGAGGTGGGTACTTCATGGTAATGAAACGATTTTAAGTAGGATTAAATGTTATATTTTAACATTCACGCTTTGCATCAACATGAAAATGCATAATAGAAGACACATTCTCAATAGAACTAGGTACTTTTTCAATGCAATCAATGATAACACTTGTAGAACATTCACTTCCTTGATCTAACACAGTAAATTCACAAAACATTGGAATCCTTTGGAATTTCTGTTCCATTTCTTCTGGTTTCATATGGTTCTTAATAGTTGTAGTCTGTAGATCTGCATCCCATTCCTTCTTATTTGTTAGAAATATTTGCCACGTTAAATATGTATTGAAAAATTGAAAAATCAGGAGCGTTAATATCATTGTCACGATGAAGCATCGATAGTTTTTTCGACTTGTCAATTTATTAGGTAACATAGAATATTGTTGCGTAGATAAGTTAAATGCTTCCATGATCAGCTAGTGCACTCCGTAGAACTCCAGTCAAGACGATATACTATTGAGTACTGTTCTAATTTTATTCACAAGCTCAATTGTAAATACTTGTTAATGAATTTTACATTAATTATAAATTGAAATGTGTAACAATTACAATATACAGGAGGTTATTATTTAGTTGAGTATAAAAATTCATGTTTTTTCAGTACGTATTTGGCTATTCTGATTATACTTATGAATTAATAACAAATTTCAAACATTGTAGACCTAGAAAATACTTTTGGACTTGAATTGACCCGCCCATAACCTATAACTCGGACACTCTATAAACAACATGATTTATAACCTCTCATGTTTGTCAATACTATTTTCGGTGATAGATTGCAATTACTTACCCTATGTATGACGCAAAAGATGTTTGAGTAACAACTAGACATTGTACGTGTAGATACATAAATTAAAGAAATAATGAGTAATAAAAACACCCACAATAGTAATTAAACAGGTTAGGTCATGCTCATACACTTTTCACGTGTTTAATTGATACTTTGATTAACATTCTATTTTGCAGTGATTTACAAGAGTTTATTTTTATAATAAATCACGTTATCTGTTACCTATTGCATCAAGTATGGCAAGAATTTATTAAACTTAAAAATAATCAGGTTAATGAAGATAACATTAATTGCTGATAATTAGCAAAAGTTTATATTAACATTATTAGATAAGTTTTAATATCAAGTATTTATTCGTTATTTTCATTCGAAATTAGGGAAGTTTATAGAATTTAAAATTAGATCATGATTAAAAGTAATTAATATTGTACTTAAAAAATCAAGTACTTCCTCAGCAACCTTTGTAATACCAGTTAATTGGTCTTGGTGATAGAAAGATTAAATCTTTGAGCTCATATGAATCCAGAATGTCATAATTATTATTTATTGTTTAATTAATCTATTTATATCTTCTTCTGGTAACCAGTTTTTGATAATTTTTTTTTTTAATTACGTATTATTAGTTGCAAGGGGGGAGTATATATAAATTTAATAATATAATAATACCACAGTATTAATATGAATGTAAAAATTTAGAAAAAGTTTTCTTTCCAAGAGTCAATCTGTAAATTTAAAAGTGAACATCATAACAATTAAATCAAGGCTTTTTTGTACGTTAATTTAAGAATGAAATTTGTTTTATTAAGGGGGCTGTTGGCTGACCATTAGTATGTTGAAATGATTTATAATCGATGTATATTGACTTCAATTTAGCCTGTCTCCAGATTAATTTGAACCAAAAAATTATTTTAATTAAAATTGTAAAGTGTTCATTTGACATTAATTGCATAAACTTTGCATTATTTTTTTTTAGCTGTATGATAATTATCAATCGACTTTCATACTATTGTTTTTTGTAATATCCCCTTAACCTAGTAGTTACGGAAATATATAGACAGCCATCTTTGTCATTTCAAATAATCTCATTGGTTTTCAGGATCACGTGGTCAAAGAAAGAAAGTGAGAAAAGAAAGAAGACGGACAATGGAGAATTTATCTTCATGAGAACACCAACAAGCTTGAGCCAAAAAAGTAATTTACTTGTCCAGCGATTGAAGAGTCGTCTTTGCAATATATAAATTGCGAACTAATACTGGAACTCATGTGCTGTCAATGTCTATTTACCAATCGCTGTAATTGAGGTTTTTTTTAGTGTCCTTTTGTGACTAATTGACAATAATCTGTTTGTCTTTTTATCGAAAAGCAAATCGTATATTTTTTTACAATTTAATCGCTTTTCTAGGCAGTACAGTACCGGACATAAATGCTGTTTAATTTTTTGGAGGTTATACATGTGATTTCCCTATACCCTTTTATAGAAAGTCACACAGCATTTATGACCGGTACTGTATTTAACAATAAACAGTTCATTGATATGAGTGGACCATGTTTTGGATAAAAAATATAACAGTTCCTTATTTTCACTAGAAAAAAAATTATTAAATATTTTTTCTATAGAAAAAAAAGCTTTATTAAAAAGACAAGATGATTTCTTGATTTATTTCAAGTGTTTACATTGTTAATAATAGTTTAATTGCTTATTATCTGTTGAACAAGATTATTCAAAAATGGAACCATACCTAACCTTGACTACTGCTACACTTTACATGCAAGCTGATAATGCGCCATGTGCCAAACACATGTTCATAATTATGTGAATGTGGTGGAAATCAACTGTGTATCAGAGAAAAGATTTAAATGTTTATTAATTATGGGTTTTTTTGTTTACACCGAGTGAAATGTTTTTATAAAAGTTAATAAAAAAATGTCATCCTCCCAAAAAGTATTCGTAATTTTACTTAAAGCTGACAGCAAAAAAGTATCTGAAAAAAAAGTAAGTGACATTCAAGAAAATGAACGAATGATTTTTTCTTAGACATTTGTAAGAAGATTTTGTGTTAATTGTATGAAAAAATAATGCATATTCTGTATTTCAGGAATTTGTTCAAAATCTATCAGATATCCTTACAAATGAAGAAATTATACAAGACATAACACATTATTCAAGAAATCAAGAGCCAGATAGACACCAAAAAGTAACATGGAATACCATATTTATAAAATGTCACCAATTTTTAATTGATGTAAGTAATAATGTCATTAATCAGATAATATTAAAAATGAACACTAATTTTATTAGAAAACTTTATCACAGGAAATAGGAAAATCTGGCCCATTAGCTGCTAAATCATCATTACAATTGCAAAATGATTGCTGTACACTTTTATCAAAGATAGCTCGTCATGCATGTACACCATTTGAAATTTTTTTGAATTTTAAAGATTTAAAATTCATGCTATTTGAAGTATTAGAGAGTGATTTTTATAAAAATGCTTATAATACCTATATAAATCTACTAACAGATGTAGTTTTATCAAATCGAATGCATAGAGTTTTAATTACCTATGAAGAGTGGAGTAATATGCTTCAGATTTTTTGTAAAATGTATGAGGAATCCCATGTCAGAAAGGATGTTGCTTTACAGGTTTTACAACAAACAATATATTATGGTTGTTTACAATCACGTTTAGTACATGATGTTAAACTGATGCTACCTTTTCTTTGTAAATATAAAAATTCATATTATTTTATATAATGTAAACGACAATATTGATAATATTTGATATAATTTTAGCAAATGTCTTCGATGATGTCATCAATGATCCTACAATTTTGCTGAAACCCGCTTACAAATTAATGTACACTGTGTGTACAGAAATTGCAACTGAAAGCAGGAAGGCATTATGTAACTTTAGTGAAAAAATACTTCCACGTATGATTGCCATTGAAGGAGATGCAGATAAATATAAACTATTACTATTTTTTATTGTAATACATCATCCTAATGGTGCTACATCAGATGAAAAAAGTGCATATGCCCACGACTGGAAAGAATGGAAACATACAATGATTATTATTTACAATCATATTTTAAAAAATATTAAATATACGTTTTTGTTTTCAAGCTTCACTGCTTTAGCTAGTGAAGTATTTAAACAAATTCTTGAAGATCACATTTATCGGGAAGAGGCATCTTCTGTTGATCCTGAAACTTCACTACGTATTAAGCGTCAACGATTATCATCTGAGATACAAAAATTACCAGATTTTTTTAATATTAATTTCGACAAAAAAGAAACGGAATCACGATGGTGCATAAGTAAAATATTGAAAGAGATGATAGAAAAATATCCAAATGTTTTAAACAAAAGAGATTTTCAAGTATTGTTAGAATTAGTGAGTGAATTATTTGCTGAGACCATAAAAAATGAACAAGCTGTTGATAGTTTATGTGAACTTTCTAAAACTTTATTAAAGACTGAACATATTTTGTCAGATGGTTTAATGTTTACAGAAATTACAGAAAAATATTGGACTAAAATTCAGCACATATTATTGAGAATATTAGGATTGAAACAAAATGAAAAAGAAGGTCATGAACTCTTGCAATTATTAATCACGAATTTTAATACATTGTCGATTAGTGAGCTTTTGTACTTGTACATAAACAATGAAATTCCATGGTCATCATTTTCCATTAATACATTGTACGTGATATGTCAACATGTAAATATCACACATTATATTGAAGAATACCGATTACCTAATGATCTCGTGAAGAATCGTCTAATTAATTGGATCCTTAATATACCTTCATGTCGAGCGGTAAAATCTGATACAATATTATCATCAGGAAAGGTTCTTATTTATTTAATATTAAAAACATGGTTCAAAGATAATTCTAATGTTTCAATAAATCAAAAAATTTTTCAAGATAATACAAATACGAACGATAACACTTTGTTTGATTTACTGGCCAATATATCAAAATATTATTTATCATTAAGTTTAGAATTAGATATTTTTAAAACTGATGATGTTTCTTTATGTACTATTAATAGTAATGATAATACGAAATTAATTCAACCAATACTTTCTGAAGAAACTTTATCTTCAATCGTAACAAAATTATGTGAATTACTAGATGATCATGAAAAAAATGTTGAAGGAGTTTCAAAGTTAATATACGACTTGAGTATAGTTGCGACGTTTATTTCTAGTTTATTGGAAATAAATGTGGAGAGAAATCACAAAGAATTGGAGAAATTATTGAATTCATTTACTCGATCAATTGCTAGTTTATATAAATTTATTTATGAAAATGATTTACTTAACAGGAAACATATGTATATCATTGACTTAATTAGAGCATTAATAACTCTATATGAAACGCCATACAGCCATACGATCGCTACGATTATTATTGAACAATGTCCTCTGGACTTTTTACGAAAATTATTAGAATTGGTGAATTTTGAAAATAAAGAAGAACTTGGTCGAACTGAAGAAGATCTTGGCATTAAATACTTTGAATGTATTTTTGACATTCGTGATAATTCTCAATGTAAACAAAGAAGTAGACGATTATCATTAGGTCATATTAAAGTATCTGATGACCATGCAATCACTATTGGTGCTCACAAAATAATAGCACTATTTGGATGCATAGACTCTGGTGGTAAAATTTTTGAAATTCAACAAAAATTATTAGAGAATATCCTACAAGTTGAAATATATGCTCCAACAGTGATTGGAAATTTTTGGCAAGCATCATTATTTTTACAGACATTGACAAAATGTCGTGAAGATTTCTTCTCTAAGGAATTTATCAATAAAGTAATAGAATTTTTAAACCAACTAACTCATAAGTGGAAAAGAGACTATAATGCTGTGAAAGGTATAACTGAAATATTACCATTATTCTGTAAACATTTAACATTTGTCGGTGAAACTATGCAAACTATTTTAGAAATATTTTTATATACTCATCACCTTATTCTGGCTAACAGATTCGGATCAGCAGTATGTTTGAGCTTTTTGAAATCTTTACATCAATTCATTCAAGTAAAATCATCATTAGAAATATTATCCAAAGATACTACACAAAAAACAATCACAATCAATGATGTATTATTAAGATATATTGGAAGTGCTTTTTTTGTTGTGCGGTTTGAAACAATAAAAATTATACATGACATATTTCAATCAAAAACTTTAGAGATACCGAAAAAGACTTCATTTTTAGAGACTATTAAAGAGAGTGTTTTAAAGCTGTTTGATATTCAGGATATATCATCTAAACAAGATGAATGGAATAATATAATATCAACTACATTATATACACTTGGAAGCATAATTAATTCTTCTGGTTTCTTTCAAACTAATGTGCTGATTTTCATGTTAAACTTACATGGAGAAAGAGAAGTACCGATAAATATGATACTTAAAACTCTTGATATTGCAGTAAAAAATGAAAATTATAAAGAAAAATTAATAAATATGAATCTTTATACTCTTATGAAAAATTGGATGGATAGAAAATATTCACAAACATTTCCATGGATGATTACACAGTCAACTTCAGAAGAAGAATTTTTTAAAGATCACATGAGTGTATTTATTTTAATAAAACTAGAAGCTCATCAATTAACAGTTATTAATACAATTTGTGAAAAACTTGGATGCCCTTTTCCTGAGGTAATTGAAACCAATTTTTCTACTGTAATAGTTTGGATACTTTCAACTATCTCACAAGCCAGTGAAACTGAATCACAATCACATAAACAATATGCAAGACATATTTTTGAACAATTAAAAAAAAATCAAGATAAATTTGAAGGTATTAAAAAATTATCATATTTAATTGAAAATCAATTAAATAAGATTTTGATAAATATTATTGAACGATTTCATGATATAGAAAATTTTACTGAAATGTTTCATGAACAATATAATTATATACCAAGTATAAATCCACCGAATTTAAATAGTACAAGTGTGGGAAAATGTTTACATTATTTAGAAAAATTATGTCCAGTATTTGGAAATTCGTTAATTTCATATTTAACAAATGATGGATCAAATATATTACAACAAGTTTTATTAATGCTATCCAACAATATTTATGAATCTCCTATGATTGAACATAAATTACTAACATTTCATCAATATGCTTTTTTTTGTAATTATTTAATTCAAGAAATTTCAAAAGTTACTTTTGACACAATGGCAATGTTCTTTTTAAAAGATATTTGTTATACTCTACTGCATCTCATTAACAAAGAAACAGAGAAATTATCAAATATTATTGCAGGATTTTTTTACACAATTCTTAAAACCTCTTTACCATCGAGATCAGAAGAAATCAGCAGAATTTTAGATTTCATTGTTGTTAGTTTAATATCAGCAATTCAAAAAAATAAAATAGATGATATTGGCTTAAAAATAATCCATTTTTTAATAACTTACTCGACTGATCCAATAAAATTGGCTGTACTTAAATTGGATAAATTTCCAAGTGATTCATGTTTTGATAAAATTCGTAGCATTCATTCTGCTAATAAACATTTTGTCGGTGACCTTAATCTTCAAAAAGAAATAAAAATATTTTTGGATTTAAAAAATGAGAAAATTACAACATATAATTATGAAGTAATTTCAGAATTAGCTAAAGTGTTACATGATAAAAAAGATGAATTAATTCAAATGTATAAAGATCTTGAAAAATTACATGGTTTTACTGAAGATTGTAGATCAAGTTTACTTCATAGATTAATTTATAAATTAATGAAATTAACAGAAAATTCAAATGAAATAATGTTTTTGGAAATTGCCAAGTGTCTTGGTGAATTAGGTCCTGCTAATTTAACGACAATGATATTACATTCAGAAGAACATCAGGCTAAAGAGGATGGAAATTTTGAAGAAATATTTATTTATAAGATAATCATATTGTTAATAAAGTTTCTTGAGAGTAATAATATTCAATTAAAAATGAATAGTGCTAGTGCATTACATCAAATATGTTCGACTTCTCAAGGAAAAAATATATTAACACCAAAATACCTAAAAGATAATGATGAAGCATCAGCATTAATGTTATTAAATTTAACTCAACCTTTTATCAATAAAAATGAGACTATAAATGATATATTACGTTTAAATAAAAAACATTGTAACATATATATAAATTCACAATACAATTTATGGAAAAATATTTCAACAAATTCATATACAGAATGGATTTTAAGTGTATCATGTAAAATTTTACATTGTTTCGATAACTCATATTTTTCAACATTAATTCCAATTTGTAAATTAAACATTGAATTTGCAGAATGGATTTTACCGAAGCTCATCTATCTTATAATTCTTACAGATGATAAAATAGCTGACAGACTTTGTAAATCAATCGATCGATTTTTTGAACAAAATTTTAATTCTTTTAATGATACAATAAATAGTAATCAATTTATTGACTCTTCTAATCATAAATCAATGAAATGTGTCTTAAATGTAATCAATTTCATAAGGATTCAATGTGGTGATAATTTTATGTTAAAATTAAATTATCTTTATGTTGCAAAAGCTGCACAATTATGTTCAGCATATTTTTCTGCAATATTTTATGCAGAACTATACTGTGAAACATTAAAACAATCGATTGATAATACGGATAATAATGAATTTAATATTGATTACATCTGTGAAGAAATTGATATTGAGACTGGTAAAACATTACAAAAAATATTATGGGAAGCATTTACACATATTGGTGATCCTGATTCTATACATGGCTGTGGATTATCTCATTTAAAAAATTTATCGTCACGAATACAGTATTATACATATTTACAACAATGGGATAAAGTTATTATTGCAGTAGATGCAGAATTAAGTTCTGGACTTTCGAATTTTAATGACATGACAATAGCATTACAAAATTCTGGTTTTAATTATTTATTAAGTCGATTTAGCAGTACTCTAAGAGACGATGAAAATATGGATAAAAACATTTATGAAACAGCTTGGCGATTATCTGATTGGAATATTATACCTAACAAAAATTCATCAAAACAAAAAACTAGAATAACTAAGAATCTTATCAGTGATGATCATGACTATCATTATTATCATTATGAAGCACTTAAATCATTACATGAAAATGATTATGTCTCTTTACAAGAGTATATTAATAATGCTAGGATAGGAATAATAAAATCATTCCATAATATCAGTCTTGAATGTAGTGAAACTATTTATCCAAAATTAGTCAAATTACAAATGCTTTTAGAACTTGAGCAAATGGCTGGAACGAACGAAGAAAATTTAGAACAGTTAATTTCATCATGGAAATCACAAAATGTTCCTAATTTAAATGATTTTGTTCATGTTGAGCCAATTTTAACTCAAAGAACTGTTTTGTTTAAAGCTAAATATTCAGTAAACCATCTTGAATATTTAAATGAAGCATTTATTGATACATGTTTACAATTATCAGAAATAGCTGAAATGCAAGGTCATACTAAAATTGCAGCTCGTATATTAATTTCTTTAGCTACAAAAAATAATTTACCAACGAAAATTCAACATCAATTGCAGTATCGTGATGCTTTGTTAAATTGGACAAAAAAAGATTTTGATATAGCTCGATATTTAATGAAAGATTTAATAAATAAAAGTGAATTGGAATCTGGTTTTTATGCTAATATATTAAGAATTTATGGAAATTGGATGGCAGAAACTAAATCAGAAAATCCTCAAAATATTATTGATAAATATTATAAAAAATCAATTGATATTCTTTCGAGAATTAAAGATCAATCAATTGATTGTATAAATAATTTAAATGATACTTATGCTGCTTTGGCTCAATTTTCAGATACGCAATATCAGCAAATAACAGCATTTATGAAAACTCCTGGATATGAGAGTCTTAAAGAATGTACTCAATATGCAAAAAATAATATTACAAAAATAACTAAAAATAAAGATGTTAAAAGGGCATTAGATATTTTTAAAAAACAAAATCAAATTGATGTTGCTGAATATACGAATATTAAAAAAGAACAAAAATTTTATTTAGAACGTGCTATTCAATATTATCTTACGACATTGGAAACTGGAGATAATCATAATTTTTTTATATTTAGAATTATTTCATTGTGGTTGAATAACAAAGACAATGAAACAGTGAATGAACTTTTTGAAAATCAATTGGAAAAAATACCTTGTTATAAATTTATTCCACTAATACCACAATTAGCACCACATTTAAGTGAAACTAGAAATAATACATTTAAATCACAAATTTATCAACTGTTAAAAAGATGTACTGAAGCACATCCACATCATACACTTCCAATACTTTTAGCTCTCGTAAATACTCGTAAAGATTATGATTTTCAAGAAAAAAAAGATACAAAAGTTGATGCAACTGAACGAGAACTTGGTGCAAAATGTTTGATTTCTGAATTTCGAGATAATAAAATATATCCAATTATTCAAGAAATGATAAATGTAGCTGAAGCATTAATTATGTTAGCATATCATGAGTTTAATGATCGAGAAGCTGCACATCGTATACCAAATAATCAAAAAATTAATCGTATTAAAAATTATCGTTATTCTATGGTACCTACAATAACTCCAAGTATTGAACCCACGGGTAAATATAGTGAAGTAATAAGTATTTATAAATATGAAGATTGTTTTGAAGGTGTAGGTGGAGTGAATAAGCCAAAAAAAATTGTTTGTATTGGAACTGATGGAATACGAAGAAAACAATTGGTAAAAGGCAAAGATGATCTAAAGCAAGATGCTGTTATGCAACAAGTATTTACTGTGATGAATCTACTTCTGGTAGCAAGCAAAGAAACAAAACGAAGAAAATTAAACATAAGAACTTACAAAGTTGTACCTCTATCACAAAGATCTGGAGTATTAGAATGGTGTGATAATTCATTACCCATTATGGCTATTCTTAACAGAGACAATAAATTCAGTGGTATGCATAATAAATATTATTCTAATGATTGGAGTCTTCAAAAATGTCGAGAAAAAATCAAGGAAGCAGCAGCAAATAATTCAGTGTTAACACAACGAAAAAAAATTTATTTAGAATGTTGTAAACATATTCATCCAGTGTTACATTTATTTTTTATGAATACATTTCCATCACCTGAAGTGTGGTTTGAAAGACGTTTAGCATTTGTACGTAGTGTAGCTACGAATTCAATGGTTGGATACATTTTAGGTTTGGGTGATAGACACTTTAATAATATTTTAATTGATGAATTAAGTGCAGAAGTTATACATATTGATTTTGGTAAGAATAAAGACTTTTAAATTGATAAACTTTCATAAATGTAATAATAATATTTTTATAATAATTATTTGATTGCTTCTTTTGTTTATAGGTATTGCATTTGAACAAGGCAAAGTTTTACCAACACCGGAAACTGTACCTTTTCGATTAACTCGTAATATAGAAGCAGCAATGGGGGTTTCAGGTATTGAAGGAGTAATGCGTAAATGTTCTGAAGAGACAATGACAGTATTACGTAATAGAAAAGATATTATAATTACACTTTTACAAGTTCTTTTATATGATCCACTTTTTTCATGGATGGTAACACCTGCTTTGGCATGGGAATTACAAAATGATGGAATGAAACCTAAGAGTAAACAATATGACGAAGGTAATTCTTGGTTTAATTTTATGATTGTTTATTTATCAAATAAAAGACTAATGAAAAATATTTTTTCCTTCTCGTAGATATTGGAAATGATAAATTTAATAAAGTTGCTGAAAAGGCATTATTGAGGTTGGAACAGAAGCTTCAAGGTACAGAAGATGGATTGCAAACTAGTATTCCTGGACAAGTAGAACGACTTATCCAAGAAGCCCGTGATCCTGCTAATCTCTGTCGACTTTTTTATGGTTGGCAGGCTTATTTATGAAGGAAAAACCCTGCAAGATATTCATTATTTATTAATATTTTTGTCAAATAAAATGAGATTTTTCTATTATTAAATTAGAATAATTGTTTCATTTTTTCATGAATAAAGCATATTTAATTACTGAAATCTTGTGAAGATATTTTATTTTATATATTTATTTATTACCTCTCAACCATTACTGTCGGACGATTTTTTTACGAGTAATATAGGCTAAGAATTAGAGGGTAGATAATTTCTTTGCATGTTCTCTGACTTTTGACCTCCGTAATTCGTCATGACATCGTCCGACCATCATTTTCAGGTAGTATTTAGAAATTTTAAAATCTAAGCTACAAATACATGTCCGCAGACAATGTTCGAAAAATTTCTTTCACCCTTAAAATCGCCGAAATATTTAGCTAACTCCCTGAAAAAGTGTAACTTTCCTTGTATATTTGCGATTTTAAGGGTGAAATATATTTTCTAAACGATTTTTATGGATATGTATTTGTAGCTTAGATTCTGAGGTTCCTAAAACGTTCCTAAAAAGTTTTTTTAGACAAACCGTTTCGGAGTTATAGAGGCTCAAAGCCTTTCCAAGTAGTACAACGAAGAAAATGGGCCCCCGATCCTCAAAATCGGAGAATTTTCTTATTTGACCTCAAAAAAAAGCAAATACTTGTTTTTATGCTTGGATCATAAAATCATGAATGTCATTAGGAAGATCTTGATGAGACGATTCCAAAACACTGGCTGTTGACTGTGTTTGGTCAAAAAAATCACAAGATATTCGTGAAGAACTGTAATACATAAAAATATGCATAACTTCTATGCTAATGATGCTACGGGGTTGATCGAGGGCTCATATGATAGATCGGGACCTAAGTAAAAAATTCGACCCCCCCTATAGGATATCCCCGTCAAAAATGCCGTATCTCGCATAGTTTCCGAGTTATGAGCGTTTAAAGGTTTTCTTATGTTTCGATGCAGCATAACTTTGTTTTTTGCTTATAACTCACGAACCATTGGACCTACATAGACTATGAGCATATCAATGGATTCGTGAGAGCAAGAGCTTTCTAATGCACTAGTCAGAATTATGATTCGAGCATAATTTATGCTCAAAATAAAGCCATTTCCGGTTCGATAGAATTTTAAGAGTCAGGATATTAATTTTCGGATTTCTGCCCTAATGTCACATAACTCAACATCGTGTCGAAGACTCGAAGATGGTAGAAATATCATTTTCTAACCCACCATTTTTTTTTGCCGGAAATGAAGTCAGAAATCCGAAAATTCTATCGAACCGGAAATGGCTTTATTTTGAGCATAAATTATGCTCGAATCATAATTCTGACTAGTGCATTAGAAAGCTCTTGCTCTCACGAATCCATTGATATGCTCATAGTCTATGTAGGTCCAATGGTTCGTGAGTTATAAGCAAAAAACAAAGTTATGCTGCATCGAAACATAAGAAAACCTTTAAACGCTCATAACTCGGAAACTATGCGAGATACGGCATTTTTGACGGGGATATCCTATAGGGGGGGTCGAATTTTTTACTTAGGTCCCGATCTATCATATGAGCCCTCGATCAACCCCGTAGCATCATTAGCATAGAAGTTATGCATATTTTTATGTATTACAGTTCTTCACGAATATCTTGTGATTTTTTTGACCAAACACAGTCAACAGCCAGTGTTTTGGAATCGTCTCATCAAGATCTTCCTAATGACATTCATGATTTTATGATCCAAGCATAAAAACAAGTATTTGCTTTTTTTTGAGGTCAAATAAGAAAATTCTCCGATTTTGAGGATCGGGGGCCCATTTTCTTCGTTGTACTACTTGGAAAGGCTTTGAGCCTCTATAACTCCGAAACGGTTTGTCTAAAAAAACTTTTTAGGAACGTTTTAGGAACCTCAGAATCTAAGCTACAAATACATATTTATAAAAATCGTTTAGAAAATATAATTCACCCTTAAAATTGCAAATATACAAGGAAAGTTACACTTTTTCAGGGAGTTAGCTAAATATTTCGGCTCAATTAAATTAATTTTCGATCTTTTTGCGGCATCATGACAAGACGAATGAAAGGTCGAAATTAAAAATTGGAGAAATTTCATTTTTCTACACCGATGTTTAGTCCGCGCGTAAACATAGCAATAGACGGAAATGGGTAGGTATTTCTAGTGTCTTCCTGAAAGTGATCATTTCACGAACAATTTCCTTCTTACCTACTCAATTTCAGTTGACATTGAGCTTTGATCTTCCTCTCCGCACAACGCGGGGGGCGTAAAGCCAACTCCGCGAACTTTTTGACTTGAGCCCAGTCAGAGAAAAGAGATAATATACAGAAAAACCATCCCAATGCAAGCTGTTGGACGGTAATTTTTACCTGCTGTTATTATATGTGGCTGGGGATACAAAGAGCAAATGCTAAAATGCCATATGTATCCCCAAGAATTCGTCCAATGGATCCCTATGCGGTGGTTCTTCTATATTATTTCTTTTCTCTGACCCAGCCTTTAGTAGTGTCAATATCTATTTTTAAAAATTAGCGCGCTTACATCAGAATGTCTAGGGATTTTCTAAAAATTAAAGTCCCTAGGGACAAAGTCTATCCAGTGTTGCCAACTTGAGGCAACTATTTACAATGTTTTAATGGAGGGGGAAATCGATCTGGTTTTTTCTTGTTTCGTCGCTTCAGTAGTCGCATGCGTAAACGGCATAAAATAAGTAGAGGGGGCATTATCACCAGAGGAAGTACTTCTCTTCTTCTCGTAAATTCCCAAAGACGACATTTTTTTTTTATCTAACTGTAGTATATTCGTCATTTCCTGAGTGAACAACAAAGAATAAAAACCCAACCGCCATTGCTAGGGAGTTAACTTCAATACTAGGACTAGTTGATTGAATTACAAAACATGGCCACCCTCTCACGCATTGAAAAAACTATTTAGTGATTTTGGAGTAGAAACTTGGGTATATTTGTTGATTAAAGTATCTATGAAAGATCACGTATTTTCAAAAATCTCAAATGGAAAAGAACCAGGTATCAAACATTATTATTGATACAAATCAAGGAGTGCTATGTACAGAGATATTTCAGGAACCAAGGCGCTTAACACCAACTGGGAAAATAAGTCACGCTAAAACTCGTGTATATACACAACGTTATCGTAAAGAGTGGGAACAAATGCCGGATTTTGAAGGTAATTAGTATGTTTGATTATATTAAACAGTAATTTTTATTATTTAGCTTCATAATTTACCATCAAGTATAAATGCGTTTTACACCCTCGTTATATAACTAACTAAACAATGATATTAGAATATATTTTATTCACAATACTTTATTTAATATCATCATTATTTTAATATTTTTATTTTTTAATTTCAAAGTTTTTATTTACATTACAAATATACATATATATATGTGCTTATTACGTATGGTTATGGTCAACAGGTTGGTTAACATCAGTTCCAGATCAAGTAACTCGTGCATTCTGTACTTATTGTAAAAAAAATCTCCACGCTCATCGTTTATCACTGTTAAAACATACATGTACTATGAAACATCAAAGAGCTGCTCTTATGTATCAAACTCAACTTCAATGTAAAGGAGATGATGAATCAAGAATGTCGGGTTTGCAATTTGAAACTGTTGACGTTAATTGCATTAAAAAACAAGAAGTGGAAGATGATGACGACGAAGATGAAAATGAATTTGAGTATGTTGTTGAAAGATTAGACATGGAAGATGAAGAATCTGAGAAATTAGAAGACGAAGAAGTGGAAGATAATCAATCTGAAAGTATTCAGTTTAAACACAACTCAAATGATGATTTACCAGCAAGTAAAAAAGTTAAATTGAATCTAGATGAACCTAAAGATACTTTAGCTCAAGCTATGGCTCATGTTCATGATGACTATCTAGAAGGTAATGATGAATCGAATAATGATCTCAATTTAATATCCCAAGAACTTTGTTCGAAAGAAGAGGTAAAAAAAGATTGTGATAAAAAATTGATAAATCCATCTTTGCAATTAAAATCAGATGAACCAACTACAGAAACAGAGCCAACAAATAACACTGTAACAATTACATCAGTGCAAAATAGAACTATTATGTTATCAACTGGCAAAACAGTGACTTTGACAACAGGAAAATTACCTCCTGGTTATGTGTTAAGTAAAGTTAAAGCTAATCTTCCAACGTTAATTATGACTGGAGCAAAACCAATTACTGCTCGTACAAATATACCAAAATCAACTCCCTCTACTACACCTCAATCATCTTCAACTGTAAATACAAATACACCACTTAAAAAATTAACATCAGTAAAAAATACTACCTTGAAACATACCTGCGTTTCAACTCATGTCCTAGATACTAGCAAAGGACTTCCTATCGGAGGACTTCAAGTTAGTTTGTATAAATTAATGGATGGAAGATGGACGTTTTTAAATGAAAGGTAAATTTATAAAGTTTTACAAAATTCTGAAACATTATATAAAATTGATAAATGAATTTTTAAAATTCTTTTTCAGTACAACATCACCAAATGGTCGTTGTAATGATTTAGTCGATACTACTAAAACTCACTTTACTCCAGGTCGTTACAAACTTCATTTTGATGTTGATAAATATTTTTCATTACGAAGAATAGAAACAATGTTCCCTTTTATTGAAATAGTTTTTGATGTTAAAAATCCAACAGGAAGTTATCATATACCTATTTTACTTACTCCATTCGGATATACTACTTATCGTGGTGTAGATCGGTAGTTCAAATATAAGTGATATTTTTTCAGTTGTAAGTAATAAATTATACATCAAGTACTTTGATTTATTACACATATGTGATCATTTAGATATATTTTTTGTACGTTCAAATAAATATTGAATAAACAAATAATAATAATAATAATAATAATAAAACATCGAAAGCTTACGATATCTTAATATTCTCCAATCTTTGACCTTATATTATCGAATCGTGGCAAGTGTATGAATCAAACAGTGACCTTTAATTTGACATCGTGATGAGAGTTTAAAAGAAAACTACGGGAAAATTTATTTGGTCTCAGGAGAATGGAACAACCTCACATCTCAACACATGTACTTGATACAAGCCAAGGAGTTGCAGTCTCGAACCTTCATGTGTGTCTCTACAAGAAGGTTGATGATATCTGGATTGTTGTTAGTGAAAGGCAAGTATACCTAGACACATTTAAATGATTTAATTTATGTTATTATGGTAATTAATGAATTTATTATTTAAAATAGCCAAACAAATTTAAAAGGACGATGTTCGGATTTTTTGGAAAAAGCTGGACAATCATTAACTGCAGGATGTTATAAATTCATTTTCAATGTGGGAGATTATTTTTCTGCTACCCAGAGGTTATCTTTTTATCCAACAATTGAAATAATATTTGATATACAAAATCCTGGTGAACATTACCATATACCACTTCTGTTGAACCCTTTTGGATTCAGTACTTATCGAGGAACTGCATAAAGTAATAAAAAAATTTTTTTTAATTTTAAAAAATTAATTTCACATTGTTAATTAAATAATCTTTATATTTTTTTTAACACTACTTAAACATTCATGAAAATGTTTTTTTTTGACACTAGTAAAGCTGTAAATAAACTTTTTAAAAATAAAAAATAATAATAAGCAACATTTTGATGTCTAAAATAACTAAAAAATTTATATTAATAAACTTGGAGGCAGATAACTCTTATCAATATTCATAGGTGGTAAATAAGCTTCCTTTCCACCGGAACCTGGACCTCCAGATTTTTGTCCACCTGAGCCATTGCCACTACCTGATGGTTTTTTACCTCTTCCAGATCCACCGCCACCACCACCACCACCGCCTCCTCCTCCAAGTTTTCCGGCTCCAATTGTAAAACTTGCTCTGTTACCATTTTCATCTGCTTCATACCTTAATTAATTTATTAAAAATAAATTAAAAACATTATGATAGCGGATCAGGATGTAAAATTTTTTAACGTCAATATCTAATAGAAATGATTGACTTACTTAACAGATACGGGAAGTCCTTCTGGGCTATCGTAAGCAAGTTTTCCTTTAACAACACGAACTGGTTTACCATCAACTTCTTTAATATCTTCTGTTTCTTCTCTAATAACACCTTCTTCTTGAGGAACTTGAGGAGCTGGAATTGGTCTTGATCCTCCACTTCTACCAACATCTTGTCTAGCACCAACATTTGCTGCAAGTGGTGCTTTTAAACCAAGACCACCAGAATTAGTTGCATGAGGAGGTGCTTTTAAACCTGCTGATAATTTATCCGCACTACAGGTATGACAGGTAAGACTGACGAACATCCATAGGACCTTAATTCAAAAAAATTTATGTCAAAAACTTTATTAAAAATTTTTATCAATTAATTTTTTAACTCTGATGATGATTTAATAAATATTTTCATTTCATTTCAGAATCACCACTGTCACTATCAAATAAGAAAACAGTTCATGTATGTAATAATACAAAATAATTTTGGATTTATAATTAATTTGGGCATGTTAGTCACTAATGTTGAAGTAAATTGTACCACGTACCAATACATATCTAATTACACCACGATACATGATGCTCGGTAATCGATTGAAGCGATCGTCACTTGAAATGACATGGTCTGGGAGACAGAGAGCCGTTTTATTGCTACGGCTGGAATTTAGCAAGTAGCGTTTGATGGTGATATTCTTGGAACTTTATGTAGAATATACAGATATGCTAGTAGAGTAAATGTTGTTACATTTGCCAATCCCTCGCTGGGTAAGGTTTGATGCCATGCAAAGGATCCAAGATGTCAAGTTAAGGTCTCTTTCATTTGTCATTATTCCTTTATGCTCTTCTTTATTTAAGTAGGTTACATGATTTCTGTTTTATATCACGAGAATCATTTGTTTTAAACAGTTACAGCAAGTGAATCTCATTATTTTCAATTTCATACAAACAATACCTTTATATAATGTTATTTAAATCATGAACAAAATGTCTTCAAAGTGTTGATCACTTGCACATCAATCTTATCATCAGACAAGTATCCTGAAAAGATTTTTCTTCGCAGATTTCCTTCTCGATAGGATAATTAATATAACAGTTACTTAATTATCTTTCTATGCGATTAGATAAAAATCGATTCTTGATTTAATTCATTCGGTATACTCCAAATCTAAGTATTTATAAATTAAATACTTAAAGTGTTTATCCGTGTTAAATACTTGAATTTTTAATTTTTGTAAACAACAATTTTTGTCATGAAAATTATTTAATGAATGTAGTGTGTGCTGAAAGAATTTATTTAAATATCATAAACCATTTATGTTCAATATTTAAATTATCTTAATTTGATAATATTAATTATCACTACTATCTCATAACATTGAATATATTATTATTGCTGTACTTTGTAATCAATTGATGTTTTGCATTCAGAAAGATCCAAATGAAGTAAGCAATTATTTTCTAGTACACAGCTCCTATTAAAGAAGTACGGGACATATAAAATTTATTGTCAGTACAAGTTCTCGATCGTCAAATGCCAACATCGTCACGAATGATCGGATTGGATATATTGGAGGGCACACATGATCTCTGAACCTGTAATAGGATGCGTTAGTGTTGTTTGTGAGTTTAACCAGAAGAATAAAAAGGTAAAGTCTCAACTCTGTAAGTTGACATTTTATATGTGAATAGTTAAAAAGCTTTTATACCATCCCACATTCCATGATTTCATGACAGTAGCTGTTGAGGGGCTTCTCAAGAGATCGCGGGAACGATCTGAACGGTAACAATGAGCCGTTACTCTTCTCTTAAGCGAAAACATTCAGGTAAAGAGTCAATACTCATACCTACTTATATTTAGAGACATATAAATTAGTTAATGTAATGTATTAGTTAATCATTTCATTTCTTCTTTTACATTCTATTAATTGAAATCTCTTAATCGATGTCACATTCTTGCTATATAACATAATAGTGCTGAAATGTTCTCAACAAATTATTAATAGCTTTAAAGTGTTGTGAAATTTATCAATTGATTGTTTTATAATGAAATGATTAAATTCATTAGAGATTTAATTTTTTTTTTTTGTGTTTTTAACAAATAGTATAAGAATGTGGTAAGATTTTAATTAGTTGTTTTATATGTAATACAATATATTGAGTAACAAAGTAACAATTGAACAATGTTCATGTTTATGATTGATAGGAGTTATTAAATTTTTTTAATTTTGGTATTTAAACAAATAGCAAATATTATCTGATTTCTGGTTAATGATACAAACAACTGCAATATTATATAAATATCTAAAAAGCTATTAACCACTAATTTCGTCATAATAAATTCTATATCTTTTATCATTGGTTTAAAATTGTTTAAAAAAAGATTTCTAAAGCTTAGCAATATCTCTTTTTAAATTTTAATAATATATAATTTTTTCTGGTATTGAAAGAATCGTATAAATAATAAATAATATCGAACAAAATATATAGAGGTACATAAATTATGTAAAATTAATCTAAAATTTTTTAAAGATAAGCAGAAAAAAAAATTATATCAAAAATGAAATAATATTACGGTGTAATAATTATTTTTTGATTCTAATTAATTGAATGATTAAAATAAGAATAAATTTTATGTGATATAAATGAGCAAAATACTAAATAAACGGCATGATTTAATTTACTTTTAATCATTTTTATTTTTTAATTTAATTTTTTTTTTTTTTATCCTAAGAAAAGATATTTTTTTGTTAATTTACAATTCGAACATAATATTTTTTTAATTGATTCTCAATTTTATTTTCAGTTAAAAAGTATTTGAAGGTCAATTATAATTAGTTAATTACTTTATTTGATGTTTTCAATTGTTTGAATTTTTTTTTTCATCCAGTCAGTTGAATAATAAGATTGCAGTAAAGCGGTGTAAACATTCAGGATTTCAATACTTTTACTTACAATAGGTTTTATAGTACAATCATTACAAGGGTATATTTCATTTTTAAATAAAAAAAAAAAAAAATTAATATCTTTAGATAATTATTAATACACACATATATCTCTTTATCTTTTATCTATTATTTCATACAATTAATTTTGTTTTAATAATAAATTTCTTTCTTTCTTCAGTATGACATATTATAATACTTAGAAACATATTTTTAAATAGTATATAAATATGATTATCATATCGGCAATATATTTTGTTTATTATAAAAATGACATATTCCTATTTTGCGAAATCTATTATTTAGTCATTCATATACTTCACATATATAATAAACATCAAAAGTTAATTTATTTGCATGTCGACGGGTGCAATTAAATGTCATACTTTTACATAAAAATATTTTATATTCAAGCAAACATAGATTTATGCCACTTTTATGATATACAACATATATTTTTTATAAAATAAAACTATTTCTTAGATTTATAAAACCATTTAATCAATAAAATCATCAAATAGATAAATACTAATAAATATCATTAGTAATAAAATGTTTACAACAAAAAAAAAATCGATTTTTTCAAAGATATAAATAAATTTATTAGTAACTCATTTGATTTTAAGGAAAATTCAGGCTAAAAGAGACTTAAAAAATGTTTCTTTCTTTTTTCGGATAAGATATTTTTTTTTGTCGATTTGTAAAAGTGAATTTTGGCAATATTTCATACGAAAAATTAATTACTTATGTATTGATAAAATTACACATAATTATTTTGTGCATTGGCAGAGCAATTGGTTGAAGTGAAAAATAGAGCTGGTGTGAATTTTTTTTTCCGAAATATGATTAAAAATATCCTTTGACTCATTATTAGGCTGATGGGAATATTTGTGAGAATAAAACATAAATGATCTAGTTTATAATCACATTTACACTTGACATAAATATTCGAAATATTTTTAAACTCTATGATATTTACAATTTATATATTTTGGAAATCCTGAATTTTTACTTATTACATTTAATTTAACTAGAAACTTCACAGTTACTAGTTTACATTATAATGTTGTTTAATATTTTTGTTTTTTTTATCTTTATTCCAGTCTCTTAAAATAATCTCGGACAGATAGAACAAAAAGATACACACATACATTACTTTAACTTGTTACACCAGTAAATCATTTTTCATTATTTCCTTAACGATTGATGTGTGTGTGTGTGTGTGTGTTATTTTTGTTCATATAAATTCAGCCCTTTGATAATATTTCATTCACAAACTTTTCTTTTCACTCTTTGCGATTAATTATATTAATAATTCTAACGTTGATAACCACAATAGTAAAAGCATATAAGCTATATTATTAGCTAACATTTTGTATCTACAATAGAATTTTATTTCAATATATCATTTGTTCTGTCAATCATCATCTGTTTGTGTTTTCTTTTTTTATTTTTGCTCTTTTTCTCTGTAACGTAAAAATGAAAAAATAATATTTAATATATTATTTTACCAATGAAAAATATTGTAGCAATATTTTTAATTTTTTTTTTAGTCCAAAAATTTATCATCTAATTTGTTAAAAAAAGCTTACAATAAATTTATTTAATAACAAATATCGAAATCTTGACTAATTAATAGAATAATCAATAAGCATAGAACTAAAATTGCATATTGATATAATTATTTTTATTCTTTGTTTATAAAAAAATCTTCTATTTAAAAAAGTTATCATTTATCGTTAAAAATGATTTTTTTTTTTAGTAATTATATAGTTTTTTTAAAATTATGACAATGCATTTTATTTCTATCTATTTTCTTTTTCATTTCAATTCGATTTTTTGGCTTATTTAAAAACAGAGAAATTATTTAGTCCTCACGCAGAAATAATCTTAAATAGAATATGTGTCAAAGGCATTGTTTATATTGTTTCGTATGAGAGTTAAGCAAATGAAAAATTTTCAACAGTAAGACTACAGAGAGATTAGTCACCTAGTCTCAATTAGCAAACTGGCTAAACTTTTTTCTCTTCATTATTATGATTTTCTATTTAGTCTTCTCTTTTTTTTTTATGAGAAAATAACATTATGAATTATATGTTCTGTCACATAGCATTATTCATCAATAATGCTTTTCTTGTAAACTACACTGTTGCTTTTGACTGCGTTACTGAACAACGCAACATTTGCACTTGGGTTTCTTTTTCAAAGTTACATGTTCAATTTGTGATGCATCTCCAGGACCTTGTGCTGTAACTCTACTGACTTCAACCGTTGCTGTACCAGTTTTCGAAGCAACCTGTGAAAAAAATAATTAAAATTAATATTTAAATTAATTAAAAAGTATTCTCAGCACTAATTTAGTAATTAACCCTTATTTTTATTATAATAATTTACAAGTTCAATATGGCCTATCACTGTTTCATATTTTTGTGTTTAAGTGTTTAACAAAGAATTACTCATGAATCTTTTATTACCAAACTGGAACATTGACAACTTATACCAACTACATTGATTGATTAACTTCAGAGTTTCTATCATCAATAGGCTAATATTTTAAAATTATAAGGTTTGATTGTATAAATTAATGAACAAGTTAAACATATTTCTTGAATTTATCATTTTTCAAGTCATCTAATAATAACGAAACACTCATGAAATATATAATTAAGCTTGACATGTAAAATTGCCTATCAAGTTTATTGACAAATTAGGGTTAATTATAAGAGCGTAATATGAGTGTGTAGAAGCATTTGAAGAAATTTCTAATAATCTAATTTGTATGATTCATGTTAAAGATGCAATAGATCAGTGTCTTGAACGTGCACCTTTTCATCAGGGTTGGAAAGGAGTTAAACAACCACGTTTATTTCATACGGCTGTTCGTTAGCGGATAATGGAAATGACGTTGAGTCACCTTCGGACTAGCGGTAGCATCTGAATTCCAGCTGTAGAAATTTCCATTGCCCTGGTTTGTTTGTCCTGATGATAAGTTCAGCAATGGACTGGTACTCGAATCGTGTTCATCACCAGTCGGTTTGCCATCACATCCTGGTAGTGGAGGTGCTGTTTGTCCTGGCGTTGGAGTTATGGGTTTGCCACCTTTTATCAATTCTACTATCTCATCTGCTTCACGTGACAGGTCACCATCTGGCCTAAATGGATTGTCCCAACCACTGTCCGTACTGAAATCATAAAAATTGTTTTGATTATGATAAATGTTGTTGAGGAATTGATGTTTATGTGAGAAATATAGAAAGCTCTTAACTTTACTCACTAATATAAGTTATTGTAAAGAAATTTTATTATTCCTGTCTGAGGGAATATTTGAGATAATAATACTTGATTATATAATGATAATAATAATAATAATAATGGCTATTTAATTTTTATGTAGATAAACTTATAATTTATCTCAAATATATTTTTATAAATTTCTTTTATAAATTACAAGATAAATGTTAGAAAATTGATAGTTGCATAAAAAATTATCAGAGTTCTCTCTAGAGAAATCTGAATTTTTAATTTAAAATAAATATTGGAGTAGGATAAATATTTCTATTTACATATCAGTAATGTGTCATAATAATTTTTGTAATCTTCTTAAATCAATTTGCTTCAGATGGTTTTAGAGATAAAAGTGTTGAAAGAAGCCGAGTTTTAAATTGAGATAAATATTCTAGAATTATTTTTTCTTAACTTTATCGACAAATCGATATTTTTCTATCACAACTGGATTATTTGTAACACCTGCAAGATTTAAGATCATCCTTTGAATGTTACTTATATATATTCTTTAGATAATCATGATAAAGTTGATGAACTTGAGCTAAACTCCATCATTGTTGAGAAGTTTCAAAAGATATTTATCGAAATTTAACTTATTTAATATAATTTAAATTATTTATTGATAAACTGCTTGAATAGATTTTTAAAGTTTACTTTAAATCCATAAAAGAGTGATAGAAAAAATTTAAAAAATAATTTATGACATGATTAGAAAGTATTAAATCAACAGTTATTAATTTTATTGCAATTTTTAAATTAAGAATGATTAAGATTCAATATAAATAGTTGTATTAATATCTTGAATTTGATTGATTTATTTTCTTGATTCACATATTTTTTGTTTCAATCATTCATTATTGTGTTTTGTTGTAATTGTATAACAAAAGCATTACATCACACTACATAATGATGTCCTTGTAAGAATACCATGATATTATTCAAACCAAGTATTGTTTAAAATTTTTTCTACAAACCTTTGTTAAATCAAATGAACTAATAGCTTTTTTTTTTTAATCTCAGTAATTGAAAATACCGGAAATTAAGTCTGAAGTGATAACCTACGGAATCGACAAATCTTCCATCACTTCCCATTACGTACAATTAACTACTAATAGAGCATAGAAATTCACTTTGTATAAAGTTTATTTAGCTAACATAGATATTGTAATTAAATGACGTATTCGTCATTTACATGTCAAATATTTCGTAGTATAATTAAATTGAATGAAAATATATTTTGTTATCACAAATTGACAATAATAAATTTTTAAATCTGTATATTTTAATCTAATCAATAAAAGCTAAATAAAGTCATTTTTATTTGTGAATAAAATTAATTTTTCTGCTCAACAATGTGAAATAGTCATTTAAATAAATTATTTCAAGTCACGGAATTATTTAAAAGGATAAATAAAACAAATAGAATTATTTACCTTTCATTTTCTTCGCCTTCTTTAGGTACTTTTATCACATAATAAACATGACCACCGTGTGTAGTTGTCATATAAATAAATATATTGTTCTCTTATTGCATAACTAATTTCATTGTAATTTGACTAAATTTGAGTATCTAATTTTTTTTTTGATGTTATCTATAAAATTTATTTATAGATTTCAATATTTCATTCCAACCTTGATGTTTCATCATATGCACTAATGTAAAAATTTATCATTTTTAATTTATTTATCCTACTTAATAAATGTTACGAGAATTTTTTAACAACATTCTCATAAATAAAAGTAACGTTAACTAATTATTTTTAAAATGAAAGAAAAATTAGTTTATCATTGTCAATAATATACTTGAATTCTAGCGTGAAAAAATATTCAGTTGCATGAATTAATTCTTGATTTATGTGTAAAATGATTTTTAAAATAGACATTTATATAAATTAAATATAAAAATGCAATTTAACATAAATACTATTGAAGCCATTGAATTGAAATGTTTACTTTATTCTTTACTGTGTTCCAGTGCTCTAATTTTCACAAACCTTGACCTATTTCGCATTCCAGTAAACAGATACTGCACCTCTTTAATAAATAATTGTATCCAATATTCAAGTCAATACTATTCTTTAAATAAATATATTTTATCTACTATTTTAATAATTGATGAATTCTTAGAAATGGTAAGATTATTTATTAAATCTAGATCTTTTATATTCTGAATGTTGTTCAATGAAAAATAGCATTGAGTACACACATGGAATATTTAACTGTACACCGTGGCTATCGATTTATTTTTTTTTTTCTTACTGCGACACTGTATGGTTTCAATTTCAAGTCAATTTTAAATTGATAAATATAAATATTAAAAAAATTTAGTTCGATTGAGAATAGAAATTTATTTATAAAAATTCATCCACCCTATCTTTAAATACGTATGATGAAATATACGACGTAGAAACAATTTCAGTTACATGAATATTAGGATTAATCAACATCTATTAAGAAGACACTTTTGCACTGCATGCAAGTGAAATTTATTAATGAAAAATTCTCAAAGTGAAGATATAAATAAATAATTATTTATGTCAATATTACTCAATTATAAATACTTTGAATTTTAATTGATCATTTTGAAACTAAAAATTGCGAAATATATAAATGATTAATAGGAATAATTTTTTTTTTCTTCATTTTAATCTGATTGGTAGGAATCAATAAATTATTCTACACATTGATATCAGTGCTGATGACAGTGTATCGTGAATTTCAATAGTGCTTGAACATTTTTTATCGGATGAACTTGTTTGATAGTAATCAAGTCCAAGGCATGAAAAAAATAGTGATTGACATTTCAAAAAAAATGGTGAATTCATCATTAGAAAAGCTTGAATTTGCGTGACATTTTAAAATACAATACTGGATAAGTATATCTATGTGCACGTGAATATAGCCTAGAAACTTGGAGGGGAAACTTATGGGTCACATTCCAGATGGGGAATAAATGTGGGCCAGCGGGTGAAGCAATGTTACACACACCAGAGCTTGCACATGCGCATTTAGGGGTCTTACCGGTTCCATAGATGCTAATAATTGAACAAAACAAATAAAAAAGAAGAAAAAGGAGAAATTAAAAATAATAAATAAAAAGCTATTATGATAAAAAAGAATAAATAATCAATTCATAAATCATCATAAAAGTCATTGATCAACAAGACAATTAGTAGTTAATTAAATCGACCCTAACAGAGTTAAATAAAAAACAAGCCAAGTGAAAATGAATTGATCTGAGGCAGGTCAGGATCCTAAAAACAATGCGTAGTCTTATTTGGCAAACTATTTTTGGCACCAAAGTGACATGTCAAAGAACTAATAAAACAGATCAAATTGAGTGCAATACACATTCTACATTCTCTCACTGTTGCTTTTATTAATGAATCATTTATTTATTCCAATAACTTTTTTTTTTTTTACGAAAATTCTCGTAACATTTAATGGTGAAGCACAAATAAATTAATTATCTGAGTCATCAATGAAGTCGTTACTATTCTGTTGACAGTCTCAAGTTGTACACAAGTTGTTTCAATTCACTCTTCAAGTTGATGATGAGAAAAATTCAATTAGTCTATCATTGATATGACAATGACTATTTTTAGAAAATTAATGCAAATAGAAAATGATCACGAAATAAAGAATAACGTGAACAAAATCATTGCAATAAAAACTGCATTGGAGAGAATAATAAGAGTAAAATAGTCCAATACATTGAAGTGTTCACCAATGCAGCCGACAGCACAACTGGCGGCTAGCTGGCAGCGCTTCTGCACATCCCACCCACGCTATATCGATCTTCCATCCTCTCCCTTTACTCTTTGACTCAACATTACTGTCCTGCTCCTCATCGTCGGCATCGTTGCCGTCGTCGACACTGGATAGGGAACTACTCGAAGGAATCATGTCGGTTGGCTGATATAAATATAGACAAAGGCATTAGCAATGCCTTCTGGCACCTTTACAGAGTGATGTATCGCAACTAGTATGGTAGGTCTGCTAGGGTGATACTAAGAAAGCAGTTATTTTGTGCACATTCTCCTTTGAAGCTTATCACATTATCAGTGAATATGAACGCAGAAGAGTACTGAAGAATTCAGTATTTGATTAATGATTGAAGTGAGATCATTTCATTTCAATAGTCCTCTCTGGAAGCAAGAAATTGTTTGATGTTGATGATGATGATCCTATCATTGTAATAATGACATTCTTTTTGGATTTTAGAAATGATCTAAAGTTTGGCATAGATTTCTGGTACGATAGCCAAATTGTAGCTTCATCATTGCTGTTGAATTTGGCTTTTTCACACCACCGGAAGTGATTATACTTTTTCTTGGGTTATTTAATGGATTCAATTACTTGGGTTGAAGGTGTGATATTTAATTGCTTAATAATACAGTAATAAATTGATAAATTAATCACAGATTGATGAAAAGTAGGCTGAAAAAGTTGATCTTCCATCAAATTTTGTAAGAATATGAAGTATAAAAAATTAAATTTTTTAATCAATTTAAAATTCCCATTTCAATTGTTATGAAAAATTAATACATAATATTTTCTGTCAATTTTGTTCAATTATCAAACCTTGTTGGTATCACACAATAGTCATTTAATGTAAATTAATATTGGAAATAATTTCTTCATTGTATGAAAATGTATTTGTTTGTTGAACACAACCTTTCGATGATTTGATGATAACCATATTCAAATCCAAACGCATCATTTCAAACAATAAAATAGTTTATTTATTATTACCAAGAGAATAAATTCATTATTGTCATGGATAATTTCATCAACTTTTTAGCATGTTGGTTTAGAAAATATTCAAGGTATTGGTGATAAAGTAATCCAATGTTTTAAGCATAATTCTTGAATTAATTTAAATAACAAGTACTTAAATTTTAGCATAATTTAAAAACAAAAATATTATAAAATGTCTAAAGTTTCCATATTAGGTCTATTGACCTCTAATATATGTTGATAATAAATAAATCTTCCTCACTTGAAATTATAAATTAACCAACATGTTGTGAGGATATTGCTTAACTTCAAAAAAATAAATCACTTTATTCTTTCACATTAAAAATTTTGAAAGTTTCATTATATTAAATAAATGGATCATCAGTCAGTTTTATAAGATACTTTCACATACACTAAATGTATAGGACAATTTATTAATTATAGTGATACACAATACTCCATACATAATCATCATAAAAATGATTATCAAGGCACTCTTAAATTTAATACACTTGGCACATAATTTATCATCAACAAAGTCACCGTTATTAATTCAGAAAGAATAAAAAAAACCAGGATGTACTTGAGAAATGACTCAAACTAAATTAGTACTAGATTTTAATTATAGCTACCAACTTGATCTCTACCATTCTCGTTAAATTTTTATTACTTATTTCCTTGATAAACTGCTCAGCTAATTCTCGATAGAATCGAGTTTACTATCGACTTAACTGCAAATTGTTGATAGGACTATTCTTGCATCGTAAGCTGAGTCCTGTGATTAGCGATAAGCTATCACTGTCGATTCGATTTGTATGATGAATAATACACTTATTTTTTCATGATATAGATATGGTATATTACTCTCGAGTAAACTAATATACTGATGAATTGAATCAATTGATTTTATAGTGATGACTATTCCATTATAGCATCATTTTGGCCTTTAACTTTTTATTATTATTTCATTACCTTTTTTTTTTTTTATTCAAACAGTTTTATATCTTCTATGCTTCATGCAATGTAAACATAGTAATTACATGTTGAAAATTAATTCTCTTTGTGACTTTTTGTCATTTTTAAAATGTACTTGATAGATTTGAATCATACACATTAAATTCTCATTAGTTGCTTGATAAAAAATCCATAATATCATTTTTAAAAGAGACTATTTCTCATAAGTAGTTTGAAAAAGAGCATTATTGTATATAATGGTGTAAAAAACTCTTACACTCTTTGATTTGTTTAATCAATTAATTTTTTTTTATTTTTACAGATTATCATTATGATTTAAAACCCTTTTTTTTTAATGATTTAAAAAAATTTGTATTATTTTTTAGCTAGTTAATTTTGACATCATCTAAAAGATCACTCTAGTATACTATTACGTACTATAATAAGTTTAATCGTAAATTCTACTAAATGATTAAATATATTGATATAGCAGTTAAAAGGAAAAATTTAAAGAAGAAGATTTGACACCTTTAAAGGATGTGTAAAAAAAAATAACGTCATTTCCGGTGAGTTAACATCCTGGGGTTGGCATAAATCGGACGTATGATTATTATAAAAGGAGGGGTCATTGAGTTCATTTTAATATATATATATAAAAGGGTCAAAGTATGTTTTTATTTACCTAATTTGGGTGTGATAGGCTGGTGATGTGTGCTCAGTATGGGTAGTGAGGAGTTCCGCAGGACCAGCCGACATGGCGTCAATAAAATGATCCGTAGGTATCAAGGGTTCTAGGAGAAGGACACCAGGCGTCGTAGGATGAGGCTGTGGGCCCAGAAACGCGACACGTACTTTTTCCCTGCCTTCACTGAAAATTAACAAAAAAAAAAAAAAATAAAATTAAAATGATTATTTATCAATGAATATTAAATTATAATATAATTAATATAAATCTGGATATTTTTAAATCAATTTTTAGTAACTGTTATTGGATGATTATTTTTTACAGTGCTGAAGATTTTTACGATTTTCATATAGAGTTACTTTAAAGGTAGGTCATGGTGAACAAACGACTAAAGTACATCGATCTCGTCAGCGTGGCGCCGAGTTACCGTTTATGTTTCTAAAGATCCATTTTTTTTTTTTTTACCACGATATAATTTAATATATATGAAAATAAATGCAAAAAATCATATATTCCATTTCTTTTGAATAATACAAATAAATAATTATATTTTTAATATTAAAATATTTACAATTTCTTCATAATAATGATAATTATTATTATTATATATTATATAAATATGTATTTAAATTGTATTTTTATCGACAAGTGTAGATATTACGAATTTTTTTCTCCAATTTAAATTGGCAAAGAAATCTTGTAGATTTATTTTAACTATAAAAAGTCTATTTGAAGTCTTCTATGCATTTTTCGCACGTCATTATTTTTTTTTCACTCATCACGTGATTGTAAAACACTCCTTAACTGATGAAGTTGTAATTTCAACATATTTTTTAGTAAAGTATTCGTTTTTATAAAACTTAAAATTACGTTAAAAATATATATTTTATATTTAAAAATAATACACCACTGTATCATTACTCTGATATTCAATGAGAAAAATTCAAGAGTCACAGAAATTTTTATTCATCAAAAAAAAAAAAAATGTAATTTGAAAAATATTCTTGAAAAGTGAGTTTTAAAATAAGTTAAATAATGACCTTCCATTTATTACATATATATATATATATATATAATTTTTTTATATTTAAGAGAGTATTGAATCAATTGATTGTATTTTTTTATCGATATTAAAGTAATTTCTCATTAAATCGTTTTCTTAAGATAAAAATTAAAAATTCATTTAATTAATTCTTCATTGAGGTATAATTATTCAATAATTATTATATTACATCGTTTATATTTCGATTTAATCATTAGTTCATTCAATAAAGTATCGATTTTCAGTAAAATAATTAACAAAATAAAATTTCTTTGCTAAAAATAAATTAATATTATCATATAATATTTATCAATGAATCTTTTATAATAATAGTATTAGAAAATAAGATAAAAAATATAAAAGTAATGCAAAAAATAGTTAAAAAGAAAAGATCACGAATAATAGAAAATGTTAGATAATAGAAAATAAAATGAAATATAATACTGGTTATCTCACAATCAAGTTTGTTCACCTCAGAATCGCCAGTCTGATCGAATAATCGATCTATCTGGATTGAGTGACGTTACTTGCACTTGAATCCTCCTGATGCAAATCGACAGGGTTTAATCTATTATGATGCATTTGCGATACTTATTTATAATGTTTTAATTAACTATACTATTATCATAAATATTAACCACATCATTTTACAATGATCACAAAATTAATTAGACCGAAACTAACTACAATAATATTTCGAATTAATTTATAATTATTTCCTCAATTTATAGGAATAAAAAAAAAAATTAATAAATTCGCAAAGAACGGGCGTTTTCTCAAATAAAAAAAAATGGTAGAATATTGATTGAAAAAAAGGAGAAATGATATCACGTAGTTCCAAAATGCGCACAAGATACTGAAGACACATAATATAGAAATGCATTGTTGGTTCAATGGATGATGTCACTTACTCAAGGTCTACATCTCTACAGGCATTCACATGTGCCGATGTATTTAGTAAATGACATCATGTCGAAAAAAAAAATAATAATAAATACACACAGCAAGAGTAACTGTGTTTATGTATTCACCTATTAATGTTTCAACTTTTATAATAGACTTTTAATAAGAAATATATTCATTCTAAATTATAATATTCATAATAATTATCTTATTTATTGTCATTCATTAAACTGAATTTTATTAGAAAAATTTCAACTTTAACTTATAGAATTGATTATTATTAATAAATTGAGCAATGTAAATAAAATAGATATTTATAATTAGTAAACAACCAAAGTGTTATCTAATACTGATGACTATCATTATGTCAGTAAACTCAATTTATCAAAAGAAAAAATAATTTACAAATTTCTGGAAAGGATCAAGGAATCCTAGTGCTTTTAAAAAATCTTTTAGCTTTCAATAAGAAATAAATCCTCTCAAATAAAGCGGATTATTTTTAAAATATTTCCTTATTAGGAAAAGTCAATATTTTATCTATATCGTAAGAAAAATTTGGTGGATATTTAATTGGATACAAGCTACAAATTGTTGAAATGGGAGGATACTCCAATAATGTGTGTCAAGATGGCGGGTTGCCATAGTAACTCAGTGAAACCGGCGTTTACATTATTGTAGTTCCAGAACTTATATTCTCATCCTTTTCGCAATTTTAACGAATTGTCTCTTTCAAGAGATATGAAATGAACAATAACTGACCATCTGTAGGTGTACAGACAAATAGGTTATAAATTTAAAATAACAAAAGGATCATTCTCTCAATTGCTTAAACATTTTTTAAAATGTCAGAAACACTTGATAGGTTCATTAATTTTAATTTAAGTCAATTAAAAACCTGTTAAACTCATTGAATCAGTGATTATTACAATGACATCTTGATTTTCTAATTTCAAAAACGAATAATTATTTCAACTTTTATCAAAGACATCACTATTATAAAATTCTTTCAAAAATAATACAAATTTCATTACTTTTTTTTTCTTAAAAAATACACTTCGATTTAGAATGCATTCTCTAATCCATTATTTCTCAAAATCATTCATTATTTATTTATTTTTAAATATTACTTTAATAAATGATCATAAAAAAGTTCAAATAATTGATTTTACATTAATAAATTAATACCTAGAAATCATTTTTTTTTTTTTTTTTATGAATTTAAAGAATACATGTTTTATATCAGAAAGACTTATTTATTTTTCATTTAAAATTAAACTTGAATTGTAAACGAGTAAGCATAACATTTAAACTAAATCTTCAGTACCTTAAAATAATAATGAAAGTACGAGAAAAGAGAAAAATCGTTTAAGAAAAAAGTTGTAACTAAAATTTAATATTAAAGTAAAATATTTATTATTATGCTTAAAAATAAAAATTTTTCAATAAATATACTAAAAGAGTAAAAAAAAAAAAATATGGCTTATAAAAATATTTATAATCTAATTAAAGTCTAAAATTTTGTGTGAAAAAATATGTACGTAAAAGAAATATTATTACTACCTGAATATCTCGATAAAAATTGTAGATAATAAACGATGCTTCAAAACAATATGAATTTTGTGTTAATCGTATGAATCACAAGTCTATTGTAGCATAGTTATACCGGCAAGTGACTTGAGAAATCTGTTGCTTAATTATGTAAGCTACCTCCAATACAAGTTAGTATATCACATGAAGGTGTACCAATAACTGGAGAACGGCCAAAAATTAAACACTATTTTATGGGCAAACTTTTAATGTGATTTTAGATTAAAAAACCTTATAAAGATAATGTTAATTATAAAATGAGATAGATTAAAAAACATAATCACCAAATAAACACTCTGTCACGCCGAAAACAGGCCTGACACGACTGAAAAATCTATCAGTAATTCTCACACGGAGCGGTCTCGCGTCACTACCACGCCTGCGTTCGGCTTGTCGGCGTCTCACCGCCCGAAAATTCACGAATAAATCCGAACTATTTCTTGCGCATGCGCACTCGCCATTTCATTCAAATATTTAGTCAACTTTTCATCAAATCAAATCATGACATTTACTTGTTATTATCAATGAAAGCTAGACTTAGATTTATACTTTGACAGTCTTGTTTAACTAAAAAATTGTTTCATTTTTTTTTTTTTTTTTTTTTTTTTATTCCAAATAAATTTGAATTAATTTCCTATAAGTGGCACGTATGTCTCAATTTAATTTTCAATAATAAATCAAACGTTCCATGAGGATAGAGTATATTTATAGAACACTAGTATTTAATTAAAAGGATTTTATTTATTAATTTTTTGATGATAAAAGTATTTTTTGTAGATTAACAAAAAAAAAGTAATTTAAAAGTTTTTATAAAAGTATTTACTAGTTTGAAATTATTTTTAAAAATAAAATAAAATGTTTTGACAAAATTTCTTTTATTTTTATTTCAGAAATTCTTGAATATAAAAAAAAAAAAAGAAAGAAACAGCGAGTAAAGTATTTTACATCGAAGAATTGGAAGAATAAAAAGAATAACGACGTAGTATGTGCAGCCATACACAAGCAATTTTGATAAAAGTGAATCTAATTATATCGCTCACGTAGACAAACAAGTTATTTAGTATTTTTCAGCTCACTAGTTTAGTCTACATATATACAGTTCCTAAATGCATCATACTATATTTTTACCTCGAAACTGAAGGCATTTTATTTTTTTTTACTTCAAATACATTATTTAACCTCATTTGTTCTACTTTACAATAATTTACTCTAATCTTATCAATTTATTTTTCCATTGATTATTTATTCATCCTCACAACATTATGATTTTTCCTTCCAAAGTGTTTAATTCTTACCATCATAATGACTTGATTGAATCTTTTTTTTATTATCAAAATAATTTTATCTTTGTATTATTCAAATGTTTGTAATTAGAGCAATGATTTTTACTAGAGTAAAAGTATGGTTTAATATTAGATACGTGTATAAAAAGTAACCTTGCGAATGTTTTCATTCTACACCCACGTCATCCATCAATGGGTGCTGGATCTTTACATAATGATCATTATCACGTTTGATTCCGTTAATAAGTCTCTTCGTGTTTTGAATACATATAGGTATACATAGTACGTCCGTATGCGTTTATAATCATCCTCCATATAACGATACTCGATTATTCATGATTTCCACGTTGTTTTTGACGTGAATGCATTTTTATACAACCTATCGTACATGTTCAAATACAACCCGAATGATTATAAAAATATTTTTATCGTACATACTATTATTTCTGTATTATATACACTAGATGATGATTGTTATTAATAATTTAATTTTAATCTTTATGTTTTTTTTTATGAAATAAAATCAATAAAGTTTCATATAGAAATAATATATAATTTATTGATACCAATCAACCTCAATTTTTTGTCATTGATTTTATTTTCAATTTATCTATTTGTTTCTAATTTTTGTTCAATTTATCGCACATTGGAAATGAATCAAGATTTTTATTTTAATATATATATATATTGTTTTAATTTGATAAATTTTCATATTCGTGTAATTTTTTAAAATAATAATATTTTAATAAATATTCCGATCAATTAATAAAGGATTTATATTTTAATTTCTTTTCTAATAAATTTGAAATTTTTTAATCATAAATACCCTCACGTTATTATTTTTACTTTAGTCTAGAGTTTATTGTTTTATTTAATAATATTTTTGTTAAACTTCCAAGTTCATTTCATAATCTTATTCACATTTTTCCGAGTCATCTTAAAACAGTTAGATTTATAATAAATATTACAGCATAACTAATGAATTTATTTTACATAAAATATCTTTTACAAAAATTTATTTTTAATTTAAACGTTATTTTCTGAAAAAATAACAATATCTTTATCCATAAAAATAGAATCTAAATTTGAATAAAATACTTGATGAAAATTCTAAGCACATGTTTGATCTATAATATTTTAACTGCATCATAAAAATGTTTATAAATAGAACGATAAATAAATTTTAACGTTAAACATATAAAAATATTATTTTTATTAAATCAAGAAAAGAAAAATCAGTGAAAGTAAATAAAATTTAATAGATATTTTGAACAAAATTTTATTATCGATTTATAAATATACTCTGATGTGTATATTTTGAAAAAGGGTGTGTCTTAAAACGTCACAAATGAACTGTAAATCATGCACGTGCGTTGGCGCGTAATTATTCAGTGAAATGAGAGCACAAGTTTTAACTTACTCAGTGTCAGGAACGGGAGTGATCGGAAGTCGGTTGTTTTGTTCAAGAAAGTGGTTAATTTCTGGTTCCTCTTGAACCGGTGTTTCGTAAACTAATGTCTCAACCATGGATCCTTTACTTGAGCCAAAAGATACCCTGTAAATAAAATAATCCAATAACTCTTGGCCCTTTTGTCTATATATAAATATTCTCATATCATAACATTGCTCATTAAATTTCATATCTAACCACAAAATAATATCGTTTATGTAAATCTGTTCAAGTTTTTCTATCACATAACCTTAAAAGATGTTGTAATCATGAAAGCAAAACGTATCAAAATCATATCGGTTTTATTTTTATCAGGTTAGTTACCCACCTTTATTAAATAAATAAATAAATAAATTCAAGATAAAAACTGCGAATAGTGTTTATTTTATTTCATTATGTCAATTATTTTCATTTTATAGCTCTCACATGCCGACTGAGCCCATAACTACACGGAAAATCAACAGATGGCAGGAAATGTATTGCGTAAAACGCGCGATATTGTTTAAATAGACATTTGCTACATTAGTCATATGGTAAATTTGGTAGAAAAGGAGTAGACTGAAAATACTGTGTCACAGTTTCCAACTCAATGATGTCATCTTTTTGACTTTTATGTCGACAAACAATTTCGTTAACATTTATTTTCATCTCCCACCCTCTATATGTCTTTTTAGTTGCGTAATATATACCCAGAATTGTAATCATTCGTACATCTGCTCTATTAACCATATGCCTTGACTGAAACTCATCTCTTACCAAAGCTAAGTTATTATAGATTTATACTAATGTGTCACTAGTCTATACACAATATCTTTTATTCAACAATCTAATTATTATCAATCAATTTTTTCTTCAAAGCTTTTGATTTATTTCATTGATAAAAATCTGTGCTAAATGTTCGATCATGAAAATGATTATAAATCTTTGATGTCTGAAGTAATAATAATTTACAGTAGTTTGTTTAGTTTCACAAAAACTGGTGCATCAATCTAAAACATCAGCAACTTTTGAGATACCACCAAAAATTGTTTCACAATTAGATGTAAACACATTAAAATGCATACATAGTTTAATGATGATAGAAGTTTAATTTTAATTGTTTAAAATAATGACATACAATAGTCATGGATAATTGATGGTAATGTAACTGAAACCAAAGAAATAAATAAATCAATTAAAAGTTACAGTATTAAAAAAAAAAATATAAATCAGATAACAATCAATGAATTCGTTAATTAAAACCACATTAGTCATTCCAGACACACAGTGAGGCTTTGTAGTTTTAATTACAGTGATTTTAGGCTCAAAAATTGCAGTATTCCCAGTATTGATGCATCGGTTTTTAAAGATGTAATAAATTATTAAATAGTTTAAGTAATTTTAATTCAAAGTAATACATAATAACTAATTATTTTGAAAATTAATCAAATAGAATTATTAGTTTGATTATTTATAATTTATTCTATTTTGCAATATATTTAGAATGTTTTAATAGTCTAGAAATTTTTCTAACAAGTATAAAGTTTTATCAAGAAGTGTCAAAGTTTATTCGGTTAATTAATCATAATAACTAATTAATTATGATTGCGATGATAATTCTGTTTAATAAATACAAATAGCTTTATTCATTTGTTAAAGAAATGAAACATGACACGTAGGTGATAGGTGAAAATATAAACCTGATCAAAGATAATATCTTACTCTTCAACTTCGTAAAGCAGTTAGCAATGAAAGTTGTAGGCGAACAACATGTAATAAATGATCCTACTAACTAGACCCAACACACTTCTATTATTCTGTAACTAAAGTCGTCTCGTGTAGAATTTATATTGTGCTAGAATTCTTATACTGTTATAATACTTCCCATTTTTATGTTATTTTTTGTTTTTCAAGAATGATTTATAAAACTATTAAATTAAAACCAGTTATAAATTACGATTGATTATTATATATATATATTTTTTTTTATTTGAGGAAAAACTTAAAAATTGTTTACTAATTTACGAAACTCTTCTAAATTAATTTAATAAATATAAGTAATATATCAAGTTTAAAATAGATTTTATATTGCGCAGTTAACTTTTGGCTTTTACTTTAATATCTGTATACATTTTTTATTTCTCGTTTACTTTTCAAAGGAATTCTCTCATTTACTTCAAAGTTTGTTGAGATAATTTATTAATATTCTTTAATAATAAGAATTAAATGAATTAAAAATAATTATAAGCTGATTACAAAATATACTAAGTATTTAAAATTTTTCTATTTTCGAGTAAATATTAATAAAATAAATTTTTATAAATAAAATAATATTTAATGAATTTTAGCAGACATCTATTTAATTTTGTAAATTTACTGAATATAAAAAAAAAAAACATTTAACTTTTATAAAATAAAAATATTATGTTTGATTTTGCTGATGAGTGAAGATGATTGTTCTCGTCTTCAAAATCGCCCACATCTCATTCTTGAAACTTTACTCAGTATACTGTTATTCCGGTGTATTCTGCAATTATAATTATATGCCAAAGCATTTCGAGATCTCTTGTCACGTTCACTGGCGTAAGTGTTCATTTATTTTTAAGTTAAGTTTTTAAATCATCATTATAACATGTATATGTTAAAAATTATCATTATATAAATCTGAATATTAATATGATTTTTTTTTTTTACATCCTTTATATATATTGCAAAGCTTGAAAATTTTTTTCAATTAAATTCACCTCATTTCCAGTCAATTACACAAATAAAAACTTATCTTTCAAATCACGTGGGTTGATATGCAAAACCTGCTTGTCGTTAAGAATACAACTCTTATTTTATTCCTTACATCAGGTCAGGGTCATAAGACTAGTTTGTATTATATTTTCAAGTGAAACTTGTGACTCAGCTGATATTCATTAGTTGTTTGTTAAGTTAAAAATTCATAAAAATAGAGTAGATTTTTACAGAGGAATATTTTATAAGCTCTTAGAATTGCAAATAAGAAGATAGAGAAAGTTTGTTTTTAAAAATACTTTTAAATAGTAGGAAATCCTAATGATTCAAAAATATTATCTCTTGCCATGAGAATTCCTGTTTCTGTGGTAACAAAAATTAAATACAACTAATCTTATCACAGACCAATTTTTTTGCGTTCATTACTCCAATTGCTGTTATATTTATTTATCAATATTTTATCTATTAAAAATTAAAAAATAGAATTTAGATTCAAAGTAATAATTAAATTTAATATTTAAAACTCAAAATTTCAATAAACAAACGTTAAATAATTTTCTCTTTCATTTCCATAAATGGTTCACTTCATCATCTTCACTTATTTGCACAGTAAATTATAATCTTTATCGAACGTACAATAAAGTTTCAATGTTCATAGTTAGTTTATGACAGTATACAGAGTAAATGAAATGTTGAGTAATCTTCTACTTGAGACAAGAAAAATTCAAGGTCTTCAATGGTATAAAAGTGATAAAGCTGGATATAAAATATTTCAAAGATAATTATTTAAATTAGAAAAAAAAAAGTGATTTGCTAATTAACTAAATGATTGGTAAAAGCTCAATAATTATTCTAGGTGTCAATCCACAACTAATTTAATATTGACTACCTTGACAATGAGCATACTAATGGTTCTTTTTATTCTACGATCTTGACCACAAGATTCGTGTTGGCATGCCAAAGTGCCAGAGTATTGCGTAATATAAACACTCTCATCGTTGAATAAAATTACTGTTGACTGAAAAAAAAATTTTTCTCAGACTAGAATTATTTTAATTAGCTTCAACTAATTATGCATAAGTGAATTTCCACTTATCTATCATTAGAAAGTAATAATCAAGTATCATTTACTAGTTATTTAGCTGATTATTATCTAAAGAATAAATAATATTTTTTTTAAAATTAGAATCTAGCTACTTAATGATTGACATAAATGATAAAATAGAATAAAAATGTAACCTTTTGAGACTAGCGTGTTTGCCACCATTAGCAATTTTGGACTTCCGGTCACTGCCCACCGTGCTAGCTTCACTGTTGATACTGTGAAGACTGTCGTCTTTGGTGACCTTGGAAGTATGTAGGGTTGACTTTTTCGTTGTCGTACCATTATGCTTCAGACTTTCATTCATGTCGGTTTGATAAAATCGTATTTCTCGCACTATCCTATCTTCAGACCTCGCAGGCGATGTTGTCGTAATCACTGTCGTTGTCGTAGTCGTTGGTGATGTTCCATTACTATCACTCAATATAGTTTTATTGCCATCGGCTACTCGCTTGGGTGCTCCAATCGTTGTCGATCCGTTCTGCTTGATTTGTTCGCCATGATTCTGAACTCGTGTCAGACGACTGCAATTCTGAGTATCTCGAGGAGGTGGAGGTTTGTCCCCCGTTGGTAACATGTATGACAGCATCGTATTTCTTAATTTCTGTCAAATGAAAGAGAATGGAACATTAGCGAGATTTATTGTGATTTTATTTTTTATTTTACCATTGTTTGAATTAATTTTTTTTTATTATATTCTCACTGATTTATATATAAAGTTAAGTAATTTTTTTATGTGCTATTTAAAATTATGAGATAAAAAATAACTAAAATTTTTTTATTATTTGATTTTTATTTAAAAATATCGTTCAATTCAATAAAACTCATTTTGTTAATGTAACTATTTTTTATTGGATAAATAAGACTATAAAAATTTTCAAAGTTATTTAATCCACTTTAAATGATCTATTCTTGAACTTTCGAGTTCATTTCAAGTTATCCAATGTCATCAAATTATTCTTCAAGTTGTTCAATTGTACCTTAATAGTTGTACTTTGAACTAACTTTTTTATAAATGTAATTTTTCCCTGGGACATGAAAAGTTTTAAATAAATATTTATCCAGTTATTATAAATGTTAATAAAATTTGTCGTTAAATAATAAAATAATATTTATAACTTAATGATCCAAAAAATTATTTAAAGTATTTTTCAATCTAATTATTACACTGAAAATCAATAATAGTGATTGACATAGAAATTACCTATTTTTCTAGTTTTTATTAAAACAAAGTTATCAAAAGTGATATAACAATTGCATGTCATCCAATACACTATTTTATTTAATATGGTAAAAGTTAACAGGCAATAGGAAAATAGAGAAAATGTTCACAAAGAGAACATGAAATTCAAACTTGCGTCACAAACATTATATTGAGCAATAAAACCTATGGCATGAGTTAGACGAGTAGGCTGCTGTAAGTCTGCCCACACTTTTACCTGCTTCACTACACTGCACTCGCGCATCATTGCTCCACCCTCCCTCTGATTGTTTATCAAACTCCCATGTACTCTAACCATTTCCGGAAGACTGATGTAAATTACCCAAAGTTTCATTTAAAGCAGCAATAAACATTCGTAACGATAAAATCAAAATCAGAGAATAGCCAGACTACAGCAGTGTTTGCTCTACTTTTACTACTCTCATAAGAATTGACCACAATTTTAAAGGCTTTTAATACATTCAGTTTATCAATATAAATATTTCTTACCTAGTAAATTGGATGGATTGCATTTCACTGAGTCGTTTCTGTTATTTTGTTGATGATCAAGCATTAACGTGGCCCTGTAAATAAATTTATGTCATTATTTATCATGATACGATAAATTGTGAAATATCAATGATTTATTTCAATGATAATTTATGTTATAAAAAACATTGATACCATCTATTTTCAAATGTTTTTAAAAAAATTTTTATATTTTCTGGATCCAAGGATAACTTTTATGGAACCAATTCTTGTAAAAGAAGCCAATTAATTTTTTTCATCATGGTAACTATGAAGTATTTAATTTGTTTTGAATTGTTTTAAATGTCAATAAAATAATTTTTGCCAACATTGTACTGTAAAAATGAATGTTGACAAAAAAGAAGTGTAAAAAAGCATTAATGAAGATCTAAAAGGTGGTCAATGAACCTTGTAAAATGGTAGCATAGAAAAAATTGTAAAGAAGTCATTCATTCTGTCATAAAAGTTCTAAAAAAGTCTATTACACTGACGAGTTAAAAAAGAGAAAACTAGTTACACGTCTAGCCTGTGGGCTACGTTTTTTCAATGAAGATGAGCTCTATAATATGAGTGAGAACAGAATGATCTTTCGGTGAATAGCCAACAGTTTTCACCGACAAGTGACATGTATATACATATCTATGGATACAATGATGTAAATCCCGTGAGATCCCGGAAATGAAAAAGAGAGGTCATTCACTTCGTCAAAGGAAGCCAGTGACCTAGAGAGTCATTACAAAAATTGAAAGAAAATTTTTTTTTTTTTTCTTACAATTATGTGGATAAATAATTTATCTCAAGTGTACATTGCTTTAAAAAACCACCTCTTTAAACACTACTTTTCAAACAAATGATCAACACATTAGACATTTATACATTAAAAGTTTAAAAAATGAAAAAAATTTCAAGTAATATTTTTAACTTTCCATTAGGAAGTTATTTTAATGGGGTCGATTTTTAAAATTCGTAATTTTATCATATTTTTACATTTTGAGACATTTAAAAGCATTTTAGAAATTTTAAAAATAAATTTCTATACGTACGTACAATTTTCCGTACATATAATTGTACGTACGTATGTCCGATTTTTTTTCGTTTTCGATATCTCGAGAAGTACTGAAGATTTTGACTCCAGACTAATTTTATTTTAAAGATTATACAATGAAGAAGATCTATAATAAAAGATATTAATTTGAAGTGTATTCGTAAAATTGCTTCAAAAATAAATACGGAATTGTAATTGTTGAAACACAATAGTGTGAATAAAAAAAATCTAATTGTTTGTTACTGTTTCATTTGAACGATACTTAGTAAAGGTTGCGGTAACTGTACCAGGTATAAATAATTTCTGACGGAAGTCACGAGCCGGAAGTCTCGCGCCGGAAGCAATCAGACTGTCAAGAAATTTTTTTCTTCATTTTATCGATGCGATTAGTCAACCAATTATTTTTAAATTTCAAGATTCTGTCTTATTAAATTAATTTGTCACAACATTTTTATTTTAAAACATCTTATTATATTACCGTTACGTACGTACGTACATAACAGTCGCCTGAATCATTTAACTTATCTGTGTTATTCAAAGTAAAATCTACGAGCATGGTATATGCTTTTATCTACACATTCATAAGTGTATGCTATATTGGACTATGCAAATTTATCAATTTAAACCCCAGTATGCACTTAAGTGCATTGCATCGACGCAATCATTTTTCAAATCAACTAATGTAGTTTTGTCTTTTTGAATCTAGATCACTCAAATAAATCATATCATTGTTTTTTTTTCATTCTTTTTATTATTAACTAATAAAATTAATTATGCTGTATGATTGACACTCAAAGAGTTAAACTGGTTTTATCAATAATCAAATAAATAATCATTTAATTTATTCATCATTTTTTGATTAACGTTTTGGATGATAATATTTTTAAATATTATTCTCTTGATTTTACTTTAATTCATGTAAATGATTTATTTCAAGTATATTTCATCATTGAATCATTTAAAATAAAAGCTTCTTAATTAACAGGATAAAAAGCTCTTATGGTGATTACAAAATCAACTGATCAACCTGTAATACCTGCTAAGTTGATAAAGTAGTTTCGGGTGGTTGAATTTCTTCGTTTTCATCCGACAATTCAATTTGCTTTCAACCAGAGGTATCTTAGTAAAATAATATCACTGCAAGGACAAATTGAATGAATAATTAGCTATTGTTACTGATATTACATACTGGCAATCATTCATTCATGAAATTTATTTAAAATAAAAATATTCATAAGAATGTATTTATAGCTCATCTATCATTTTCAATGCATCTGAGTTTTAATTTATACGAGCTCGAATTTTAGAAATTATAATTTTTGTTTAATTTCAATTAATGATTACATAAAATTCAAGTACGATTTTTTTTCCCCGGGTATAAGGTTAAAATATCCATAAAGAATAAATTTAATCAGAGTTCTTATACGAGCTCGATCCATCATGCGTGGGTGTTTTCCAATTGGCTATTCTTGTATCGAAATGCCAATCATTCATTGGAATATATTTGTAATCAAACGGAATGCTATTAAGTGAGAGATGAGATATCATTAATTTTAAAATAAAAATATATAAAATGATGATATTATTAAAAATAAAATAATTCATTTGACAATTGTATTAGAAAATTTATAAATGAATTAAACAAAGCTTAGAAGTTAAAGTGATAAATGACAAAAGTGTTCTCTTGCTCATGTCTAGTAGCATAAAGTAAATACTTCTCAACAGTCTGAAGCTCTTTTGGAAGATCCAACGAACCATCAGACTTAAACAAGAGCCACTAATATAAGTTAAATACCTTAAGAGAGTTTATCGATAAGACAACGGATTGAAAAAATATTTAAAAGAGAAGGGGTTGTTGCACTCAAATGCATCGATGACTTGTGATTTTAATGAACATGACTTATACTTATTTTTGTACTGCCTTGGGAAATAGTACCGTTTTATATAGACCAAGCACGTACAAGAATGATTGATATTTTCATCTAACGGTTTTACTTTGATTCTATGTGATAATGGAATACCGTCTATCATCAATTTGAAGCTGTTTCTGCTGTTCTGAATCTCCAATCGCGAGGAAAATTGGTCCAGTGATGTCATTACCAATATCATAATTATCTTTATAATCATCAACTTCAGACTTTACATTAAAACTACCTACAATTATATTATAATTTATAAATATTTATATATAATATATTTTATCCAAGTATTTTTCTATATATTTTTAAAATAGCTCTTTCTTATTATTTCAATGTCATGTCATTATTTTTGTTTTAAATCAAATTAATAAATATTTTTCTCAATAAATAAATTTAATACGTCATGATGAAAAATTTGAGAAAAAATAAATAATAATAAATGTATTTATAAATATATTAGTTTTTATTGTTTAATTATAATTATGAGGAAACTTTATAATTATTTATTATTAACTTCATAATTAAACAATAATAATTTTGTCTGTTATGTAGAAAATAATTGAAATATTTCTTTAAGATATAAAATAATATTATTTAGTTATTTTAGTAAAAATAAAAATATTAATAAATTCAAACAATTTACAAGAATATCTGTGTTCGAATTTTTAAATGTTTGACAAAAGTTAACTGACTGTTGGAATGACACTAATATTGAAATTCCGGACGAATTTGTGGAGATTCTCTTGGTTGCAGCTGTACTGGGCAATTGCCAACAAGACATCTATGCACTGTGACACTCGCTGTCTTATGATATTATTACTCGGAAATACAGACATATATTTGACTTAATGGTATTTACATATTGTATTTTAATCAATTCACATATAACATATTGGAGTATTTGTAATAATCTTTCGAAAGAAAACGCATCATTTTCAGAATACGAAACCAAAACATGAATAAAAATAACTCTTAATTGACTTGGAATGCGGAACATAAGAAAGAAAATAAACATGAGATTTATATAAATGAAAATTCGACTGAATTGTTTTTTAATTAAAAATAGTTTAATTTAAATTTGATTAAATTTCATTTGAATTGGTTTCATTTTTTCTTTCAAAGTTATCAAATATTCCTCACCAAGTTTCACTTAGTTTTATGAGACAAATATTTAGCATAAGAACATTGAGTTGGATTCCTGTAATATAAATACACATCCGTGTAATGTGTGTATGTATTTATATATCAAATTAAATTTAATTCTACACTGTACTCAATGAATTTATTAATTTAAATACTTCGATAATGAACCCATATGGATAAAGATATTAAAATATAATGTCTCAGCCAAGTCTTGTATAATTAAATATATTTACATAGTCAATTATATAATTATATATTCATTTATATCTGATTAAACAATATTTAGTAAAAAAAATGATATTTAATATATTTTTAAAATAAAATACATTTGAAAGAATATATCTTTTTCCAATTTTTCTCAATAATCAATTGAATTAATTTAATTGTTTATTATAAATAATTCAGTGTGATTTTAAAAGTAATAAAATTGGTTATCTAAAGACGTTGGTTACGTTTATATCTTTAGAAGCCTGATCATACAAAGTACAGTATTATTAAAATAAAATAAAAGAATGGCTTTTTAAGTGTATTAATAGTAGATATAATAGAACTAACAAATCAATATCACGCATGCGCAGAATAATATATAAAATATCCTTGCGCATTCATCCCCTTTTATATAATCTCATACCCTTACTCACTTGGCTAGCATATTTCTGACGGATGAATTATGAAGTTATAACCACTGTTGGTTTCACTATCAATTCTACCATAAACTGTTCTGATCAACTGCAAGCTGTTGGGGTTCACAAAAGCTACTGATAGGATAGAAAATAAAAAAGAAATAGATAAATATAATATCCATTGAATAAATATTTCTTCAATTAAGAGACACTGGAATAATATTACTTATCAATATCATCATATTTTTCAATTTATCCAATTATTAGATGACAAAAAAAAGGGTTAAAAGTGGTGTTTTTTTACAACATGTTGTGTCTGCAACTCAAGTAAAGTCGAGTGCACTATAGTCTCAAGTATAAACATTCGTTCAATGTCCGATAAAGTGATATGCATGCTACAAGTTCTTTTTAAAAAATAATTAAATAATATACTTTATTAAAATTTGTTGTGAAATAAATTTAAAATATTCATTTATTTACCTTTAAATTATCATGATTTAAAGTAATAAAGCTTCTGGTGTGATAGTCTGAACTAATTGAATTGTTTACATCATTGTTTACATCAGTTTAGTTTCCAAATAACAGAAAAATAATTCTTTCTGATGACCTAATACTAGCATTCCATGACGTCATTTCTAGATTTAAAGTATTATCTGATCCATTACACGTATTTAAACTCTGAAAGAATGTTTACGTTACATCTTTTGATCAATTTCAAGAAAATAAATATTCAACATTTATTAAGATGAATTTTATAATGTTCGTCTTGAAAAAAATTAACATTTGTAAATAGTTCTTATGATGTTTAATTTTATTTAATACGAAAGCAATTATTTTAAGGCAAATTAGTTGGGTTTAATAATCATTTAATTACTTCCTAACTTAAATCAGTTATAAACTTGAGTTAAAATGACATGGTCTCGAGTACTGGTTCTATTGAAATTCCCTTAAAGGTAATTCAATAAACCTATTAATTTTATTAAACAATAAATAATCGAAGAATTGTTGAAAACATATCATTATTTTGATTGAATTAATATTTATTTTATTATTATTTAATTATAACAATGCTTTGTGTTCCATAAATGAGGAAATTATTCAAAGAATAAATCTTGCAGGACAATGTAACAATTAAGTTGAATTGTTAGTAGTAACTATTGGTGTACTAGCTTTAAAAGAGGATGAGAAAAAAAATCGATAGAAATAATGGAGATACCTCGAGTCATCCCATGAGATACAACGTCAGAGGGTAAACTCCTGCAGGATAAGTGGCACAAAATGAGGGGAGAATTGATTGACAAAAGCGTTTACATGTGTGTATAAAGAAGAAAGTAAATTTGATAAAAAAAAAAAAATAATAATGTGGTCTTTTATGATATTAAAGTTGTCTTTACATAGTGATTTTCACCACTTTTTATTATAAATTGACTTTTGTGCTTTTCAAAGCAACATTTTTTGAGTAGTTGCATAAAGATTCCGGATTATTGTTAAGCTAAAATACCATGATAATCCATTGTAAGAAGGATAAGGGAGACTTTGGAGTATAGGAAATTGAACAATAGGTGCATATGTTAAAGTCGTACAGCTGAATTGCACGCCCTCGTGGCAATATAACAACGAATTATATAAACCATGATCACAAAATGTTCACGTGTATGTTAGTATTTATTTCATGCTACCCACGATGAATCATTTGTATGACTAATAATTTTTATTGGCGATAAAGTAATAAAATAATTATTATAAATAATTATTTCTTTGAAAAATTAAATTTGTAGCTTTTTTATAATAGAATCAATGATACTAAATTTTCAATTAATATTTATAGGCTATTCTTTAAAAAAAAAAAAATCATAATAAATATAGTATTAAATTGTTTAAATATTTTGTTAATATAAAAAAAATTTTTTTTTCTTCTTAAATCATAAATTCCGTTTATCGATAATGAATAAAATTAATTACGATGAAGGAATTGATTTTTCATGAGAGATTTGTAAATAAAAATAATGAATAAATGAATTAATTAGAAATAAAATAGCTATTTTAATAATTAGTTACAGAAATGATCAGAATCTAAATGAAATAGCATAATAATGAGTGTGCTCTAATTATGAACACTTCAGTCTTGGCCACCCTGTGATTAATTACACTCCAAGCTAGGGTCCTAGCATCCATCAAGCTAAGTGTTAATACCTTGTTTTCAAAAAAAAAAAATCAACATTCTTTTTGTTTCGTAAGTAAACAATAAATTTTGAAAATAATTTATGTTATATATATAATGGACCCTTATATCTGTATTTAGGGGTAAAACTGGACCCTTCACCATTTGTACTTTTCATGTATTTGGGGAGTATTGGAAATATCGTTGAGGGTTGAATAAAGTTATAGATTGCATTCTGACTGTTCGAACTTTGAAATAATCAATATAAAAGTTTGATAATAAAAGTGATAGTTATATAAAAAGGTTCAAATGATTTGATTATTTTCTTTTATTGTCTTGAAAATGAAAATTCTTATTTACCCTCATGATGAATATTCATTCTGATTCAGATCTTTTACATTTCTTTGATCTTCAATTTGCCGATTAAATTTAAGACTGGTTTAACTCTACAAAATTCACAGGGGAGATTGGATATTTCGTAACATACTCTATAAATGAGTTTAAAACCTAGAGGGTGACTTGAATAATTTTACTAAATATTTTTTCATTTTTTGTTAAGTGTTCAAATAATTCATTACTTCTTTTAAATAATATTGATTGAATGATGAAGGATTTTTTTGACATGAAAAATGTCTAACTCATAATTAATTATTTAAATTATTGAATTAACTATTACGTAATCATAATTATAAAACTAATTTTCATATAGTTAAATTGTCTACCAAAACTTCTGAAAGATGTCAAAGAAATTAGCACTGACATAGTAACACAAATTTGACAAAGTTTTGTGGAGACATGAAAAAAGAATAGATGTGTCAGCTGATCACGAATGAATATAAAAAGAAGAGAATAATTATGTGCGTGTGCGAAACTCAATACGAAAGGATTATAGGGATCATATAACCTAGAAGGGGTCGTAAAAGTATCAATGCAAAAAAGTAAAATGGTAATAGTCACGAAGCTGAACTTAATTAGCCTAGAATTTGTGTAATCTTGTATGCATGTGAATTAACCACTTTTTTTTTCACTTAAATTCAACTATACACAGTAGAATGCATTTATTGTGATTCAATTGTTGAATGATTGAAAATCAAGTAAAAAATAAGACCTTTAAAATTAGATTTAAGAATAGTTGGGTCAATTGATGAGAAACAGGATGACCTATTGAATTATGAACACGACATTGTGGTGGCAGTAAAACTGTACTAGCAGTGATTAAGTATAATATGTTTGGCTGGAATATAGGTCACTAACAATAGGAAACAGACAGAATTCAAATTTACATTTTGTATTATCGTATAAACTGATCTAAATAATAATAAAAAATCTATTGTATCAAGTATAACAATCTTGAGAGTAATTTGAATACTATTTCATAAAACCATCAGAATATTTTATTGAATATTTTTCTGAATATTTGAGTATATTTTAATCAACATTATAGTTCAATTTAATTCAAAAGCTTTTTTATTGTTTAATCTCTTTTGATTAACCAAACATAGATCATCATGGGTGGTAATGGGTTAATTGTATGAAATAAATCATTGATATAAGCCATTTAAGAATCAACTGAATTGATGTGTTTACATGCTATCATTGTGATAAGACAGTATTTGTCACATGTAAACTTTCTATATTATATTAACAATGTTAACCAGGGCATCAAAGAAAACAGAAGTTCAATTGGAAATCAATATAATTGGAGCTGAAACTGATAATCGAACGTAACACTTGGTTCATGAATCTGGTATGATACTACTTCTAACTCATGTTCATTGTAGAATAGTTTACAATTTATTTTTCTAAATTATTAAATAGATTATTGTAGATATTTAATTATAGATTCATTAGATAATGAAAGTTTATTGACTCAAAAGTAACTGTTGACGTTTTTTTTTGGTTTTTTTTTTTACAATGTTATTAATAAAATATATTTATTTAGTAGTGTATCAGCTTTTTCTTGAATCTAGTATTACAGGAAATTAAATTGAAGATAAGTTTAAAAATATTTCATTTCATTTGATTGAGAAACAATGAATTTTTATGCGGTATTATGACTGGAGATATTTTTTTATAGTTGCGTAACCGTCACGTTTCGTTAATATAAAACTATCTCATTACAAACGAGTTAGCACGTGGATGGATACATCTCACAAAGATAAACACGTTACACCGTGACATTTGCTGGTTAGAACAGTTAATACTATTATTCATTAATTAGATAAATTAACTAGTAAATTAAAACAATGAAAGAATCTAGAACAATATGGACAAAAAAATTCTACTTCCAATCAATTTTCTCATCCTTCCTTTGACCTAAATCACAAAAACTCCAAATACTCGAGGGATCAATGAATCTCATTTTTGGAGCAATACCCTAGAAATCCCTAAAAAAAAATCCTGAAAAACCTCTGTATAGCCCACTTTTATTGTGAAAAATATACTAAAGTATCATTTGAAAAACAATTGACATAAAAATACAAGCAGTTCAACAATAATTGTTCAAAATAAAATGAAATAAATGAAAGATGATGATACATTCATTTGTAAAGATAAATTAAAATTCACCTCAGAGAAAGATACGTCATTAACAATTTAAAATATTTTTTTTTCCATCAACAAATATATAAATATGAAAATTTTTAAAGAAAATTTGCTCTTTTAAATTACCGGAAAAAAAATGTAAATAAATAGTTAAATAATTTGAAAAGTTAGATTGAAGATATGACTTACAGAAATAAGTGCGCAGTATCTATATTAAAGGGTCTAATTTATTTTATGAGCTATAAATATTGGATAATGCAACTATGGCTGCAAAATACGTCGCAGCCTTGGACACCGATTTATAACTTTGGAGATGGATAATGACAATAAATTCATAAATACCTCAAAATCTATTATAATAATAATAATATTATTAATCACAACTATTACATTAGTTGATGTCAGTGTTAAATGTAGAGCCAAATAATAAGACAACACGTTTAAAATAGTATTTTCATCATGCCAATGCTTAATTATTAACAAAACGTCATTGATTGTCACGTGGATTTTCTTATCTTTTTTGTCAACAATGACATCAACATTATTAGTTAAGGTGATTGAATAAAAATGGAATAAGTGAATAAACTTACATATAAAAATGTAGACAGCAAAAAAACAACTTATATTTATCATATAGTTTTCAATTTAATTGTTATTATATATGAAATTTTATTCAAAGTTCATTTAACTATTCACTCACTAAATAATGGATTGACAGAATTTGCTTTGAGATTTAAATTCTTCAAGGAAATTTCACTGATTAAGTCACTGCACTTTTGATTGATCTACTAATTTATATTGATACATTTGTCTAAAACTTTTAACAACACTGTTGACCTCGAAGCTTGCACTTTTATGTTGGATATCGTCATGATTCTTGGATAAAAGGTGTAATCATGACAGAATATGTAAAACACTCGTAATTAATAATAAGAGGTTTACATCGTTGATTTATATACATTATTTGTCAATTAATAATGATAAAAATCGTTTATCAGACACAAAGGAATTCAATTGATAGAATAGAGAAATTCGACTGTGAGAAATAAAAAAGAGAGGCCTAGGATTCTGAACGCTCTACAATCATAGCGTCCTGAGAAAATTTTTAGTCTTTCTTAACCACAAAACTGTTCACTATAAATGAGTGTTGCTATAGAAACCGCAATATATAATGAAAACTGTGTAATAATAAATATAGTTGAATTTATTGGTAATTATAATAAATAACGTGTGACAATAATCATTTTAAAGTCTTCATGAAAGCACTAGATACACAGAGAATAAGTGCACCATACATTCAGAACGTGAAAGCGATACTGCGGCTCTATTGGCATACTGTAGCGCTGTACTGACACGCAGACGCAAATCACACTGATGTTGATGGTATGGATGAGGTGACTGGAGGATTCAAGTTTGACATTTGCTTTTATTTATCCATGACATAACCAAATGTTAATAGCTCTTGTTGTCCTTAAACTATTTGCTGTTAATAACTTTAACACTTTATTATACATTTTAATCACTTGTTTGAAATGATATTGATTGTTCTGACTCATATAATTGTCCAGTTATTTATAATGATTATTCTATATTTAATTTGAAAAAAACATTGTTTTTTCATTAAGAGTTCTATTATAGGAAACGTTTAATATAAAATGTATCATATTTTATGATATTTAATTTAAAAAATTAACATTTAAAAATACATGAAACACTTGGTATTTTCTTATCAATTTGTTTTATAATTTTTTTTATTAGTAGTTGTAATAAAACATTATATAAAAAATTTTTATTACTTTTGTGCTTATCAATTGTAATCAACAGTAAAAATTAATCAATTGAGTCAAGATATAAGTACATATGCGTTTATTGTTTATACTAATATCCGTGAAATCGTTCATGTTGATAAACTTCCAGACATTCAAGCTAACACAACTTGGAAATTACGCGATTATTCTCTTATCAACTAATGAAATTTTTATGATTAGTTCTGGGTACTGATTTCAATATTCCATTTACTTTTTGAACAGAATTATGCATAAATATTCATATCGTTATTGAATTTTAAATGTTTAGCAAAATTCTTTTCATATTTAACGTTAGCCATTCATTCTCTTTTAAATTATCATGTTTATATAATTTATTTAACTAAAATTAGCAGATACACGACAATTCAATTATTTTAGTATTAAAACACAATCATTTATTGGTTCATGAATTTTTAGAATTTTAAATAAATACTTTTTCTTATGCCAACTCTAAATAAAATTTCAAAGACTCATCTGATATGTAAAATATTCTACAAATATAACAAAAAGTATTTACATGAGATATGTCGCGTCTTTATGGTAAATTTTAAATTACGTTAAAGTTGGAGTAAGGCTTAAAATAAAAAAAATAAGACACTTCAATAGGTTACTATACATAATATTTGCTGGTATAACATACAAATGACAATTTTAAATATATATTCATAAATTTAAAATGTTAGAATTAATATTTACTGCATTCTAACATAAAAAGAGATTAAATAAACTATATAAATACTTGATTTTTCATATTTAAGACAACGAATATAATCGAAAAATGCATTGTAAATTAAGTCTTGTTACTTTTTAGTTTAATATGAATTTTTCATTGTTATTAATGTATCAATATATATTAATACACATGATGTTTTGGGGTATAAAACATAAATCACCTTTAACTGGAAAGGAAAAATACAATAACGATTGATAATTCAGACATTGGTTTACTGCTCATCTTTGTCCTTTGCACCGTGTTTAAGAATTCTAGTAAATTCTAAATAATCAAACATTGATCCTTTGATTGGAGCTTCACGATACATTTCATCAACATCATCATCTGTAAATCTGTAATAGACCATTTTTTTTAATTCAATGATTTTATTTTTTTTTTTTTCAAATCTTCAAGACAGAATAGTATTGATAGGACTATTTTTTCGAATTTTTATTTAAATTTATTTTTATTAAAATAATTTTAGGTAAGTACCTGTCTCCCATAGTAGTTAAAAGTTCACGTAAGCGTTCTTCATTAATATGTCCAGTATTTTCTTCATCAAAGCATCCGAATGCATTTTTAATGACATCTTCTGGGTCAGTACCCTGTAGCCTCTCTCCAAATAAAGTTAAAAACATTGTAAAATTGATTGGACCTGGTGCTTCATTCATCATAGCCTCTAAATATTCATCAGTTGGGTTTTTTCCTAAATAAAAAAAAATAAGCTTCATATAATTCATTTATATCATATTTTTAAAAGACAACATTTAACGAGTAAATGCTAGTATATAATGAAATTAATTAAAAGTGAAAATGATGATGAATAAGTACCAAGTGAAGCAAGCATGTCATGTAAATCTTCTTTATCGATGAATCCATCATGGTTATGATCGATCATGTTAAATGCCTCCTTGAATTCAGCAATTTGAGCTTGATCAAACATTGCAAATACATTGGAAGTCGCACGTTGAGCACGTTTTTTTGTAGTTGCACGACGACCAGCAGTTTTTCGGGCTGACATGATGATCTGGAAATTTTTAAACCAAATATAGAATACATAAATACAACATAATTAAAAAGAACTTTTTTAAATTAATTCATTAAGAGAGAAAAATTTTAAATATTAGATTATACAGAAAAGATAAGAATGTAAAAATATAAACATGATTCATGGCTTAAGAATTTACAGTTTTCAGGTTTAAGAAACTAAAAAAAAAAAATTTTCAATACGGCACAAAGAAAATATCATTAATGAATCAACGACAAATGATCTATTTCGATACCATATTACTTCTGACTTGGAAAGTAAAAGTATTTCTCAATGTTTTCAATGTAAAATTAGGTACAGTTCATGAAAGTACATTTAGGAATCGTCATATAAAGAATATGAGTCATCAAGAAATATCAGCTTAAAAGTATTTGATTTTTAATGCTATTTTTTGTGAAAAGTTTAACAAATTTTACCCATATTTAAGATATTTATCAATATTTATGATAATAAAAATAAACAAGTGATATTTAAAACCTTAAATTTTGGAGTATTTAAATAAATTACACTTGCAAAATAAACAGTGAGAATGATTTTTAAATTTCACTGGCATTTCATTGTTAATTATCAAGAATTCCAGAGTGAATCATTTATATTGAAATAATTCTATTATTTTTAAATATAATTATATTTTATATGAACATCTTGTTGCATATTAACACAATGGCGATTGCAATCCAAAGATTCTAAATATCATGACTGTCAAATAATTTCATTTGTAATTTATATTCTACAAGTAGAAACAACTTTATTGATTATCGACAATTATTGAATAATGTATAAATATTTATTTAATAAATACTTACGTTTGTTTACAATATTTTCAAGTATAAAAATGTAAAAATAAAATACGTATTTTTCTAATACGTTCGCGTCACTGATTGACAAACTCTATACTATTCCACACTGTATTATTCACTGGAAAGAATGGAATGGAACTGAACCAAGCTTCAGTGTATTGCCGTATATGTGTGTAATACGTGTACGTATATAGAATAGAGGTCGCCATATTAGATCCAGATGTGATGTCATCGTCTAAGGACATTCCACTATTCTGTGATTTAAACCTTGATTTCATACACTCGTATAATTCATACCATGTGCGTGTGTGTATGTGTAATTTTGTGTACTCCAACCAGGGCCACATTTCTTAAATCCAGGTCAGGAGAAATTTTTTATGCAAAATTGCTTATTCTTGCACAGTAAATGATAAATTCAAAAACAAAAAAACTGCCACGATATTTTATTACTAAATAGATTTTATTTTTCATCAATAAATTTAAAATAGTTAAGCAAAAATGAAAGAACTCTCAATAATCTTAATTACATTTATTTGGATGTTAAATACCATAACTGAGAATGTTTTTACACCGGAATTCTTTTCCTTATAAGGACATAAATAAAAATGAAAATTAAACAGACAATTTTGTAATCGTGCTCTTTATTGGTAGAAGTAAGTCTTTGTATCTAGATGAATTACAAACGTGAAAAAAATCACTTAATAACTAATAACAAAGTGATTTTAGTTTAAAAATTGATCTCAATACATAAGAATTTCATTAGAATAAGAGATATAGTCTTTTGGTTGTTATTGCAAAAAATAAATTACATCTATTTGAAATATTACTGATATTCTTTATATCAATCTGAAGAATCTTGATAAAATTTTCAAATACATAAAAAGCAATAAATATATTACATTATTACGACAAACAAATTATTCTAGTAATTATTCTATCAATATTAAGAATATCATATGTACAGAATAATACAGATTTCGATTATTATAATCGAACTATATAATAGTGTCATGAACTATTCCCTCATACATTCAAGATCTCATTATCATTAAAATTATGTACAATTTTATTATCCTATTCATTATATTTATATTACGATAAATTAGAACATGATTTAAATATGACAAATGCAATCATTTTTGAATGTTAATTAATAATTTATCTATCCAATTATCGAACCGCAAGGCCATTGATAGTAATACCATTTCTTGGTATCGGTTCAGCTTCATAATGACTTGATCTATTATACATTCTTCTTCCATTTTGACTTGGAAATCTGTTAAAGTTGAATTTATCATTTATTAATATTATTTCTTTTTGATTTCTAATTTAAAATATTTTTTATTTTTTAAATTAATTAAATAAATTAAATTTTCTTACCCATATCCACCTCCACTATATGGATTATCATAAAGACCCTCTTCTGGAACATTTTCATACATTCTTGGATTAGTTGAGCCATCATTTAAACTTGCATAAGACATTACTGCAGCATTTTGATCTTCCTTTCGTTCTGCTGCTTGAACATTTTCCGTATTTTTGACTGGTGTTGCTTTTCGTCTGAAAATTTTTGCATATTTATTCATTCATTATGTTGAATACCGTTTTCATAAATATATATAGTACGTTTCCTCCATAAATTTTCTATAATTTTACTTACAATCGTAAATAAACTAATCCTAGGATGATAAGAATAAAAATTATGACTCCAGCTGCAATTCCCACACTTGTACCAACACCTTGGGCTTCTGCTATTTCATTTGACACCACTAAAATCAAGGAGTAAATTATGAGTTTTTTTTTATCATTTATATAAATTATAAAACTATTTTTTAATTTACTTCTACAATGAGGCTCTTCACCACTCCACATTCCAGTATCTAAGCATTTTCTGAGAAAAGGTCCAACACGTTCATATTGAGGTAAACAGTGATATTCTGCTGCTCCACCAAATAAAGTTGATTCATTTACTACGATAACTCTACCATTATCAATTGATCCTGGATGTTTACAATCTCTGGCTGTATAATAAAAAAATGATTCCTTTTAGTATCTCTTTTTTTGTTGAACATATGAAATAGTAAATATCTTTTTTATAAAAAAAAATACCAAAACAAACGGGCATAGATCCACTCCAAGATCCATTTTGTAAACATATTCTTGTATCATTTCCTTCCATATAATAACCACGAGGGCAAGCATAACGTGTTACTCCACCAATACTATGAGTTGATATTTGAACTGAAAGTGGTGGGACTTTATCTGGATCTTTACATTTAATTTCTCGACATATTGGAGTTTCAGAACTCCATGTTCCATTTTCTAGACATAATCTTCTAGCAAAACCATCTAATTCGTAATTAGCATCACACTCGTAGAGAGCAGCGGCTCCGTAATATGTTGCATTTGATGTTAAAGTATAATGTCCATGATTTATATCATCAGGTTTACCGCAATCGACAACTGTAATTCAATTGAAAATATAATTTAGCATATGATGCTTTCATTTTTCAAAAGAATACTTATCTTATAAATTTCTTAAATATTTTCATATTGCATATTAATCATTAAATATATATAAATACTTACAGATACATTGTGGTACTTCTCCACTCCATTTACCATTGTCTTCACAAGTTGACAATGGTTCACCGACAACCTTATATCCTCTTTCACACCTATATTTTGCTAGAGCCCCTATTTTATATGATGTTGCACCGGTATTTAAATTTTCCGCAGTGCCAGTACGTATTAATGTTCTTCCGTACATCCTGTCATTGCCAGTAACTGAAAGAATACCATGTTCCGCTAGCACAGGTTCAGAACACCGTATTTCTGAAAAGACATTTCCCAGGTTTGTCAGTTAAGAAAAAAAATAATTACGTCATACTCTTAATTCTCTTCTTAATTTTTAATTAAAATATCATATTTTTAAAATATTTCATTTGTTCACCTTCGCATTTTGGTGTAGCATCACTCCACTGTCCATTATCAAGACAGTATCGTTGTTTAACACCATTTAATCGGTAATTTTTCGAACAAGTATAAGATATTTCACTTCCTAAATGTGTTGTTCCATTAATATATTCTATAACACCATTCAAAATAGGTAAAACTTTTCCACAGTTGATGTCTGAAAATTAAAGATTATCAGAACCATTAAATTTTTTGTAGACAATCAATAATAGTAAAATGATAATTTTTGTTGTAGATTTTATCAATAATAGATAATTACATTTACAAATTGGAACTTGTCCCGACCATTCTCCATTTTTCTGGCATGTATGTCTTGCTTCACCGGTTAAAAGATAACCAGCCTCACAATGATACTCAATGGAACTATGAACATTGAGATCATATCCTACAACATAACTTCCAGCTGGAACTTCAGGTTCTTCACAAGTGATCACTGTAATAGTTTAAAGATAAATAATTTATTAAACCTCTAAATAAATGATAAAATTAATTTATTAATTTGCAAAACTTGTTCAATTGGTATCGTATTCATTTGCATTCACTTACATTCGCATGAAGGAGTTTCATGATTCCATTTCCCGTCTCTGGTGCATTCATGCGTAGCATCTCCTACTAACCAATAATCTTCTTGGCAAGTATACGTTGCTAAACTTCCTACAGTTGTTGTTCTATTTATAAGAATTACCTCTCCAAATTCAATTTGGGCAGGAGTACCACAGTCAACAAATCGACACTGAGGAGCTTTTCCAGACCATCCACCACCAACATCACATGTTAAAACCTAATAACAATCATTTTTATATTGTTTTAAAACAATAAAAAGATATTGGATCTTCTGAAAATCTATTTCGCAAAACCACGTACATTATCTCCAAATAGAATGAAACCATTTTGACATGAATAAGTTGCTGTTGAGCCAGCACGTTTTCCTGTTATTTTTACAATAGCACCATTGATTTCCGGTGGATCAGGACACCAATCAACTGAAAGAAAGTATTACGTACAAGTGAACAAAAATAACTTTAGCTTTGAAATGAATTTAATGAGTTCATGAATTTTAAAATCTAGTTGAGATAAGTCCAGTTAATATATCTAATCTCATAATATTGAATTAATTTTACTGGAAACTTACAAAGACATTGAGGCTGATGGCCACTCCAAATACCACCATCTCCACATTTACGAGTTGTATCACCTACTAAAGTATAATTTTCTTTACAAGAATAATTAACCACTGCACCATAAGTTGTTCTATTATTCACAAATTCTATTTCTCCATTTTCTAATTCAGGAAGCTTTCCGCAATCGACAAATTTACATGTGGGAGGTTTGTCACTCCAGAACCCATTTGGTTCGCACGTTCTAGATTTAGTACCAATCAACATATATCCATCCGGACACATATAATCAATCGTTGCTCCAATAGTTCTTTTAGATCCAATAATTGTTGTATTCTCGTATTTCTCTGGACTCCCACATGATGAAGGCTCTAAAAAAAAAAATTTTAACTCATTCAAAATAAAAATAATTATTTATTTTTCCAGATTAAAGTTTACTTACTGCTTTGACAAATCCAATGGAGATAATCTAAATTGCATCCAACATCATTCCACAGCCAATTTCTTCCTCCATCAAAAACAACACAATTTTGTTCGCCGTTATAATTATTTGGTTGATCTTTTCCCCAAGAAGGTTTTTGAACAATTTCACCTACAAAAATTGAAATTATAAGGTATCAAAAAAAATTTATTATAATATTCCATTTAACCGTGTAACCATAAAAAAAAATTCGTCACGTTTGTTCTACTGTCTTATATTCTACATGTATACAATAATAGGACGTGCCTTGTCGTACACTTAGGTGCCACTTCCGGTATATTAACAACTACTTACTTTCACGTTCCATTTGAAATTATTAACGCGTTACTATTCATAATATTGCTTCGGTTCTTTGTGCATAATTAATTGTAAATAATGAATTATAGGTATTGTATAATTATACATTATATATTGACAGTATGTTGATAATAATAGATATTCTGTAATAATCGATTGAATTCGATCAATTTTCTTTTTTTAAGCAACTAAGTTGAGCAAGCGAGAATAAAACTTTTATTACTGAATAATATTTTTTCAATTGATTGAATAATAAATTTTCCAGCATAAATGCTAAAGAATGAATAACAATGTAAAATAATTATCTAACGGTTTATCAAGTTACCAGTTTAAACTAACAAAGTAATTGAAAATATTAAGCTTATCCAGTTTTATCAAACCTCCTCTTTTAAGAGAGAAGTCAATTGCGTGGTTTAAACCACTACTTCCTCACCGCTAAAATATGATTTGCTTATTTTTAAGAGAATAATTTTTTGAAACTATCTTTCATTTATAGGATTTTATTTTTGATCCTCTATTGTAGAGAGCTTTAAAATAAATAACCTCAGATGAGTTAATTATATATAATTTTATAATAATTAATGAGACTTTAATTAACTTTTAATTACTACATCACATGAGTATAAACAAGCGGTCTTATACAATATTTATAACTTCTTTTGTAAATTATTGATCAAAAAATTATGCAACTCAGTTATGGTAAATGCAAAATATCACTTGGACATTGATCCTACAATTTTATTTTATGATATAAAAATAGTTTTGTCTTGATTTTAAAAGACATAAATTATGTAATCGATATTTACGGAAGGTAAAAAGTGTCTTGAAAATGTTTTGTTATCAGTTAATTATTAGTCAACTGACAATTAGTAGTATACAATCTATAAAGTTCGATGTACTCTATTACAAGTATTATTACCTAACACCCAATTGTTGCAACCTGATTCCCACCGCGAATCCGCAAATCATCATTCAAACTACTTTTATCTATTATTATGGTAAATCTATTAACGACAGAAGAATGAAGATTTTTAACTTTTTTATTATAAATCAAAGAAATGATTTTTACCGTCAACCCATCGCCAAGTACGTGCTGTAATTGATGGCTCTTTTTGTGCTCCAATCCATACAAGTTGAGTTTTTAACTTGTCTTTTCTTTTGTCAAGATTATTTAAAATGAAAGTTGAAGTAATTCCCTGTAAAAACGAGTAAATATATTTATAAAATATTTTTATTAAAATAAATATAATTTATTTAAATAAAAAAAAAATGGTATACCTTAAAATCATGAACTAGATCTCCTTCCCTAGATTGACAGTAACTTCGTGCATCTTGAAATGACCCACCTTTGGTTACGATAAATTCATAACAAGTGGAATTAAACACCGCAATGTCAGCATCAGCAGGTGTTCCTACATGTGCGCATCTGTCAATGGAATACTCTGTAAGGGCATATGGCAAGCGATATAAAATAAAGGCGAACTTTCTATACAAATATCTAAAGAATAATCCACCTACCATCAGTAGCAAAAACTTCGACTTCGCAGACACTAAGACTTCCTTCAACACCAACTAGTTGAAGAAATACATATTCACCCACAAGTGCTCTTGCACAAACGAAGGTTTTTGTAATTCCTTCCTCTGTAATAAAATCATTTTTAAATGAATCTGATGTTAAATATAAACATCTACAACTTTAGAATAGTAATAAATAATGATGAAAAAATTTTAAAATATCCTGAATTTAAAAAAAAATGATACTGAAGCATGTTAACTATTTCAGTAATGTTTCTGATCTTTGTTTCAATAATTATCAGAGGTCATTTAAGAAACTATAAGTATGAGAAAATAAGTAGGTTCTGTTATTATAGATAATTGCTCTTTTCTATCCAACTAGTTCTTTCTATTTGAATGAATTTTTCTAGTACTTTTAATATAACAGTAAGTAAAAAAATATAATTACCAATAGTACCAGGGAACCATGCACATAATGGATTTCTTTGGAGTTCAGCACTGCTGTTACCAACCCTTATTTCAATATCTCGAAGTGGTTGATGGCCACAACAACCACGTGTAGTTACTCGGACAACTTTAATGGCATATGGCTTCAATAAATCAACTTTCCACCAAGGACTAGGTTCTTTCTGAGTTTCAGTGCATCGCTTTCCATCATGCTCCGTTCCAACATCTCCATCATTCCCATGACTCGCATCACCACCTCTGACTGTTGTCGATTGATTAGCAGGTTTACGAAGAGCAACATTTGTTCCTAAAAATTATTATGACAATTTAGAAAGTATTATTCAAAAGTTCCAATTGATGTAATAACAAAATCATAGATTACAGATGACTTACCACAGAATGGTAATTCTCCTTGCCATCTCCCTTGATTACTGCATTTTATAATTGATGATCTACGAGATAAGGAAATGCAACCAAAAGTGTAATAATTGGTATTAAAAATCATTAACTAACTTATTGATTAGATTGATCATTTTTAATACTAAATAATTTCTTATGATGCAATCTTATTAGCTGGTCGATGACAGAAAAATAAATGTAAGTTGAATTAGAGTTCATTCCGGTGAAAGTTCTTGGACGATGACAAGCATCTTATAAATAGTTAATTTATGAAATTATTATATTTGAAACGCTTAATGCGCATTATAATTGAAAATTCTAATAAGTAAGATAATAATTTCTATTTATTGCTTCTGTTATATCTAAATTAAAAACAATGACTTTAATATCAAGATAGAAATTTTTTTTAAATAATTTATTTATTTATATAAGTGTAATTCATCATGATAATAGAAAATGTTTCATTCAACGAGACAGAAAATAATGTTTACTATGCAATATGTCGTTTAAAATGACTCATCCAAGAATGAAAATGATACAACATAGCAAAGAACTAATTCTAGTTATCCGGTGATTTTTTTGCTGGGTATTATAAAGACGTAAGTCCCGTTAAATCACTTGGTTAGTTGTATCCTTAATTGTCTACCTGTTCTACACACTTTGGATTTCAGGAGCGCAATAACATTTAAACTTACCCGAAGAGTTCGTAACCTGCATCACACGTATAAGTCGCCAAAGTACCAGCTGACAGTGAATCGTCTGACAGAGAAACCTTGGAGTTCATTGGCACCGCTGGATGGCCGCATTTTGCTCCTACAATCATCATCAGTTATTTAATCATTTTATTAATTCTTCAAGCTAATAATATTGATATTCATTATCAGTGAATATAATTAACGTCACATTATATTGAATCTTAAAATTCTGTAGGATGCAAAGATGATAAGTTTGTATATGGTATATGATCATTAATTATCATTATCATTGATGAAAGGGAGATTTTTTTTTATTTTTTATTAAAATAGCAATTAAATGAAAATAAGAGAAATATTTATTCATCATTTGCTCTAGATATTAACGATGTTATTGAATTTTTGATAATTCATCAACTTTGTGAGGTAATTTATCAAGCTGTTTAATGACATCTAATTTTATTTCCCGTTGATTTACAAGCAATCGAGTGTTGAATTTTCAATAAGTAACTCCAGCTACCGTTTGTCGACCTGATCAACTGAACTGTTTATAAGTCTTTAGGTATATAAACAAGCATGATATGACTATTGAAACTTAAAGTTAAGTCATGCTAAAATGTATGAGCAATTTTAGAACAATTTTCTTACAAAAATTGAATGTAAAGAGCCCTTTTAATTCAAGCTTATGAAAATTTGACTGAAACAATTGGGAGGAGTAAACATGCATATTTTGACATATTTATAGCATACTACATACTGATTTGCCATACAAATCACTGAGTACAACCACATAATTTTTATTTTGAAATAAATATGTATTTGAATAATTCATTAGTGATTATCATTAAATACAATCTTACACAAATGCCATTGTTGCATTTACTAAAATAATGACATTTATTTCTTAAATGCTTTCCATAATTCAAATAACCATGCATGCTAAATATGTTAAAAATCGTGAGAAGTTGATGAAGTATTGTGAATTAAAGATGTTTGTTTCAGAATTCATCTGAATTTAGTTATTATGCAGGTGCAATAATTTAATTATCTGATTAAAAAAATGATAGATAAAATAAAACTAAGTTTATAATTGTTGGAGAATTATAACATAGAGAAAATAACTAAACTCACAAGATGACCTTCTCATACTTGTTGCTAATCTTTTGTTCCTAATTAGGAATGCGGATTTTCTTTATTGTAGAGAAATGTTGCTTATTTTAATTGTTCTTCCTACTTTGAAGTAAGTATGTGAATCTTTTCTCAGAAGACAGTTGATGATAATCAAAAGATACTCATCATTAATTATCAAATTACACTTTTGGAACATTTTTAATCAAAAATTTGGTCACCAGATCGTTTTGTCTATTTAATTACACATTGTGAAATACTGATTTCATCATTTTTATGACAATATTTAATTACTATGCAGCAACATCTACCATATTCCTATTTTTTAATAATGAAAAAAATTTTTTTTCTATATTTCTATGAATAAATATATCTAATTCAATGTAATATAAATTTTTATGATATTTTTAATGTCTTTTACAGCTGCTTCAGCTACTTATAGATGAAACTTTCCCCCTATAAACACATTTTCCAGCTTTATCATAGCACTAGTGTTCCATAGTTATCTTGAAAAAAATTGTAAGAAGGCTTAGAAGCAGAATAAGATCATTGCAAAGATGAATGGAGCTAGTATTCTGCAGTTGATTGGTTCGTGACTGGCTTGAACGTTTCTAAAAGCAACTAAGATAACATTAAGAGTATCAGAGCACGGCCGACTTATTAGTTCAGACTAACAAAATCCTCAATTTCTATTTAAATATGCCATATCGTACAACACATCACTATTATGATATATCTCTCCAGGTAATTAATGCTACTCAAGTTAGCTTCCTGCACACATTATAAGTCATTTGTTGCATTTATTTGTTAATTATTTCTTTTCACTTATTATTCATTAATGACATTGTATTTTTTCTTAATTCTGTGAAAGTGAAAACTGGAGACTTGAGAACGTGAAAAATAATCTATTGAATTGAACAATAATAAAAAGAATAAGAAATAAATTAGATGATAAAATAAGTAAAGAATGAATTTGGTTGAGTTTGGATGGGAGTTGAAAAAAATTCAATGACCTTTGGATGGAAGAAACCTAGGGAGGAAAGGGGAAATCAGATGGATTCCTGGGTCACTCGGTTACAAAACCTCTCAGCCGAAATAACGGGATACAAGTTGTGCGTGTAATGTTTGTTGAGAGTGGATCAGACAGATAATGTGTACTGAAATTATTATATGTGGTCATATGTCGATGTATGCATGGTGTTAACCATGACGTTGGTCACGTGCTTGAAATTTTTTATTACTATGTAGAAATCTCATTTTTTTTCCCAGTTAATCTAAGTGAATAACTAAGATCTTCTAAGAAGATATGATTTTTATAATTTCCCTTAATCATTTATCACTTTTTAATTCATATAATTTTTAAATACTTGAAAATCAGGAATGTGTTACTCTAGTGTTGAGTATGTTATTTTAACACGCAAGTATTTCAATTTTATGGTAATAATTTCTACCTATGAAGTAGTTAGAAGTATGGATGATATCTCAGTAGCTCTTTGATGAATTAAATCATTTAATAGTCATTAATGATATTAAATATTAGGAAATTTTTAATGCAACATTAGAGATTGAAATACATTTAATTAAGTTGAAATTAAAGAATTTTATTAGTAGAGTATAATAAATATTTAAATTTTGATAATTAAGTGGAATAATATTAGATATTTACAACACCCCAGTGTGGTATAACTCGAAAGTCTGAATGTCAAGTAGTAATTAAATTTTTACTATAGTATTGTTGGCTATAATTTATATTTTATCAGTAACCCACATTTGGTTTTATTCGGGGAGGGGGAAGGGAGATTTGTTATGAAATATTCTATATTTAATAATTAGATAATACTGCAATAGGATGAAGAAGTTTATAATTAAGTAATAACAGCTCAGACATGTATAAAAAAAAACCTTTTTTAGTATTTAAAATAAATTAATATGGAAAGAAATTTCCTCTTTCAATTGGAAAGTCTTCTATTTGAAAGTTAATCAAATTCGATTTTATTTAAATTTCAACTTTTTTCTTATTTGAATAATTTATCCACTATTGGTATGGTTGTCCTAGTCCCTTTGGAATGAAATTCATGTAAACTGGTTTGCTTGAGATACATTTTGCTTACTGAGTTATTAAAATAATTATATATAATATTATTAAGCTGTATATAATAAATATGTAATATTCATTGTGCTTGATAGAAATTATTTTAAATTTCACTTGAATTGATAAAGTTATTGAAGTTGAAGAAGTGATGGTAGTTTGCGTATGAGAGTGAATCTTGTTGATGATTTTTAACGTAAGATCTCGGTCATTAACACTTAGTATAAATCTTTGATCGATAATAATCAGAAAGCGAGAGGGTTTTTAACCGTATATATTAGATTTCTTCGTTCATTGTCTTTATAAAAGATAAGTATACAACCCTAAGATTTACCGCACAGTCTCTTCAGGTAATTACGAAAGCGATGACGTCCACGTTCGTCGGTCTATCGCACACTATAAGAAATGAAATTGTTATGAAACCACCGGAATTTACACTTCTCACTACAGGAGACAAAAAACAATTTGCCGTTAAATCAGCTTACATTATTTATTATTTCTACACCCATATTCAAAAAAAATATATAACGTCATATTGAAACACTTTTAATGTATTAAAATAATAGACTAAGATTTGTAATGCACGAACTCGAATTTTAGCAAAATTTGTTAAAACTAAATTCAAATTAAACTCCAGAAGAAAAATTTTTTATAGCAATAAATAAACATATCCGGTATATTAAGATGTGCCTTGAGCTTTATGAATTATAAAAAGTAGTTATAAAAAAAAAAAAAATGTTTGTCAGACAATTTTTAAAAACCCATGTTAATTTAGTGTATTAATTTTATCATTTTGATATCTACTTTGTAAAAATATAAAATGTCAATTTTAAAAACTAATCTTCACTCAATCAAGATTACTAAAAGTCTACTAATTTTTTTTTCTCTTTTTAAACCCTTTGATATTTTAATTTCCATTCAAAACCTCTTTGATCTTAAAAGTTAATTAATAATTTTCTTAACGTCTATTGTAATTATTGCAGTTATTTATTTCATACATATTGGAGCAAACTGAAGAAAGTAATATGTAATTTTCTTAAGAGAAATAAATAGAGACAGTTACTTGTAATAATATTTATAAATTAATATTACACATGTGTTGTAAATAATTGTATTGGAGAGAGTGGTTACTTTTCACAGATAATTATAGTGTCTCATAATTAAAGAACATTTAAGTCAGCAGATTAGATTAATGAGCAGTGAAAAAAATGATCTTATTGCAGACAATGATGAGAGTTAAAAAATACTATGATTATCAAAAGATTATGTACATAGTGAAGAAAAAAAAAAGATTCATATGAACAAAATAATATTTTTTGTTGTAATTATCAAAATAATCATAAATTCACTGACTGAATAAAAAATTATTGTATTTACATTATGTAATATTGAGTTACTTCAATTGTAATATTTCCTATAATTTATCAACATTGTCTATGAGCTCTTATTTGAAAATTATTAAAATGATATTCAAAATATTCAACCAGATAAAAATGATGTAACTATTGCAAATAGTATGTGTGAAAAAGATAGATTGATAGAGTGTGTTAATTACTCCATACTCAGATTATTGTATTAACGCTAATTAAAAATAGTTGGCATTTTTTTTGAACTTGTTGGAATCAAAGATTTTAAATAGATAGTGACTTTCTGACCATGGAGCTATACTCCAACGATTTAAGATCATGCATTAGTCCGATCTACTTGAGCACTGATATCAGAGCTAAGTAAAGCCTCTCTTAAATGTTACGCCTATCCCACACAAGTTTCTCTATGTCCATTTCTTCAGGGAATTTATATTATGTGCTGCATGATACTAGATCGTACTTCAAGAAACGCCCTGGTCTCACCCTTCTATTCTATAAACTTAGTTGTTGTAGTTTGCTTTACATGCAATTTATCTTTCCTCTCACTTTAGTTTACACATTGCTGAGAAAAAAAATATTCTTCACTTGTAAGAAAATAAATACATGCTCCAGAGTATGGTTACTAATTAACTAATTATGGTAACTTTGTTTAAAAATAAATATGCCTAAGATTATAAATAAGTATTTCATCAGCTGATGGATTTTTTAGAAACATACGATGAGTTCATTGAGGAAAGATTTTATTTATGGAGTGAAAATAATTTATAAAATGCATTTAATGATAATTCTTATCAATTGACTATGAAATCTTCATGTTGAGGTTTTATGTTATTTAAACTTTCAATCAAGCTGGAATTTTAGTCATCATAAATTGAGTCATTCAAAATGAATTAAAGAAACTGTTTTTTTTTTCAGTACCTTGAGAAAGAAGCTGGAAAAATTGAGTCATTTTTCACAATAAAATATTTCTTTTAACAGTAATGAGGGAATAGATTCTATTTTTAAATAATTTATCTTATAATTGAAAAATAATAATAAATAATTTGAAATTAAAATAACTGATATAAATTCGCAGTATGATGATTCACAGAAATACTTCATCATCAGCATCAATTTTTCCTCCAATTTAAATGAAAAATATTTATTAATGAATTTATTAACCGAATAGAGTAATATTTTTTTCAGTAGGTACAGAAAAAGCAATGCTCAACAATAATCATTTATTCATGATCTAAACACATGCGAAACTTGTATACACGTTTAAATCCTACAAAAGGTAAGCATCATGGTAGTCATGGTTGGAGATCGAAGAGAAATTTAATTAGAGAGTTAATACATGCTGCGAATTAGGACGAAGGAAGTGACTATAATTGAGATTTACAGTCTCTGTTAGATTTTCTGGAATATTTCAATAAAAGAAAGTATTTTTTTTTCTCTCATATTATTTAAACTATTAAATTTTTCAGATGATTGATTAAATAAAAATAAATCAAGCTCGAATATTTTTCATTATCATACACTAATGATTATTTATTGTTTTGTTAAATTGAGGAATGCTGTCTAATGATAAAAAACAACCTACAAGAAAGGTGAGTGCACTTTGCTAACGTAGAGATTTGTAAGGTAACGTCTGTAATGGAATGCAAAAATATTTCGCAAACTTTCTTTCAAGAGTTAAAACAATTTAATCAAAATATACACAAAGATGATCATCAGTGTTTGTTAATCATATAAAATTATCTTATTACAAAATATATTTTTATGTTTATTTATAATATATTGTTAAATATGAAAAATGAAATGTCTAAAGTACAATATTACACATATTCTCAAGACTTAACAAGATGATTAATGAAATATCATTTAAAAAATATTTTTCTACTTGTTTAAATCATTGCATTTACTAATTAGTAATAGAATATTTATTAAGGACACCACTTGTATAATAAGTAGGTAATATAATATCACTCGTCTTTGAAAATTTGTTCCCTTTCTATAATCTTTACTCTAGCAGTGCCTCAAGGATATCTGCACTTTCAGAAGTGTGTAATCAGGAAGAGAATGCAAATGGAGTACTTCATGATCACAATATACTGATAAATATATTCTATGTCCTATATTTGTTTTCAAAATTTTTTAATTTATTAAAAAACAAAGAAACCCCCTAAGTATCGATTTATACTCGGATGTATGAGTTCCGGTGATTGTGGTTAATCCAAAATGTCATAATACATAAATACAATAGGTACTTAGTTAAATGATATTTACTATCAGTTATTTAAGAGAGAGAATTAAATAAATCCTCTTGGTGTTAGTTATTTAAAAAATTCAATCTTTCGTGGTGATCCTTTTTTTATCCTACTTGTTGGCCTCGTATCCAAGAAAATATAATAGCCGAGGACAGTAATTGAGTGGGCGTTGAACAGGTAAGTATTTTATTTCTTTCTATTTTCATTATGGACGAAAAATAATAAAATTTCATAGAAATAGAAAGACGTTGAGAATCTTACCAACAGATATCAGATGTAACAAAAATTTTTAATCACAAAAAAAAATATTCATTATATTCAAAAATAAATTTTTACTTTCTACTAAATTTTGATCATTCCAAGAATATTCTTGAAACAATAATACATTTTGATGATTTCTGAAAGACTAATAAAAAAATAAGTCTAATTATTGAAAGGTTGCAATACAATTAAAATGACCTTCAGTCAGATAAAAGACATTCAACAGGAGTCAGTAAAACAATTGTATAAAAACAATTTTTGTAATGGTATCTTAGGCATGTATTAGCACATACTATCTTATGAAATAATTAAATAAATAAATGAAATATCCACCAACCATTTATTTGTAATGGCAGTAACCCTAACAAGGGTATCAACATCACGAAGACGAACATGATTGTTCAATATCTTCCTTTAGCTTTCCTATGTTGCATTTAAGATAGATCTCTTTGTTATAAATTTATTCACTCTCTTTGCACTCTCTTTCACACCTGTTTAAAAGAAAACTTGTAAAACGTTTCTTTATTTCTTTCAAATAAATTCTACGAAGCGTGACTAGTAATCTCAACTGTCACTTTGAAATTTGAGATGGACACTAAATATTATTTCACTTGTTTTATTCTATAAAATACAACGTAAACACTTTTTGAACACACTGTTTGGAAGTGGAGCTAAATAACTTAGCTTATGAACATATTTGGAGCACTGTTTATTCGACAGTCTTATTCCTCCAACCTTGGCTTTCTTGAAGACTTGAGACATTCAAGAAATGTATCACAATATTTGATGGTTTAAACTATTTTCTTTATTTATATTTCACATTATCTTCAGTTGAATTTATGACATTTTATCAAGTGAGTTTTTTTTATTTAATGTAAAGGTGAAATGTATATAAATGCACTTTTTAAGAATCACGGAACTTACGATCCGTTCCCTTCACCGGTCGAACACGCAGTGCCCCTGGCTAGAACCTCGTTGTCTCTTCGTTGAATATGAAAGTCGTCTTACTATACGATTGGGAGAGACCTATGGCTTTTTAATGTGATAAACAGTATAACATTCAGTCTCGAATTCCCAATGAAGCAGTGCTTCATTTTTAAGTTCAGAAAGACAGGTTAAAAATCAATAATTGATCACATCATTTCATGTTGATGAAAGAATTTAAGAAGAAAAAAAAATAGTATTGTTAAAGGTTATGATTAGTTTTAATTAATTCAATAAGTGATCTGAAATTTAAATAATGTCTAAAGGTAATATGAAAAAATTGATTACAAAAATGTCTGTCAAATTGGCAAGGAGATAGTGATGGTATGATGAAAGATACTTCTGACATAAATTTCATCTGGTGTACTTTTGACATTCCCTTGACTCTGTATGCATAATGAGATAAAAAAACATTTGTCTGATGATCATCAGTGTAAGTATAATAATAGATAATAGTTTTTATTTCATGCATACACGTGCAAAGGAAGAGCTCATGGACGTTTTTAACTGCATGTAACGAAAGTTACAATGTGATTGCCCTGTTTCTCGTGTGTGAAGCGATTACGAAAGTACATTCGTATGTCTAACAGAAAGGAAGAGAAAATCCCAAATGAAATCCAAAGTTAATAAATTATTGATTGTTTAGTTACAAAATAAATTTGTGATAAAGTTGGATTATCTATGGAAATATCTATTGGGTACTATTAAATCACTTTATTATTTATTTTTTAACCATTTACACTTATTTTTTATACATTTTTAAGGAATGCTTTACTTACCTCTATTTTATAATCACCAAAAACAAATGATTAAACTGATTATACAAAAAAAAAGAAAGATGAAGCAATATCCTTTAATGTTTTGGTAAACAAAAGATTCAAACTATTCCCTAATGTTCCATAAAAAATAAAAAGTTGTGTATTTTAATAATTAAACAGGTAATGTTCCACATCTTAAATCAATTTTATTAAAAAAATATCTCATGAATACTTTAAAAATATTTTTAATACACACTATTACTCATAAACTCAGAATAAACAAATTATGGAAACATAAATTTTCAATCTTGTATTAGAGTTTTTTGTGAATGTTACTTTGTAAGGTACAAGCGTCCTTAATATACTTGAATTGACCTAATACTTGAATGATGTTAAATCATAAGATAGTTGGAAAAAAAATAAAGCTAATGTTGCAACTATCTTTATTGATGTTAATGAGATCGATACTTGTATTACAGTTGTAGAGCTCAATTCTTCTAAGATACAAGTTGTACTTGCATTACCGTTAGTCCACCTTGGTTCTTTTTCATCATTTTGTCTTACCTACTCCAGTAACTAAACTTTTTTTTATCTAATAGTTAAACCTTTATCACTTTAAAAGCTACCGGAAAGTGCTACCTGAACACTACATAGTGATACACTGTTCAACCTAGTCATTTCTCTACATCTCTCTAATTAAATTATCAATAGAATTTTTTTTTATCTACAATTAAACATCGTTTCATTAAAACTTCTGACAAAAGTGATTAACATTTAAAGATTATTTCAGAAAGAAAATTAACAAAAAAAATACATTTAAATGATAAATTCATCATTAAATGTGTTTTGTTTACTAATTTTAATTAAAATGAATTTTTGAATGTTATTCAAGCATATTGATCAATCAACAATCAATTTAGGTATGAATTGATCATAAAACAAATTTTTATATAATGAGATGAGGAAAAAAGAAGGGTGAAAACCTTTGTTCAACACGATTGTGTTACTTGGTAATGGCATGTGAAGTAAATACAACCATATTACTTTTTTTTGCATATATTTCTTGTGATCAGACTAATTGTAAGATCTCTGACGTTTCTCTCTGGTAACAGGTATACTTGCTGTTTTTCTCTGGTGACTACTTCTTTATCTTTAATACATTTTCTTTCTCTCCACTCGCAAGACATGACGTCATGATCGAGAAGCCCCTTTCACCTGAAATCAAACCTCAATCTCGGTCAGAGAGTAAACAGCGTTTATTGATACCGAAATTATGTCTGTTTCGTGTTTTACGGTTGTAAACTCTGAATAAAATAAAACAGAAGTTCAATTGATCGTTACAGACATTTTTATACTATTACCTTTATAAATTTATTGTTTACAAACATCATCATAACAAAGTAGCTATTACATTTGTAATATAATCAGACTTTATTAATTAATTAACTGAAAAATTTAATAGAATAAATAATTCAAAATCATTTTAGAATATTTTATTTATAAATCTTTTATTGATTTATTTGAAATTAATGATAAATAATACATTTTATCATATACCCAGTAGTTTTTAACCTCTACTGACGCTATCAAGACGCGTGTCTCCACCTGTTGGAAAGTATAAAGGATTTTCACAAATTTCAATCCGTGCTAAAATTCTTTGGCAAGTGCGCAAGCCTTTACAGAGTACCACTGTTGCGCTAAAGAAGACACATAATGTGCGCGTTCACTTTGGATTTCAATCATGGTGTTATCCACTATGAGTTCACGTCAATATACTATTTACTCTTCAGGTCAACAGTCAACATTCCGGAGAATGTGGTGCCTTCAAAGGCACCAAAATCCACGTTAACATGTAAGTGATTATCTATTTTTATTATAACATTCACAAAATCATTAATTAATCTTCTTTTTTTTGAAAAAAATAAGCGCATTCTTATTCAGGTATTGCATGTATTGTTGTATCAATTAGAAGGAGTGTCTCTATTTACATCTTTCTGCTTCTCATTTCCGGCACTCTAATGTTTTTTTTTTTTTGTTACTTTAAATATTTTTGTTAGTTTATTATTAAGATAAAAAAGCATCGAGGAATTTTTTTTTCTGTTAAAAGCCTGTCTATATGTGTTAGAATAATATTGAAGATATTTAATCTTGTTAAATCTTACTAATCATTGTATAATGTTAAATATTTAGGTAAAAAAATTAATAATTTATTTTTGAACAATTGAATGGTTGTCGAGATGGCTGAATGTAATGATTCAAAATCCAATGACGATTACAATAATTCAATATCAAAAAGTCAAATAGAAATAAATGAATGTTTGAGTAGTTGGCTTACGTATCTACAGGTAACTATGATAAATGAATAAGTAATTTTTCCTAAAATATTCAACAAAAAGTACTTCTTTGTTCAATTAGATGCTCAACAATTTATGCTCTGCTGGTACAAAACTAGCTCAATCATTACAGTCAATATTATCAAGCTATGAGACAACAATTCATTGTCGGCTTACGGGTCAGTGTCTTGCTGGTTGGGAAGAACTTACTAGAGCGACAAGTATAGCAAGTAACACCGTTAAACACCATGTGATTGCGGCCTTGAGAGACCATGAAGTTCGAGACAGTGATGTTGAGAAACATGTTAGTATTAGACATAAATATAAATCATTAAAGTGACCTTAATAAATCATTATTGATTATATGCCAAAAACAAATAATGTGTTGTTTCCTTGCAGGACATTCTTCGGGACAATCTCTTGACCTTTATAAATTTACAATATCAATTTTGTGTAGCTTGTTGTGAATGTTTAGGTATAAATAAACAATGTAATTTATATTTTTTGCTCATGGACAATCAATCATCAATTGTATAAATATATTTTAAGGTGGAATGGCAGAATGTTCATGCTCTCAATCAGGAAAAAATGAATGTGATATTGCAGCCCTTCAACAATGCTTTGAACGCCTTCATAGTCCTCAAACACCAGTTTCATTATCATCAGCTCAACAAAATAGTCACAGATCTCCATTGAGGTATCCTCTTTTTCCTCTACAGGTTCAGAGACGATGGTCAGAGACTGCAGCCGCAGAAATGTCGGGAGAATCTAATGAAAATATCATGAGAAGGTGGTCAATGCCTTGGGACTGTCGTCATGTCTCAGAATGGCCTCGACAAGAAGAAAAGTCTAGATTAAGAGTTCCCCATCGTGACCGAAGTAGGTCTACTACACCAGATTCTGTGTGGAAATCATCCGGAATAACTAGTCAAGACGGTCTTCAAGAGGCTATACAATTACTCTCTTGTCGACCAGGTGAATTTTTATGAAAACACTGAATAATCAAGTCTTAACAGAATTATATAAAACTATATTGTTTTTCGTATTTTATTCAGGTGTAAGACCAACTACTCAATTATCTGCTTTTTCAAGTCAGTATATTCCTAATGTTACATTAACGACTTGTCATTTTGAAGCTAATTGGCCAGATTCTAAACAAATTGGACCTCTGAAATGTTGGCCTCAAGATTCACACTCTAGTGATCATTCAGACTACTCAGGACCGCGAGAAAGTGACCAAAGTTGTTTGAGCAGTGACCATAGAGATTCAGGTACACAGATATATTATAAAAAATTATTCAATAGTTGCACTTTTTATCAATGAAATATTAAAAGCGAACAATTTGATATTTATATGAATAGAGCACAGTACTGGAGGTACTGTCAGTCATCGAGGTAGCAAAGATCGTATTCACTCGTACAGTGAGCATAGCAGTCACAGAGATGTTGATGGTTCTGGAATGAATGATGCTCTTCCATCACGAAGAAGTTCATCATCAACAGATTCTTGTTTATCAGCAACGAGCAGATCGGGTTCAGAAAGTGCTGGTGCAGGGGTATTTTTTACTTTTAAAGAATCTTTATAAAAGTTAAAAAATAATTACCGAAATAATAATATAATATAATATTGTTATGATGATAGGAATCCTCAAGATCTCAAATATATTCAATGTGGAGTGGAGACTTGCCATTCATAAAATTACCAGAAAGTAATGAAGTTAATGATCAACGGCCTCCAACAAACTAAACAATCATTATCATAATTTAATAATTATAATCAATTAATCGATTTAGCAAGTTTAAAAAAAATTATATAAAATGTATGAAATAACGTGGACCAATTTCGAAGATCAAAGATCTACAGGCGGAGAGCAATCATTAACTTCTTATCATATCTATGATACATAATATAATTATGTAGATGCAATATAAAAATGCATATCGATTATGCATTAACTGTGTTCTCTAATTATTTAAATTCGATAAATGTATGCAAGTGATTAGAAAATCTTTGTTATGTCATTAAAAAGAGAAAGTACATATAATAGATAATACGGACCATATTATATGGTACTAATGTTTATTAGTTGGTGTACCGAATCATAAAAATAGAAAAATTTGAAAAAAAAATATTCATATTTATTTATAAACACATATAAATATATACCTTCATTATTCCTTATTTTTTTATAGATTTAAAAATTTTTAGATCTTCAATTCAGCTTTATTTTATGTTTATGTCGCTCCCATTAAAATTAAGGGTATGAAGGGTTTCAATCAATTTTTTTCCGGTCAAACAATTAAAGTTATTCGAATATTTGCATTGTTGGAATTTTCTACTATTGTTACAAAGGGGTATAAATATATATTGTTTGAATAAATAACATATAATGTATACGTACATTAATCGATTTTTATGTGATGTCTTCATCAAAAGGCAATCTATCAACACAGTTGACAACTGGATGGATGATTTGATACAAACCATAAAATAATTTGGAAATTACATATAAGTGTTAGAAAACAATCAACGGTAAAGTGTTTTTCTTCAATGAATAAGTTATTATACAAATATTTTATTTATGAAATTATATTATATTTACGTCAAAAAACTTTTAACATATTATAATATCATTTCTTTGAACACTAAATCTCATAGAACATTTGTATTGTCGTATAAAAGAAAATAGCATCTATATTTTCATTTAAATCTTCACAATGAATTATTGTATTCAATCTACAAGGTAAAATAATAATGCAGCGTTGTTTATCTATTTTTACAAATAATAAAATAATTTAATGGAAAATGTAGTTTTCATAAATTTTAACAACATATTTTTTAAACTTTATTTTCATCTATCTTTTGAATTTGTGATTGCTATTATTAGAATAGCTCGTATATAAATCCTTATATTACAAAATATATACAATTATAGTATTAAATCAGTTCTGGCCTACAAGAGTGGTATAATATCGCTAAATCAAATTTGTCTATCATAAGACAATCAAATTAATATTATTCAAAAAAAATAAATAATATTAATAACATTTTTTTATCTAAATTAATGGTATACAAAAATTTTATATAAAAAAGTATCTAACAAAAAAATCCTAATATATTTATTTGAAAGAACATCATCACATTTATATATGAATTAGGCATAATTAAAAAACTTTTATTTATAAACGAATTTAACAATTCACTTATTTAATATGTCAAGTAATGAGAAAGATGTTTGATGATTCATGTTTTGTTTAAAAAAAAATTAAGTACCAATGAAACTTTCATTGTTTAATACAAAAAAAAAAAATATTTATACTTCAAAAAATTTCTGAAAAATAATTTATAAAATTATTATTATAATTTGTCACTTTCATTTAACTAAAAAGTTTTATATATTTTATTTATCTTGTAAACCATCATTATTTGATCTTTTGTTTTATAAACTTTAATTTATATTGTTTGTGATTGGACATTCATTTGTTTGAACAATACTGTTATATTTCTTTTCTTTGTTATTGTTTAAGAGCACATAGAAATTTGTCAACAAAAAATAAGTTAATGTATTTCAATAACTTGAATAAATAAAAATTGAACTCATAACTATTGATAATATTTAATTTATTAAATTAATAGATATTTTAATATTGATATATAAAAATTTTTTGTAAAAAATTTATTTATTTTTTTTCACTTTTCTTAATTTTAATAATTATTTTAACTTCTTTTTTAAATCGACGTTACGATTTTTTTTAAATGATATTTAATAGTAAAAATTTATAAAAAATGTATAACTCATTCTTTAATTTAAATTCTGATATTCTTATAATAAAAAATATGATATTGACTGTACAGTAACTTATGTATAATTTAAAGATAAAAATGCGTTTTTGATAAATTATTTATTAATTTTAAAGTATTTCCTACTTTTTAAAATTATATATATTTTTTTAATGAAAATATAATTAATTGTCATGGTTTCGAGAACAAAAAATTTAATGAAAAATGCTTTTAAACTGATCATTATTATCTATCTAATTATGGTTACCTGTTAGAAAGATATTTTAAAGGCCCTAAACTCAATATCGATGTAGCTCCAAGTGCTGCTAAATTATAAGAATTTGGATTTCTTGGACTATCAATAGTTATTATGGGTAATCCAAAATAACCATTGGTTTGTGCACTAAGTTGCGATAGAGGAATATAACTTTGAATCCCTAAACTCGTTAATCTATTGAGTGTTTGAGGAGATTTTAAATCCACAACTGGAATTGCCAATTCTATGCCATTTGTTGATATTGAATCGTCTTTGTGGTAATTTTGTTTATGAAGTAATAAATCTTGAGCTGTTGGATATTGCGCCGTACAAAGATTACACCTTAAAGATAAAAAAAAAATCCATCATTACAATTGCCAAGTGAATATTGAATAATTAAAAATTATAATAGAATTACTTTTTTCTATAAAACTTTTTTCATTTTATCTTGTAATAAAAAATTGAACGAATATCACAAATAATTGTTAAAAAGACGATAGTAATTGCATAAATTCAACAAGTTTTTCATTGTACATATAATTATATATACGAAGATATAAAGAGAAATATTTTTTTTTCTCAACTTACTTATGCAACAATTTATTGCTTGTTCGATGCGTTGCCATGTGTTGAACCAACATTTCTTGATTTTGAAAGCTTTTATCACATATTTGACACATCAACGCTGCCCTAAAATTATAAAATATATTAGTGAAAAAATATTTCATCTTGCGTAGGAGCTAAATGAAAGTAGAATTGAGTAAACTCGGTTCCTCCAAGTTGTTTTTTTAATTTATATGAGAGCAAGTGAGACAAACTCTGGGTTAATACTAAGACTTTGCATTTATTTCTCTTTTTTTTAGTTTAGAACCAGGCAGATTTTTTTTCCAAAGGAATTAAAGAGACTATCGACGTTTCAAGGTGAACCTAGAGCTCTCACTTTTTCTTTTGAGAGATATAAAAAGGTTTTAGGAAGTCAAAAGACCCGAATTAACTCGATGTTGTGATTTTACTAAATAAACCACTATAAAATTATGTTTGAAGAAAATATATTACTACTGTAATGATATCTCATACAAAAAGAGAAAAAAGGTAATACAAATTGGGATTTAGATAAGCAAAAATGTATGTACCTGGGGGGTCGGCCCCTTCTTGCTGGTGGTAACACAGGTGTTGGTGTTGGCGTATCTTGGGTCAGATCGACAGTTGGTGGTCTTGGTGGACGTTCAACTTCTGGCTGTGTTGGTTTATTTTGTTTATTTTGAGGTACTGCAAATTGTTGTTGTTCTTGCTGTTGTGCTTGTTTTCTTTGAGAGCTTGCAGGTATTATAGATATTGCAGAATTCAAATTCAACGCTGTAACATTGACAGGAGGTGATGTCCTTCCAGTAGTTCGTTGTTGTTGTTGTTGTGGCTGTGCTGAAGTTGATTGTTGCTTTTGCTGTTCTGCCGTTTTGTTTTTATTTGCCGTTGGTGTTACTGTAATTCCTCTGGCTGCAAGAACATTCGCAACTGCTTTGGCATCAGGTTTTTTCGCACTGGCAGCACCGGAATTCTGTACTTGAGCTGGAGCGGAACCTTCAGATTAGTAAACACATATTTTCTTTTGGCTTTTACCTTTTTCCGATTTAAAGAAAAAGTAATGCAAAAGATAAATAATAAAAATATATATAGCTTCAAAATGATTGAAAATTCATCTCTATAAATTTTTTTAATCAATTTAATTGTAAATGAATATAAACAAAAATAAATTTTACCTGGTTGGCGTACACTCAAAGTAATAGAATCAGTTAAATGAATAGTTGAATCACTTCTACTAGTTGGTTGACTTGTAGTAGCACCTTGAACATTTTGTATTACTGGGACTCCATCATTTCTTTTTTGCTGAGCAATCACATGGCAATCTGCATCTTCATTTCTATCAGGTAATAAAAGATCCATTCTTCTTTGCTTGGCTACAGTATTTAAATCTGATCTCTGTGACGGTTGAGTAGGTTGAATAGGTCTTTTCAATCTCTGCCTTGGCACTGGAGCCTGTGGAGGAGCTGGAGGTGGTGCTCGGGGAGCTCGTGTAGTAGGAATCATCGTAGGGTATCTTCCTCGTGGTATTTGTTGAGGCATTTGTGAAGGATGCATTTGTGGTGGTGCAGGATATTGAGGATAAGGTGGAGCTCCGTATTGAGGAGGTCCACCATATAAATGTGCCAAATGAGCTGGATATTGCATTCCTTGGGGTCCAGCTATCCGATACATTGGTCGACCTTGCGGTGGAACGAAATAATTTGCTCCATGAATAATAGTATTAGAGCCTGGTTGAAGAGATGACGGCATTTGAGGTTGAGGTAGTGCCATTCTTTGTACTTGTTGAGCCAGTTGTTGAACTGGCGCCGGGAGTTGTTCAAAATTTACAGGAGGAATTATCTGTTGTTGAGAATTAAATGTAGGTGAATGTGTTTGATGAGTTAAAGGAGATGTTCGACTGATTTGAAGAGGGTTTATTGGTTCAACATTAACACTGTGAGGTGAATGATTTGCTAAATGAGGTGAATTACTGTGACTCATACTTGGAGAATTTTCTCTGAGTCGCGGAGATGATTGAGCCACATGTGTTGGAGTAATACTTATACTTGGTGATAATGAAGCTCCATGAGCTTGAGACTTATGAACTGATACTTCCATTAGTGTGCTAAATACTAATGTTGAACAGTCAGGAACATTGCACTGATAATGACCAGCTTGAGATTTGTGTTCATCGAGCTGTGTTATATCATTGAACTTTTCATTGCACACCCGACATTTATTCACAGTCTCAGCTAATTTTTCTAGCGGAACATATTCTGTTTCAACTGGTGATGAACGGGATGGTGATCTCTCCTCATCTTCTTTTCTATTATGTTCACTTAATAAAGAATGAAGTAAAACATTTGGATCTGAGTTATTATCACCAATATCCTTTGAAATTTCATTGTTATCATTTCTCGAGTTGTTGTCATTTTTATCTGCTGAATCTTCTGATAACTGACTCCAGTCAATGCTCAAAGTTGATTGTGATTTTTCAATATTTTTGTTCACTTTTAATCTTTCCGGTGCACGAATTTCAATTGCTGAATTTTTAGCTAAAAGTTGAAGTACATTTTCTTCCTCAACACGAGAGTTTATTATTTCAGAAGATTCGTCAGGGCTTTTATTTCCACTCCTAGGCGACATATCCTCTCGGATCGAACTAGAATTAAAAACATTTTTAATAGTTATCAACAAACTTTGTAAGTAATAAATAATCAATCAATAAAATGGTAACAAACCTTGAATGTTCCCCTAATTTTTTTAAATTTTCAATTGTTTCCCTACACGTTGCTTCTAAAGGGTCTGATTCTTCAGGATTTTCACTTTCTACGATATGGCTTGTTTCATCTTCTGGTTGATCATTTGATTGTAAATCATCAACAATTTGATCTTCTTTTTCACATGTATTTGCCATATCGCTTCCTACACCTGAATCACCTTCATTAATTTCCATGGAAGGTCTGCCATTATCATCAGTGAAGTTTTCTTCATCATTATTATTATATTGATCATCTTGATATTTACTGTTTTCATTATTTATCACATTATTGTATTGTTGTGCTTCATCTTGTTCTTCATTTTCTTTCTCCACAGGATGGTCATCACTTTCTTTACCACCTGCCACTTCTTCAAATCGTGTTTTATTCGTGTCAAGATCTAAATCTCTGCTGATAACAGCAAAATTACGATGATTTTGTTTCTTAAGTGTCAACTTTAATGATCCTTTTTTTTCTTGACTTAGACAATATGTATTTTTTTCCTTTTTCTTGACGTTTTGCAAATTAGTACACCTTTTTAAAATTATTCTTGGTTGCCCTAGATGAAGAGTAATATGTGATCGCAATTCTTTTTTTGTTAAAAATTGTTGAGAACAAACTTCACACTGTGGCAAATCCTCGGATCCACACTCCAGTGGTTTTGTGATGTTTATTGGCTCTTCTGAAAGTAAAAATAAGTCTATGTATCAAAATATTAGAATATTTAGCAAACATAAAAGACAAAGAAAACTATGTTAACATGGTTGTTTTGAAATATAAATACATTATGAATTGAATAATAAATTTAGCTAATTCTGTCGATAAATTGAAGCCTAAATAATTGAAACTTCCATCAAACGTTATGGGGAAAACAACTGAATGAATTTCTAATACAAACACAACAGTATAAATAAAAACAATTAATTCTTTTATTAACCTATTCATTCTTCTTTTTTAAGGTTTGTTGTAAATTTGCTATTAATATTTATTTAATAAAATCCTAGGACTCGACTAATAAAAATAATGTTAGATTGCTATCTAAATGAATACAATACTAGTAATTGAGTATAAATAAACAAACCTTAGTCTTGTAGATTTTTATCTAAAAAAATATAAACTTAGTATCACAGATTTCTATATTTAAAAACTATCTTTCAGTTTATTGACTATTTTTATTTGCAGAATAATCTGAGTACGATTAAATACAGTAAGACATCAAATTTTTATTTATTTATTTCTTATCTTATGTTTAATTGATACGTTTTTCCGATCAACCGACGCCGCAATTCCATTCTTCTTTAATTTAAAACATACCCACTAGAGGCGCGATAGTATTTCCAAAATTATGCTACAAATACTTTGTTCTTTTTTCAGCCTATTCTAAATTGTCAATAAATAGAACTAATATTTTTTTCATTCTAAAATATTAGGATTAAAACATCAAATAATTTTAAAGATAAATCATAACTTATATTTAAAGTTGAATGACATTTCGATATAGATCTTAAATAAGATTTGAATTTACTTATGAATGCCTTTAATACAATTTAAAGTGATTTATTTAATCAATTGCTAACAATGCTTGTTAGGGCTCTTTTCATTTATTAATCTTTAGTTAAATTGAATAACATTTATTATACTACAAAAAAATTTATTAAAGCATTAATGTATTTGCAATAGTTTGATAAAAACAAGATGTATTCAATCATCAATTCGAACAATTGTTATACAATTCTGAATGAAATATGAAACTCGTGATTTATGAAGATACAAATCATATTCAATTTATGTCATGTAGATTATTCGATTGTTTACATCTGAATTTTCTAAATAAACGTGCTTATTAGTATTAAATATAAACTCTGATGATATATTAGCTAATTAAATGTCATTAAACTTTATTGTATATAATTATAAGCTAGTTTCTTTTTTTTTTTTGTAATAATTAAACTATTGTTGATTTAGTTTACAAAAGATATGAAAACATACCAATAATTGGTAATTCACTATCCGATTCTTCTGTACGGATTTTATTTTTGGCCGGGAAATCAAATCCATCAAAATCTTGTTCCAATGGACTGTTCATTTCCAACCTGAAAAATGATCATTGCTCAGTTCATTTATTTCTTTTTTACAATTTAAAGATTTAAAATATTACTAATAATATTACTTACATTCATTGTCAACAGTAATGGAGACAATAAATAACCTTATCGCAAAGTTATTGTTGTGTTAAATGTTTTTGTTTTTTAATAAATCATTTTTGTTACTGTAATTCATGGTTATAATCAATTAATAATAGTCATTTAAATTATAAATAAATGTCAATAATTGCAAGAATAATTTTGAAAAACAGAGAAACTAATTGTCAATGATTTGTAAGTATTTACACTTGGTTATTTTTTATTTCAATATTGAAAAATAAAAAGCAACAAGTTTTATTTACATGTAACTTTGTTATCGATCGATAATTATAGAATCATAAATCAGAGCGCCAAAAATATTAATTCTGTCAATTAGTAATATTATTAAGTAAAGTCACGTGTTATTCATATATGTATAGATATTTACATTCTGTAAATAGATTAGTTTTAATTGGTATTATGAGCTATGTAAAGCAAAGTTGAAATCACAATTGTATAAATACTTGATTGAAATAAACATGGCTAATGATAAAAATGAGTACACTCGTGTATAGGCGCTATATTTAAAGCAATTAAAAATGAGCGCGATTAAAAACTAATCACTCATTAAAATATTTTTTAAGTAAACAGGCAAGATCTCGTACCAATGGTCTTCAGAAAGTTCGTCTTTACCCACGGTGTTAACTTAAATATGGCGTCTTGGCAATGAAAATTACACCGAACGGGCAGAGACGAGTGAAAATCAACTGTTATACACGGCGGTCAGAGGTTCAGAATCTGTTCAGCGTTGGTATGTTGTATTCTCTAAGAGCACGACTAGTGACATGCGCTGGTCTTGGTGAAACATTGTGAGCGTGCCGGAGAAAGAGCTTCACTTCACCCCCACTTTATTCGTACTTCCCCCTGTATCTAGCTGTCGTATAATCTTGGCTCTCTAGTTGATTCTAGTTACATTCATCAGGTACATGCACACACTCTGGGTTTAAGTTAGTATTAGACCCTTTAGACTTCCACCCAACAGATCCCAACAAGTACAAAATGGGGGAGGGAGAGTCAAGAGACAGGAGAAATTAATTTTGAGCTAACCTAACGCGAATAACCCAAAGAGTAGGGGACCAATCCTCACTCAGAGGACGGTACGGTGCATGCGTATTCAATAGCTGGCTCTTTTTTTTCTCCTTCTTCCCCTCAGCTGATTTTTCATTTTACACAATATATTGCGCTCGGAAAAATGCAGATGTTTACTGTACAATTATATTGCCTGCATAACTATTATATTTGATTACAACTTTGTCTGACTTTCAAATATAATGATTTATGACTTCTCTTTTACATGTGAATTCATAATTTTGGACTTGACGGTGATTAATGATTTAAACTTCAATTTATATTAATGTTATGCTAATTTATTCAGGAAACTTGACGATTGCAATTTTATCTTTTTGATGTGGTTGTAAAAACTAACCTCATCAGCAATTGCTGAGTTGTATTTCATTTCAAGTTATCAATATATCTATATATTTTTTATAATTAAATAATCTCATAAATTATGTAATCATACTGGAAAAACTCATTCGAAAGAATTAGTCGCAATAGAGCTTGATGAAACTGACTAAAGTAACCTAACCTCAAAAGATGGTATTGATTATAAAAGCATTCCACTTTTCCAGAATAGTTAAGTTTTTTATCCAGCTCTGAACTGTAGTCAACTTCTCCCTCTTTTAGTCTCCGAGGAAAAAAATGAGAGAATAACTGTATTTTTCTCCCACTATTTATTTCAACTTTATCTATATAGATATATCTAAATACAGGGAACAAGAACAGAGCTTAATGGCTTTGAGCGAGGCTTGACAATTCCAGGTATGTATTGATCACATCCCCACCAACTACCACTTACGATTATATGGCAGTTGGAAACAGCAGCTGATAGTGGTGGGGCTTCATGGAACCACTAACAGTTAGTGACTAACTTGACGAAAGTTTCAGGAATTACTATGCAGTGGGGTAATTCAGCACAGGAAATGAGATGGGTTTAGAGCGAGTGCAATGTCTGTCGGTCTGTCGTCTGCAGGCCCTCCCTGCCTCTCTGTCTGTCTATCCATCCTTTTCATCAACCGTCATGCTATGGAAAGATAATACCTAACATTACTCAAAATTTTTTTGCAAATTACTGCTTTCCAGCTTTATACTATGAAGTAGGTTGGTTTAAAAATTTTTTTTATTCATTTAGTCTTCTACCTGGTTCAATTGGTCATAAAACATACCTGTTATTTTTTATTATACTTTTTTGATTCCAGCTAAAAAAAATTAGTAACCGTACATCTAACAATTTATTTTTATTATGTACTACATTCTTCACGTTTATTGCGACCCATAAAAAGATATATACCTGTGAGCTCTCGCAAAACGACGTAGTGAAATTTTGACATTAAAACTTTATCTTTTGCTATATACAAGCGACTGGCATCAATTTTTTATGCTTGACAGAGATTTATGAGTATTAGTAATGTATAGAAATGGGTATTCTATCTACGATCATTGCTGTTGCTTTTCAGCTTACGTAATAGTCTGAAGTGATGAAGAAGCAACTGAACAACTGGCAACGTTGGATCCAGCTTAAGTTCTTTCCAGCTGCCTTTGATGTAATTTATGTGCCTTAAATTCCAGTGTTCTGTTGTATATATTTTTTAAATTCACTTCTTCAACCAAGGATAAATTTATTGGTTTCGAAGTATAAAGAAGTAATTTTTGCAACTTATTTTTAGAACTGTAATAAGTAAAATTGAATAGTAATTTTCTTAATGGACATAAATATAATGAATTAGCTATATCATGTTAGGTATAAACCACTTTTGTTAATTTATTAAATTAATAGTTATAATTTATTATGCTTGAGAATTAAGCTACATAAGCTCAGTAAATGTATACTCTCTTCCAGATACAGACTTCATATACATACATACATGTCTGATCAACTTAAATTCTGAGAATGTTATGTTCACTGTATGTATGTGTTTGTGCTCGTGAGTTAATACTGACCTTACCAGACTTCGGATGTTGCTAGGCAACAGTTCGTTCTGACTGAACTCGATCTGTTGCAACGTTGCCAATGTGCTCATGGCGTGTGGGTTGAACAAAATCAGCAGCTCAAGGCTATTTTGTTTGTATGCTTGATGAATCATAGTTGTGGTTGTATAAACCTTTACAATCTTTTTTCTTCAACAACAGCCGGAAAGCTTGGAAAAGCTGAATGATTTATGATCGCCTAGCTCATATAATGACGACTGTTGGAAACTCATCATACAAATAATGCTAACTCATGGAACTTTTAGAAATGTGATATTTAAAAAGGAGAAAAATCATGATGGAAAATGGTAATGTATGATCTTTTTCAGAAATTGTATTTATTAATTTAAAAAATTTGTTTTTATAAAAAATTCAAAAATATTATACAATGCTAATATATTTGGAATTAGAAACAAAACTATCTAAATAGATTGTTCGTTATCTTTTACTATAACAATTTAGATACTTATTTTGATAGTACAAGCAACATTGCAAGCAATATATATTAATTTTACGGGAAAAAAATAATTCAATTTGCAATTATCTATAATTATACATGGTTTTGTTGATAGGTGCTAATATCTTGAGAAAAATACTTGTGCTATTTTCCATTGAAAATGTCTACTTAATTATTCACAATGTTGCTTAATACAAACGTTCTATTGAATTTTAAATACTCGTTGAATTTTTTATAATAATAAACAAAAGCTATATAATAAAAAAAAAAAAATTATCTGTTAAAGTTTTTTTTTTTTTTTAGCTTTTTAATAGCAGCTATTTAAAATGTACATACATAGATAAAAAGTTTGGGATAATAATGGTAACAGAAAACTCGAGTGTAAAGAAAAAAAATGTGATAAAAAATTTCAGAATCAGAAAAAACTTCAAATTCATAAAAAAAATTTATGTAATATATGTGCTATGTACAAGAGGTAGAAATTGTATTGATCCAGCAAAAATTTTTTACCTAAAAGTTGTTGTGTGAGTTTAAAATTGAATTCTAAAGGTAGTTTCAGTGGTGTTGTACATATGTGCTAACTTTAGCACATACATGAACTTTCATGATATTCCTTTTTCGGAAGGTTTTTTTTTCTATTCTGTACTCTTAGTATAAGAACAGAATAACAACACATTAAATTTATTAAAGCCTCTATCATTCAGTGCTTTTATATTATAATAATAATAAAAATTGTACTCATTATTTTCTATTGAAATGGCAATGTACCTATCTATTTGCAACCAACATCAAAAGGTATTACGAACTATCTTCACAATAATCAATAACTTTTAGTTACTATTAATCTGATCTGTATTAAGTGATGATTTATCGTTATTAGCATTTTCAATTTCATTTTCATTAATATTCTGATGATTTTTATCAGACAAATTAGGATCAAAAGGTATGTTTTTATTAGTTTCATCCATTTTTATATCCAGTTCATCTAAATCATTAACGAGTGAATCGATAGTAAAAAATTCTTTGGCTTTTTTAGGATATCCTTTGTTCAACCATTGTAATACATCATCTTCCGATTTTAAATTTGGTTGGCTTGATTCCAAAATGAGACTAGAACTTTTTTGAGGATTCTTGGACTGGTTTCTACGTACTTTTATAGCATTTTTTGTCAGCAAAATAAGATTATTAAAATCAACGCCTTGAGATCTACGCTTATGATCTGAGTATAGTTCAGGAGGTCGTTGGTAGACTGGAATTGGCGCTGGAACCTGACTTTGACTTGGTTGAGTTATTTTATCATAACGAATTGGCAATGGTCTAGTAATCATTGGACAAATGGATTGTATTGATGTAAATATTTGTGGAGTTAATGAACAAACTGGAATTTGAATGTGAAGAGGAGGAGCTATTCGAGGAATCCATTGATGTGGTGATCTGATTAGTGGAGTCATAATTCGTGGGCTCACTAATGGAATAGTCGGATTCTATAATTGAAATAATCTGATTTTTTATCATCATGTGAGTATCATCTAACATTTCATTGAATTACTATAATTACTTGAAAAAAAGTGTTGAAATTTGGCAAAGGTGATCCATTTTGATATAATTTATTATAATTTCTCTCATTTAATGAATAGGATGAGTAGGACTGATGAAACGGAACTGGTTCATAATGAATATCTTGGGATATTTTTGGAAAAAATTCGGGTACTTCAGCACTTAAAGATGGTAATGATTTCACTTCTTGGAATTTACTTTCATTAAATTCAGCTTTTGATGCTGAATGTTGGAAAGTAGTGTTCACTCCCGGATGCTCGTGTTGCTCATTTTTTAGAACGTCATCAAGTTCATGAAATTGATAATTAGGCTGAGAATTACTTTTTCCTTTATCGGTAGTTTTATCAGGAGAATTCCATAAACATCTCACATTATCATTTGAAATACGCATTTGCAATTGTAATTCTGAGGAATTTTCAATTGTATAAAGCATTGGGCAACATTTGTTATAACATTCATCAATGCGTGCGATATCTTTTTCATTGCTAATAACAGATAGGTGCTTTAACTCCTGAATTGTTGAACTTTTATGTAAGATAAAAGAATATTTAGTTAATGGATAAATGTGTCTTCAATACTACCCACGTTTCAGAGAAAAGTTGACTAAAATAGTCCTCAATATTATCAAGTATCCATGATTCGGGTTTGTTTGATACTGAATTCGTGCTTTCAATAGTTGATAATTCGTCACTAAATTTATACTGACTTTCTCGATCTTCATCGTACTCGTAATTACCATATTGTGCAAGTAAAGAATCAGGAATGATGTCACGGACCCGTCTTTTTGTTTTATTTTCATGATACTTTTCGATCCAATTAATATTCTAAGTCATTTTGTCATCAATATCATTCAAATTAAAAGTAATTTTAAGTACACACTCTAATCTATTCCAATCTTACCTGAACCCATAAATATTGATTTAATTTTCGATACATATCATTATGATTCATTGCCCAAGTTTTATCAGCAATTAAGCAAATATTTTCGTAAGCACTATTGAAAACATTCACATCATATGTTGGTGGTAATGATACCATTATCCCAATATTATTAATATTATTATTTTTAAATTATTTTAGAGCTTTAAAATCTAACCAATGTTATATATCTGTAGAAAGTCGCTGTAAGAAGTGCTGCCAATTTTTTGACAGATAGAAATTATAAAGTTAAAACATACGAATGTTTTGTAGCACACTTTCATATATTATGGAATCATTTAAATTTTTACATTCAAAAAAATGAATCACTTGACACAATTTTTATTTACATAATTTTTTATTTTTTCAAATGTGCTTCTTTAATATTCTACATTATTCGTTAAATGAAGGAAAAGTCCATTATTGTCATTAAAATGTCTTTCATGTAAGATATTATTTAGTCTAGAATTAAAACGATTACCATACAGTAGTTATTAATGACTACAATTATCTTCCTCGCTATTTCAATAATATTGAGAACACAATTTATTCATAGAAGTTAAAAAAATATATTTTTTATTTGAAGATAGTCGTAGATTATATTTTATTCGATTTATTAATTTATTGACTTTTGAAGTCTTGTTGAAAACATGCTCAAGAAAATCAAAAGATATAACTTACCGTGAGTCTAATCAACCTAATCTATACTTGATCTGTTTTTTAGAGTCATTCTAGGTTTTATCTTTGATGCTATGTTGATTTATCTTATCAAGGATAAAACTTGATAGAATTATTTGCAGTTGGAGCATTGATAAAAAATCATTCCAGCCATGTTGCTATCTAAACCTTAAAGATAAATAAAGAACAAGTCGCAGTGATTACAGAATTTCAATCGTAAATACAACTTGAAAATTTTACTGAAGACACTTTCAGCATTTTAATGACATCCGGGAGTTGGAATGATTATTTGCTCAAGAGTTATGAAGGTTAAAAGTAACTTTTTACCTAGTAGGTAGATAATTGAGAATAAAAATTCACGTGATAAGAAAAAGATTAATTTTTAAATATAATACTTAAATTTCATTAGATATACTTTTTCTTTTAATCTATTAAAATAAACAATTGAAACAATTTTCAAACAAAATATTTGGAATTTTAAAAAACTTTTTGACATCTCAAAATTAGCCTATACTAATATTATAGTTTATCGATAAGAATATACATAAAAAATTATTCAAGGTTTTTTTTAAACTATTTAGAGTAGTTTTTCATGTAAAAAATAAAATAAGTAAAACAAATTTATTTCAATGATTATGTAACTAACCTAAGAATACTTCCTAATATATTTAGATGCTTGAGGTCAGAGTATTATAGTTGATAGATCCAAGTATTTAGTTCTAAATCAATTTTCAGTCTACTTTAGTATAATATATTTAATTTATGTATCATTGAATTTAAAATTCGCGGTAATTATCTTATATTACTAAAGTATACAGTTGAGTGGTATAATACAGAGTCAACATTCGTTCTAGTTTCAATTAGTTTGATGATAAACAGTTGTTTTATTATTTTTTACCGATTTTAATCTCCTTTAACCATTTATTTAAATGTCATGCTAAAATTTTCATGGTAATTACTTTGAATATTCTTAGCATAACCTAAAAGCAGTATTGTCCATTCACACCATTGTTTATATCTTATTTATTTATTGTTATGTGTTACATATATTTATCATAACATAAATTTTGAATTGTTTATATTAAAGCTCATGTAGTTTGGTAATGAGTATAACAATACATTGTGATATTTGAATAAAGTTTTATACAATACTATGCAAAATGACTAGTTTAATGATAAAAAATTTACTCCAAATATTTCTTATCATTTGTATATTTTCTTTTGTATATGGTAATGAAAAAAATGATGATTGTTCATGTGGAAAAAATTTAAATCGACTGAAGACAAAAGATAACGATAACTCTTGCTCTAAAACTGATGAATTAGAATGTGATGGAATTGGTGATGAAGTTGAGGTCAAAACAATTTTAAACAGTGTACCCAATGAAATGGTTAAAATTGAAGAGGGAATTTATTGGATTGGAACCAATAAACCTGTATTTGTTCAAGATGGTGAAGGACCAAAGAGATCAGTTAATTTAAAATCCTTTTATATAGATAAATATGAGGTATCTAATGAAAATTTTGATATTTTCATCAAATCGACTGGTTATAAGACTGAAGCTGAGAAATTCGGAAACTCTTTTGTTTTCGAGGGACTTTTGAGTAATGAAACCAAAGATAAAATTCAACAAGTAGTTGCAGAAGCACCTTGGTGGTTGCCTGTTGATAAAGCTACTTGGAGAAATCCTGAAGGACCAGATTCTAATATTACTTGTAGGTTTTTTTTTTTAATTCTAATGTCGTATAGCTTTATCTTTTTGTTTGATTTAATTTATTATTATTTTATTTTTCTTAGACAGAATGAATCATCCAGTTATTCATGTGTCTTGGAATGACGCAAAAACTTATTGCAGCTGGTTGGGAAAGAGACTTCCAACTGAAACAGAATGGGAAGTAGCATGTAGGGGTGGCCTTAAAGACCGTCTTTATCCATGGGGAAATAAACTTCTTCCCAATAACAAGCATAGGTAAAACTTTATTTAATTATAAATGTGGTAAAAATATAGATCTCTATTTACAGTAATAGCTCAAATGTTATTACAATTATATGAAAATTATATAACGACAATATCATTACAACTAATATTTGCAAAGGGGAATTCTGCAAAACGTGTAACACTTTATTTAATCATAATTATGTCATTAGATCTTCAGATACACTGGAAAACATATTATACGACGTAATATCACCAATCGACCATTTTAATTTTCATTATCATGATTATTTTTATAATGTTATTGTATAAAAGGGAAAGAATAATTAATATTCGAAGATAAACAAAAATTTTATTATAAAATAAATTTAATTTCAAGTATATAAATTATTGTTATTAGAATTAACATCTGGCAAGGGGAGTTTCCACACAAGAATACAGCCGAAGACGGTTATATAGGTACAGCCCCTGTTAATGAATATCCTCCAAACGCTTATGGGGTATATAATATTGCTGGAAATGTATGGGAATGGACATCTGATTGGTGGTTAACAGAACATTCTGAAAAAGATAATATTGATTTGGTACGATTTTGAAAAAAATTTATTAAATTAATAATTATCTTCAGTAACTTATGATTCTATATTTCCATTTGCTTCTTTTAGAATTTTCCAACATCTAAAACTGACAAGGTCAAGCGAGGTGGATCCTACCTTTGTCATGAGAGCTTTTGTTTCAGATATAGATGTGCAGCACGTCATAAAAATACTCCAGATACATCTGCTGGAAACCTTGGATTCAGGTGTGCTGCTGATTCCATTTGATTTAACATATATATATTTTTATATTTTTAATATTTTGTGGTTTAATTGGTAATATATTCTTTTATTATAAAAATTCATTTTAAATTTAACCTCTAAAAGATGTTATTACTGTCATCTTTAACTAACAAGAGAATTATCATACTAGTTTTACTTTATCGACTGTAAGTAACTTATCGACGCATCTTATGATAATCGTGTGACATTGGGTAAAGTAGAAGTTTTCTAATGGAGCCTCAAAAAGTAGGAGCAAACCAGCAATGGCCACGCATACAAGCCGCTACACTCAACGATGTTTGTTGAATCAACATTAACAGTTGTTTCCGTATGTGTATCAAACTTTTTCGGTACTTGACACGTTGTCTTCTTATATTCCGCAAAAATGAGTAACAATAGTTCACGGTTATTAATTTGTGCCGCCGGCATATTTATTTGTTATTTTTACTTTGCAATGTTACAAGAAAAAATAACTCGTGGTGTTTATGGAGAAAATGAAAATAGAGAAAAGTTTACGTACATGTTTGCATTAGTATTCTTTCAATGTGTGGTCAATTATTTATTTGCAAAGCTTCTTTTATTGACAGTTATGAAAGAAAATGACGATAGTACAAGAACGGTTTATTATGCTACCTCAGCACTTACATATTTGCTAGGCATGGTTTCTAGTAATATGGCTTTGCAGTTTGTTAATTATCCTACACAGGTTGTAGGAAAAGCTGGGAAACCAATTCCTGTGATGCTTTTAGGAGTTTTACTTGGAAAAAAGGTAAGGTTATCTTATCAATAATATATTGTTGAATATTATATTGTTTTAATTTTTTTTTCAGAGTTATCCAATGAAGAAATATTTCTTCGTTACTATGATAGTCTTAGGAGTAATTTTATTTATGTATAAAGACGATAAGATGCCAACTAAACAGTCGGACAATCAGACAGGACTTGGAGAGTTGTTAATTCTACTGTCTTTAACAATGGATGGATTATTAAGTGCGGTACAAGAGAGGATGCGAGCAGAGCACAAAACAACATCAGGACATATGATGTTGAATCTAAACTTTTGGGCAATTATTTTTAGTGGAGTTGTTATTACAATGAGTGGAGAACTTTTAGGATTCCTTATGTTTCTCCAGAGATATCCCAGCACTTTGTGGCATATAATAACATTTTCAATGGCTGGTGCTTTAGGACAATTCTTCATTTTCCGGACTGTATCTGAATTCGGTCCTCTTCCATGTTCAATCATTACCACAACTAGAAAATTTTTTACCGTCTTAGCATCTGTTATACTTTTTGGAAATTCTTTATTAGCAAGACAGTGGTTAGGAACGACGATAGTATTTTCAGGACTATTTTTAGATGCAGTTTATGGTAAAACGAAGAATATAAAAAAAGAAATTGAAAAATAATTTTTTATTTTAATTAATTATTTATTTTGTATCATTTTTGTGTTTATTTACAATTTACATACTGAAATTTGTGCAATAAAAATAACAGTGTGTGCGATTTTTTTTAAGGAGACATTCACAGTGGAATGTAATTTTCCAATCATGAACTAATTAAATAAAATTATAAGAAATGATATTATAATGTATATAATGAGCACAAAAATTATTATAAACTCATACTTTGGTCGCATTTAGTACATAATTTATCATGAAATAATTATTGCAATAAATATAATTTTTATTGAATTTGTGAACAATTTTTTCATTATTACATTTTCATCTTAAATCATTTCTCGATTAAGATTACTTAATTTTTAACGATAATTTTTTTTATTGTACTTTGGTTTGAGTGATTTCATTTGATTTTAAAATCTTTATGGCTTAAAATAAGTATTTTTGTCATTATTTTTATCAACAATTAAAGTATAAAATATTTATTGTATCATTTAATTTTAAATTTTTACATCAATTATCTATTTGTATAACATAAATATATATTTATATATATTTGTTTGAAATATTATTTGAATATCAATTAAAATTCATTAACATAAGATAGTTGATTACAAATACAAAATAATTAAATAATGAACTGATACTTTTGAAACTTATGAAAAATGTTTATCTGCATAATTTAAACTCCATTGAATGATTATCACCTTGTTATTCACTGATCACTTACTTGATAGAAAAAAATGATAACACGTGTATTCACAAACTTGAGTAGGAGGGATTGTAATCAGTTCATTTTATGATATGCTAGGGCCGTCAACGATGAGGCAGTTCAGTCTATCGTCTTTAGGAGAAATCATTCAAATTTATTACTTCACGAAATTCATTTAAAAGTATCAAATTAAGTTAAAACATTTTCAGTATACTAATTATTAAATTTATTTTACTGTTGTACCTGAGTTTAGAGAAGTTTTTGTTTTTAATTATGGCTATTTTTATTTATAATATCTGTACGATAGTTATCATTATTTTATGCGTTCACATCAATATTATCAGCGCAGAAGATCAAGGTAACATAAACATTTCGATTGACAAAACTATTTATTTAACCTGTATATTTTCTATATTGTTTAATTAACATTGATAATCAAGTATTTAATCTTTATGACACGCTTCTATTAAATGATTTTTTTTTTTTAATACATTTTTTGAAAATATTTCTTTCGTCTTCATTTGAAGACAATTTATCTGTTGATAGGACGACATCATTGCCTCTACTTAAAGGATATCTTAAGAGAACAAACTCTTGTACCCCTCATTCAATAGATGATTTTCCTGAAGACTACTTTACTAAAGAACAAAGAAAACAGGGTGCTGTAATTCTTCACACATTTTTTGGATTTTATTGCTTTTTACTCACTGCCTATGTGTGCAATGATTACTTACTTCCATCATTAGACATGATTTGTTCAGAACTAAAAATTAGTGCTGACGTAGCAGGTGCAACTTTTTTAGCTACTGCAAGTTGCTTTCCTGAATTATTTGTCAATGTCGTGGGTACTTTTTTAACTGAATCAGACCTTGGAGTAGGTACTGTTGTTGGTGGAGCTGTTTTTAATACATTTGCAACACCAGCATTTGGAGCATTATCGGCAGCTCAGGTATTTATTAATATGAAATATTATAATAATCCTAGAATTATTTCATTTAATTCCTTTGCATATATCATAATCATTTTTACCGTTGGTTGAGTACCTTATCTAAGTAGGTATCGAACTGATATAAGCTTGTTAAAATAGGTCATTACATTTATGTATTACCAATATTTTTTCCTTTAAAGAAAAATAATATAACATTTTTTAAAAAATTTATTTTGTTCAATTGAATAGGCAATCCAACTTGACGCTCGGATTTTATCAAGAGACTGTATTATCTATGTAATCTCTGTGAGTGCATTAGTTATTGTTATGTGGGATGGCAGAATTACTTGGTATGAAGCTATGATCCTGATGATCCTCTTCACTGCTTACTTTACATTTTTATTCCTTAATAATGTCGTGATAAGATGCTCCAAAAAGATCAAGGAATTTCTCTTTACATCTTCTTCACTTACTGTTATAAGTGGTAAAGTTATTTTAAAATACATTTTATCATAATTCATTTCAATTGTTTAAACATATTTTATACTTACAGAATCAAAAGGTAATAGTGATGACATGCTTATTGGATCTTACAGACCATTCGTTCATGGAGAGCTGAGAGTTGAATACAGAAAAAGTATCCAAAATGCAAAAAAGAAAGAAGTTGAATGTGGAAATTGTAACCTCGAGATATGTGAAAAACTTGAGGAATATGTAGAACCAGGTTTGTAAGATTTATTAATGATCTATAGGTGATGTCCCATCAATCAAAATAATTGATTTTAAAAGAAGTATTTTATCAACATGAACATCTTTTTGTAAAAAGTTATTTTATTAATTCAAAGTCATATAAATTTCAATTTCATAATTGATGATATATTGTATAAATAAAATATTTTCTGTTTTAAATGATAAATTGAATAATTATAATTGCAATTGTAGTTTTTCCAATCAATGTTTTAATTGATATAATAGATGAATTTATTTATTAATTAATAATTAAAAATTTAATTTATTAAAATCTAAAAATAAATGTTACAATTAAACAAGTTCTATTTATAAAGAATAAATAATTAATAAGTATTTTAAATTTCAGATACACCATTTACATGGCCGGAAGGAAATATATTTACGAAATTTTGGTTTATCTTCACATGGCCATTAAAAATAATTCTCTTTGTATCAATTCCCGACACACGATTCAAAAGATTTCGAAATTGGTATCCAATAACATTTACAATGTGTGTAATTTGGATTGCTATTTCATCTTATTTAGTCAGTTGGATGATGACAGTTGTTGGTGATACACTAGGCATCTCTGATTCTGTTATGGGAATAACATTTCTATCAGCTGGAGGAAATATGCCGGAATTAGTGTCAATTGTAATTCTTTCTCGTCAAGGTATTTGATTTTAAAAGATAAGAGTACATTCTTTAACTACGCATTATTTATTATCTCTTTCTATTTCATTCTGGGATTTCCTCTTACATCATATTTCATTTCTCTTTCTCTCTCATACTTTACTATATATTTTTTTACTATCTTTAAATCAACAAATGAGTACTCAGTTAGTTAAAGATAACAAGACGGGTCATTCCCTTGCCTCTGCAATACAACTTGACCTTCAAAATAGTATAGCTTGATAGTATTTTGTTGAAAAGAAAATTAACTAAGTTCTTTTGTTTTAATAGGTAATGGTGATATGGCAATGAGCAATACTTTGGGTGCTAATACTCTAGATGTGTTGATGTGTCTTGGCTTACCTTGGACAATTAAATCTATCATGACGAAAAGTGATGTTATCATCGAGTCTGGCGCCTTAGCATATAGTGTTATGTCCATCGTTATATGTGTCGTAGGATTTTATGGAGTTACAGCTTTCTACAAATATCAGTTAAATCGTCAAGTTGGAATAGCTTGTCTCATAATGTATATTTTATTTCTTACCTTCGCCATTATGATGGAATCACATGTCTTCTTTCCTACTACAACTACGTCGATATGCAATAATTAATAATGATTTCAAGTCGACAATGAAAGTTGACTTATCAAGATGGAAATCAAAATTTAATATCTAGAAGCGAACAAATTTTAAAATGATGAGTACTTTCCCTTTTTTAGTGGGCTTGTGATAATAATTACAAAAGAAAGTTACATTCATTAAGTGTAACATTTATGAAAGACTCGCTAGTCACTAATTTATAAGTCAGTATATATTGATAATTATTACAGTGTACTGGCTATATACACTGCCTCTAATTATGGGTGAGTACGTGGATTTAATAAAGCACCACGTGATATTATAATTTATCAATATTTTTTTTAGTGTAATTAGTATAATTGCATTCAAGTAGTCAGAAAAAATTTCGTGTGACGTAAAAAAAAAATATTATGAGCTTATGACACGAATTATTTTAGATATTATCATGAAGGTATATGTCTAATAATTAAAGACTGTCTTTATCATTTACAAGAGGAAAATATTTTTCTTCTCGAAAAATCAAATTGATTGAACTGAAGATAGCGTTTAAAAATTTTAAGAAATTTTTATCTATTTATTTAAGGTTTATAGAGTAAAAAATTCAATACAGTAAGTAAAATAGTTAGTGAGTATTGTCTATTTTTATTATTGTCATACTATTGTCTATTTATTATAATGTTTAGTGAAATATTTAGATTAATTATTTAAGGTATTAGTAAAATTTTATTTGTTTATCAATAATGAGTGAATGGTCTATTATTGTTTATAGATGCTAGTAAATCGTCGAATGTCAATTTATATATGGGTATTTAATTGATTTAATTGTATTGACAAGTTTTTATATACTAAGAAATTGTATTAGAGAACACCTAAAAAAATAGTGAACAAGTGGATAACGTTTTATTATGTTTCGTAATGTTTTTTCTGCGTATTTCTTCACCTTCTGGTTGATAATAAACTAGAATAGTAAAGTATTCGTTTGGTAAATATCTATTAAATAAAATTATAATTGTATTTTTTAAAGAAATTGTTTAATTTTGTACGTGATGTTAAACAGTAAAGTTGACACATTAGATTATGCTTGTTTGAGGATAATGATAAGGATTGTAAATTGAATATATTATTAGAAAACTATTGTTTAGCATTCACTTTTCGTCGCGGAAACTTTATTAATTATTGGCATGTTGACATAACATTTTGTTTGAACAATTTTTATTATTCCATCTATTTATTTATTTTCTCTTTTCTTATCTGTTCAACAATTCATTCTAATTTTCGTTCATTCATTCACTCATGCAATACACACATACTCCCTTTTCGAGGTATTAAATGTCACTTGCCAATATTTAAAATTGTAAAATACAAACATTTGTATTTAGTTTTTAAAAAAAGTTTAAATTTTTTTGCCATTTTTTAAACCTTTTTGTTAAACCATAGCATGAACACATACAATAATGTGAAGATTGATGTTGGTAAAAAAATTAATGTTACAAATATGAAACACAATTAATTTACCGTTGCTTAATATTTTTATTTTTAATAATTGCTTATTTTTATCGTAGCGATATTCAATTAATATTCGATTAAGTTATTTGGTTTTTTCAATTACTTTTATATATTAATTAATTAATGAGTGCGAAAAAATTCAAACTGCTTTTTTTTTCTTCCTGCTTGCAGAATGTAAAATGTGCTAAAAATGATAACTGATAATATATTAAGATTATCGGCAGATTAATCGTTGAATTCGATGTTTATAACAATGTTTTGGTACCATTTTTCATTTGCTTTTTTTTGTTTTTTTATTATGTCTTAATTATTTATTTTAAATATTTCTTTTCAATAGCAAATCGCCAATTTTATGTACAAATGGCGTAAAGTAACGATTTATTTTAAATTATTTTATAATATAATTAATTAATCAATAACACGAGTTTATAAATGACTTATATATCCATCATATTTTACAAAATAATACATTGGTACTGATGAAATGATTTTAAAAAAATTTTATATCATTTTAACTTTTCGTTTTGATTAGACATATTTTCTTGGCGTTATTGTAATTATATTGGACGTTTGAATTAAATCAGTGAATTAAGTAAATACAATATAATTAAGAGTAGAGAATTTATGGAAATACTGACGTCATTGTTTATTTAATTATATTAATATTAAATAACTAATTATTTTATCTTATTCAATTATGTTATTAACTCCGATATGTTCTAATTTTTTTTTATTTAGAATAAAACTGATGTTGGTATTTTACGCATTTTACGACTTGAATAATAATAATAATAATAATAACGATAAAATTTATAACTACAATTAATAATTTTATAAGATATCTATCTACTTTTTCAAATAATTAATATAAATAAATTATACAATTAATTAAATAGATAATAATAAATAATGATTGATGAAAAAGGACTTAAATGGAGTAACAGAAATATTCCATTATATTTATTATTACTTTTATAATCTTCAAATCTCTTTTCTTTTCATTTTTTTGCTCTTTCCTATCTAAAAAGGCTGAAAGTTTTATTTTTTTGCGAAAGGCGAAAGATAATTTTACTGAGAGAACTCACTAATTAATATAATATATTTCTATATATTTTTTTTTTTATTTCCTTTCTTATCTCACAGACTAAAGCTTTGAGTTGTTAAAAGGTAATTATTTTTGCTTTTCATCCCTTGGTTCCATTCTTATGATCGTAAGGCAGTCTAAAGCGATTCCCTTTTTTCTAACTGTCGGTGTTCTTTAACCGTCTTTTATTTAATTACAATTACAATAAAAAATATATGTAGCTTGCAATTTAAAGTACATTATTAATATCATTTTAATGAATTATTTAATAAATTCATATGTTATTTATTAGTATTTATTTTTTATTGTTTATCATTATTATATTAAATTGAAAATCCTCCTATATCCTAAATTTTAATGTGTAAAATATTAATGATACTATTTATTATTAATTTATCATTATTATCGATTATTAAATTTTAAATTATTAAATATTATTATCATTAGTTATTACTTAGTATTACTTAGTGAAAATTTAATTGTTCGTTTTAATTATCATCATTGCAAGCTTAAATTGGTTCAAATAATTACTGCGTGAATACTAGAAGAAAAATTGTTGCTTTGTTCGTATATTATTGTTTACTTTTAATTGGAGTTTTTTTTTTTATCTTTTCAGTGATATCAATGCACAATGTGAAATGTTTTCTCTCAATTTAGTATTATTTAATAGCATCATCGTATTTGTTGTATCATTCGAACCGCTAATATTATTTCAAGTGAATTGCAATTATCCTTATTAAAAAGCGACAGGATATTCGCATTGTGCGATTATTTATTTATTTAATTTGTTAGATTTTATTAAATCATTTAATTTATGGTGTTTAATTATTTATTTTATTCTCTTTTCATCTAAAATTTTGAATTATTTATTTAATTATTTATTGAAAACTGGTGTAATCGAATAGTCTACATGATCTAGATGTGAGCAATGAATGATTAAAAATTACTCTGGAGGGATAATAAATGTGCTCTGATCGATTGTGACGATAGAGAACTGTACAATCGAAAATTTCGAATTTTTTTCTTCCATCATTTTTTTTTTTCTTCTTTCAAATTTACCTCCAATTGAATTCATTTATTTATTTATATTTATTACAATTCCTTCCCGTATTTTATTTTTCATTTTTAACATCGTTTTTATTAGACATACGTTTTAATGACATTATTTTTATTTATCGATGTATTATCAAAAATTATAAATTATTATTACAATCAGTTTATCGATTATAATTTCCTCGAGATTATTCTCCATATTCATACAATTTTTCGAATTATTTTTATTTATTTTTGTTTTCTATAAACCTGTAAATTCATTATTACAGGGTACAAAAGTGGAAAACATCCACGTATTTATAATGATATTCGATTAATAAATGGCTCTTTTAAAACCCCTAAGGAATTTGGTTCCTTATTGTTTTATTAAAATTTCTCTCATTAATTGAAATAGTTAAATGTATATAACTACCAAGACGTATTGTTGAATGAATTATTCAAGGGAATAAAATAGAATAGAATATAATAATAGATGGCCTACAATTAAAATCCAATAATATATCACCGGTTCTATTCGTATCGAATGTTATACAATATTATCACTAACTTACTGCGTTTATTTTTCATTTACAGAAGACAATGGTATTTATTTTTCATTAAAATTTCTTGATATTCACGTTATTAAGGTCTGTTGTGATTTGTTATAATTATTATTAAATATTAATGAGTTAACGAATTGGAGTATTCACACAATAATGCGTTTATCAATCGAATTATTTAGCAAAATAGCTCGAGTAAGCCCAAATATTGTCATCAAGTTGGTATGTGATCTCCAGAAGGAGAAATCCGATCAATTGGTTGAGAATTCGGTTGATGGGCTGTAAGGCTCTAGAAATGACACGACAAGAGCGCTTGTTGTTCATTGTATTTCACAGAATGGTAGCTTATTGGTCATCTCTTTGGTCGTTTCTTGATCGTGGCTGTGACCAGCCTCACTCTTTGGGCTACCTGCACCCTCTTCCATACTGCCCCCAGCACTACCGTGGGGGCAGATCGATTGTCATCTAAGTGCTAATGTGGACACCATTGGTGGCCGGGACGGTTTATTATCAAGGATTCTCTCTATTTCATTCATCATAGTTGTATTGAGCTTTGGTATGAGCTGAAAATGATAGATATTGCTTAATAATTATGCTTTTTATTTCTTCTTTTACATTTCAACAATGCATTGATATTTTAAAATAATTCAAAAGATGAAAAAAAGTATCAGTGTTTTAACAATAGATGGGTTGAAGAAAAAATTTAAAACAATTCTTAATTGTAAAAGTGAAACAAAAAGTTTTTCTCTTTTATAGAAGTTGAAAGAAAGTTTAAACTTTTTAATGATTCTTAAAAGAAAGGAATGTCAGACAAAATAAGTAAGCATTTGCTGAATATAGTTGGTGTAAGTTATTAATTACATTGAATAATTATTATCAATTATAAGAAAAGATGATAATTTAAATTCTTGTTAAAACTATCAATAAATGTACTAATTAGATCTTACAAATCGATTATTCGATTATTACCATGCCAACTTTTTAGAATAAAAATGAATAATTAAACTGATGAAAACTTACTTGTAAACTCTGCAAACTCTCGTAAAGTTGATCGATATTTGACGCTCCAAGTAGAAGGCACTGGACACTTTCATTCTTGAGAGACCACGCGATTGCCAGTTGCCCAAAGGAACATCCCAATCTCTCAGCAAGAGCACACACGTCTCGTAATTTATCAGAGTATTTGCGTGGTTCTTCATCTAGAGATTTATCTTTAAATTCTTGTGACAGAGGATCACGTCGACTCGCCTTAAAATAAACATATTTAAAATATTTCAAATGATCAAGTGAATTTTTGAATGAAATTATTCTTTTAAAGATAACATACCTCTTTGTACAACGACTGTGTTTCGTCCTCTGTCCAACTAAATGATGAGTATTTATTCTGCAAATAATGAAAATTCTTACTCTCCTATAGAAAAAAGTTTGTCTTTAAAAATATTTTCATATCCATTTTTCTTCAAGAGTGTGTTGTTTATTTTTACCTTGTATGAAGATCTAGAAAGAAAAGAAACCCCACAGTCATCAGGCTTTGAAACCATACCAATTGTAACAGTTGACCAAGCCATCAAGCCCACCCCTAAAAGCCAATTGATAGCAATACTTAAACTTGAAAATAACTCAACTCAAAGTTATTATTACTTTCTTCTATTGTATTTTTCTAGTAATACGTGACTTTTGTTGATAATCACCAATTTTATTGTACAACTCTGGCATATAGAGTTCAGGTTTATCTCGATAGAAAAGATGATATTCAGCTTGCTCTACTATTGGAGTTACACAATTGAATTGCCTGCAATTCGTATAAGCTTCCATTATTTCAACGGGTGTCCATCGTGATGTTCCCCAATACATCACCCAGCCTTTGCCAATTACGTAATTCATCGCTCTTACTATTTCTGAAACATTACATATTTATTTGTTTATTTATTTTTGGCTTGTATCAATTGCTTCTTTGAATTATATAATTATTTTTATGCTTGTTAGTTAAGATGTTACGTAGCTGGGAATATTTATAGAATATAAACAAGCTTTGATGATTGAATAAAAACTTTAGGAGAAGTTAGAAATTTTTATATTGATTTAGAGGGAATTTTAAAAAAGTTTTATATGTAAATAGAGTATATGTATTGTGGTTTTTAATGAATACATGAATATTGTATTTTTTTTAAAAATATCTTTTAAGGTAAAATCACAAGAATTTCTGCTATTATATATTTTTAATTCAAAGGATTAGCCATGTTTGCTGTAATCTCATCAGTATTGCAGTATTATTACAGTGAGATTAATTCTGTTCTGTTTATACAATGATCTAATCACATTTGCATAATTCATTCAAAGCTAATGTCAAAACTGTAAGCATTCATTTGATATCATAAAAATAACCATTGTTTATAATTATTTTAACTAAACATCTTGTTTAGTTTAACACAAAAGATATTTTTTTATTTTTATTTTATCAGTATTTTTTTTTAAAACAACTCAAATCTGTAGTAAAAATTTTTTTTGTTTATCAATCATGACAAAATAAATATTTATTTTACTCTAATAAACATTATTGACCCTGAGAAGTTTTAATTATTGAAATTATTATATAAGAAAAAAAAAATTGAATGCCTGACTATTCTTGGCATTGACTACTGCAGTTTCATATTATTGATTGTTCTGCGTAAAGAATATAAACCACAAAATTTTGGCTTACCTTCCATTGGACACATTGGGTCAACCTTATGAATCATGACAATGTCAATATATGACAATTGTAGCCTTGCCAAGGACGCCTGCACCGATTCGATAATGTGTTTCCTAGATAGTCCTCGTCCTTCACTTCTGTATAACACATGAATTAAGAGCTACTTAGTGTATTTAAAAAATTCATCAATTATCATTTCAAATAGGAAGATTTAAGTTTAATTACCAACCAGATCAACGAAAGAACCTCGAGAGATAATCTATGATAATCTTATCATCATATGAATTGATGCATTAATCAATAGGATTGGAAAATATCATAATGAGATCAAGGTCTTGGACATTATTGACAAAATTATCATAAAGGTGATTAAATACTCTCGTAGTTATCAATAAAAATTTCCAAGATTTTCAAACATTAATACAAATCATATTTAGAATTTTATAATAAAACTTTCATCAATAAACAATTATTTGAATTAATTATTTCAACCAAGAGAGCAATATTTGTAAATAAACTAAAAAAAAAAATTTATGATTGTTATTATTTTCAATTAGTTTTATTATATTTTATCGAATGGATGAATAAAATAAAGCAATATTGTTGAATAAAAAATAAGATTAAATTATTGAATTATCAAAGATTAATTATAATCTTTAATTCAAATAATAATTAAAAAAATTTCCTTGTGATAAAAAACCTTTTGAATTAAATAAAAAGAATTTATAAATAGATTGATATTATAATCATCAGTAATAATTATTACCACCACGATATCACCAATAAACATAATTATTATTTCATTGATTAATTGAATGATTAATCTTTCAAATTAATTACAACAATTAATGATGATACCTGAAAATTATTATTTATTATTTAATAAAGAGAAATATTTAATCAACATAACATTGACAATACCAACAGTCCTCTATTTATTAATTATTCTGTCTCTCAGGGAAATAAATGAAATGAAGATGTGCAGATTAAAATAGATATTAAGTCAGTTTATATTTAAACTGTCATACTATTTCGAGTCAACAGTGTCACGGAAGTGGAGCGAAAATATTTTAAAACCAATATATAACATACTTGGTGTTCCAGTAGATTTTTGTGGTGACAATATAGCTGGAGCGATTCCAGCCTCGTCGAAGGAGAATTCGGCCAAGTTGGGTTTCAGCCCGATGGCCACTATGAGCTTCACTGAGGTCGAATACATTGATACCACTATCGTAGGCCAAGGCCACAACAGCTTCAGCTGTTTCTTCACTGGTGCATCCACCCATTCCTCCAAATGTTGTCCATGTTCCTAATTTTTCCAGCAAAAAAAAAAACAGTTTTAAATCATCTGACATTGTTATTTTTAAAAGGCAATTATTTAGATGGGGAAAAAAAATTCCTAGTGATTTTTCTTTATCTGAGTCAAAATATAATACTTGAATTTATTCTCTTCGTACTCTTCCCCTCCTTTTTATCCTAATATTATTCTGTTTCATTTTTTAAGTAAATAAAAATTAGGATGATAAAGCCTTATTTCAATCTTCTAATCCTATTTTCATCCTTCTGAAGTTGGTAAAAATTAGGATATAGACAGAAAAGCCTGATTTCAAGTTCCATTATAATCATATTTTTTTTTTTATCAATTTATATGATGTTAATGCTGATGGACAGTCAAATTAAAATTAAAATAAAGTTGATAATTATAAATAATAATATTTTTGTTAAAATAAAATAACTTTAATCTGATTGTTGAATTTAGGATAAAATTAGAAAAATGAACTTTAATCAGGATTTGTTCATCTTAAGTTAAACCTTAATAAAGAATAATCTTAGAATAAAAATAGGTGTTATATTTTGACTCAGATAATTAGATTTCATATTTGAAGATAAATAAAAATAATCCTAAAGTGCTTCTTAAATCGATCAACTTCTATTTTATTTTCGATGGAATAGTAGATATGAATAATTGCTAACAATAACGACAATTAGATATCGATTTCAATTTTACTTTATATTGATAACATAAAACTTCCCCTTCCCTTGTACTTTGAATTGTATGATATGCAGGATATCGATTCATTTCACATGGATTCGAGTGGCAGCCCTCGACATTTCCTTCCCTCCACAAAAGTTTGTTAATCAAAGGTCACGATAATTAATTAATAGAGTAATCTGATTGCTACTTAAACTCTTTGTATGGATTACTAAGCAACCAATTAACTACTGATTTCACATATACCAAGTAAATATATATATATATATACTACATTATTTAAAGTCAATCATTTAAATATGTTTTTTTTTATCAACTTTATGTAATATTTAAAAGACTTCACGTTAATTTTAATTAGTTTATTTTATAAATTAAAATAATTTTACATGATGTTGTTGTTTTTTTTTTGTTGAATAATAAAATGTAATTTATTATAGACAATAAGTATTATTTTTAAAGTTAAAAGTTCAATATGAATGCAAATAAGGTTATTACAAAATGACTTATTTTTCTTACAAATGTGTTTTACATAAATAAATTATTTCTATGTAATATAGATTTATCTTTTGACATGCCATTTGCAGGATGTTTTTTATTGTCACTTCATACATGTTTATTATCAAAAAAAATTATTAAATATAATTTATTAAGGTAGTTAAATAAAAATAGCGATTCAAATGGATGAAAAGAAAATTATTAAAATAAATGGAAATTAAATAAAATGAAGCATAATTTTTTCTTTGAAAAAAAAAAGAAGATTATTTTCATGATTAAATTATATTACATTGCGTCAGCGGTAATTCTAGACAAAGTTAGTTAAAGTATAGAGAAAGTCAATAAAGGTAAAAATTTAATAATCGGATAAATATGTACGAGTTAAAGAATTCAAGAAGATTTAATAATTTGATGAGTAATATGATTTTTATTTTATTATGTCATCAAATAAGTTATTAAATTACTTTCAATTTTTCATGTGTATGATTTGTGATTTTATGTTGATGACTATATTTAACATCATTGATTATATAACAAAGTATTCATAAAAAGATAATAGAGATAATGATTTTATAATCATTGAAAAAAAAGAATTACCACACTAGTGATTTGTGCAAGACAATTTTTTAAATTTAAAATTCGTTTTTGAAATTATTTTTTATTTAATAAAAATCGTTTTATTAATAATCCAACTATTGCTATAAAAAATAAATAAAAATTAATAGCATGATAATTCATCTTTGATATTTTTATTATAGTATTATTATTTAATCATTATCCATGACTGGAGCAATATTAGTTGCAATCTAAAACGATGATCCAGTAGTTAGAAATGATTGGATGATGGAATTATGTTAGAAAAGCCCAACATGGAAATATATATTTGTTGATGATAGTGAATAGATTAAATGGTATGAGAAATGTTTTTAAAACAAAGGATATGGATTTGAATTGGTATTATACCATGATTTTTATTTGAAAGTAAACAATGATGTGGATGAAAAAAAGGAAATATATTGTCAATAACAAGATTAACGTTATTGAATAAACCAATGAGTTGAAAAATAGATGTACCATAATAAAATGGATACTTTTGTGCATACGAATAAAGAACACTACTGCATACATATATTTTTTAACAATCAAACGCTTGACAATTCAATTCTATTTCAAAGCTAAACTTTTTTCTATTCAATCTTTTTGTTTACTGAGTAAGAAGTAAACTCCAGAGAAAAATATAAATAGAATTACAATAAAAATGCAAAAAAAAAAACAAAGAATATTCGACAAGCTAATTATTTATATCAATTTGTTTAGGAATTAAATTGACATCTCAATGTCTAGATGTGAAAGCAAACAGAGATATTTTAATTTTTTTGACAGCTAACTTTGGTAATAAAAAATAAATTTTTACCCTCCCTAAGGGGATGTTTTGGATAAATATAAAATATTTAGATTCATTCAAGTTGAGTTGAATTTTTGATTTAATTAAAAAGATATCACTTGTCAGCACAAAAGTAAAAACAAAATCAGTGACAACATAAAGAATAGATAAAGTGAATCAGACAATAAATTGCACTAGAGTATCCGGAAGTGACTTTACGCTCTCGTAACTTTCAATCGATATCTTTTGGTCTAATTTAAAAAGTGAACAAGTAAAAAGGCATTTGAAAAATCGTGAAAACGTAAAATGTAGAAATGTCATATTCACTCTTTTAAAGAGAACGCTTGAAACAAACATCTCTTTTCACAATGTCTATATGAACAAAGAAAAATTTTATTCTATTTTTGTAATAAAAATGAATAAAACGACCTGCGACAATGAAATTTTCTCAGAATTTTTTGTTATCTTTTATAATAAACCTCTGATTTCTTCTGAAAAAAAAAAATCTCTTTCAATACATCACATGTATGAGCTTTTTAATTTTTTTATTTTTACAATAAATTATTCATGATAAGAAAAAAAAAAAAAATGAATATCATTAGTAGATATTTTTTAAACAGCTCTCATCCATCTAGATAGATAGATCTAGATTTTTTTTTTTATTCACCATTTTTGACTACTAAAATAATAAAAGTTGAAAAAAGATTGACAAGATTTCCTACCCAATCCAACATTGGAGACACGTAGACCACTTTTACCCAAGTTACGGTACCGTATACCTGGCGATGGATGTTGTGAACGTTGACTTTGTGATGTCATACAACTCGTCAAAAGCTGCTCTTTTGTACCCTGCTGTGTTGTACAGTGAATTCCTGAGTCTCCACCACCGCCACTTCCATTGAACTCTTCCATGCAATCAAGACTAGCTATGGGAGCACGACACCTGAAATATGTCATCTAATTAGTTCAAGATTCCCTGTTTCATTTTTAATAATAATAATAAATGCTTTTTTCAGAGACAGTTGCATCCAATTAGTAGAATACATTGGAGCTGAATAATTTTTTCTCAGTTAGATCTCACAATTAGATACATCTCCAAGGAATTTTTACTGATGATTTTAATGAATAACATTGTTTATCAAAGAAAAAATAGAATAGATTTCATTTCAATAGTTTCATTTAATTATTTTTTACAATAAATTCCAGACATTTTTATCATTTTTACTGAATACATTGATGTCAAGTCTTGCTGCAATGTCATGAATGATACCATGCTGGAGAAAAATGTATATATCCTTTTATAAAACACTAGGATGGTGAATGTTTTAAATAATTTTAAAAAAATATTTAGCAATATCGTCTAATATAATCTAAACTATGTGGTATAATGGAATGCAGACATTTACTGCATGCTCAATGCTCAATATTACAGATATATCATGGTGATATGAACACAAACTATCAGAAATCACTGAGATTGGTAAAGTGATTAATATCATCATAAACTTGGTCAATCTCATAAGTATTATTTATTTTCCTTAATATCAAGGAACATCAAATATGTACAACTTTGATGATGATCAGAATATTACCTCCAGCATGACATTTCTATCACTCTAATCATGATGATAAGTATTCAAATGTGATGCATTAATTATCAGTTTGATTTACAACATGAAATAATTCAACGTTCTGTAGAATGTAAATAAATTTTGTATCAGAATAGATTAATTATTCATACATTACTTTATTCACTTTTAGGAAACTTTTAGCTTACCATGAATTTACAAGCTTATGGAGAAAGAAACTTTATCAGTCATGATCAGTTATCTATTTCAATTTTGAGGTAATCTATTTCAGTAATTAAACATTTATTTATAACTGAAATAAAGATTCAATTAAAACAGAAATTTTCTACTGAATTGAATTAAACTAAAACGTATATTTCATTTGAGAGAAAGTTCTTTCTGTGCAAGTCTTTAATTAAAGCATCCTGAAGTATCCTAATGGCAGAGCCAACTGTAATCTCACGTAATTATTCACCAAAAATGTCTTTATTTATAAATACCAAGTTGTAAAAGTTTTTTTAGAAAAATCTGAAATCATTCAAACCGGAATAAATAAAATACTTAAATAGTTTGGGTCTTTATGAAAGTTTCTTTTGATAGAAAAAGTATCAGAATACCTGAGGCGTGCTTAGTTATAACCGAAAGTGTCTCAAACACAGCCCGTAGCTGAATAAGAACCCGTTTGAAGTCTCCAATTAAATCTCATCACCCTTCGTGTCAATTGTCGCACCTCTTTTTATCCATAAGTTTCATATACAAGTGTTTGAAGGCAAACACTGCATCACATTTCGTTAGAGCAAATGTAATGATGATACTTTTGCATGCCGGAAAAGGAAACTTGGCATTATGTGACTTTTACCTAACGGATTGGAACAAATGTCGGGGGAAAAGTGTGAATCGCTTGTAATGCTTTACTTCTTTGTTTGTAATATGTTTTTTTTTCCTTTCACTCCTCGTTTTTTATTCTCTTTTATGAACAATGCTCTTTGTTTGCTGCACGTTGAACTAGTGTGAATGTCTTTTATTTTTATTTTTTTGTTTTATTTCATCTTCTTTTCTCTTTAACAATGCCCCAGTAAAACAGAGTTTCTTCCATACATAATGTAAAAATGCGTCTATTTCAGAGATATCGAGATATTTCTCTTCTCCAACATTTTTTATGGTTTAATATTTTATGAAATCAGTTGTAAATGGTACGCTTTAGACCCCTTAGATATTTTATTAAGTCTATGTGGAATTTTTAAATGAAATAAAAACATTGATTTTTAACTAATTTCACTTTGTTGAGTTAATAAAATGAAATGAATTTTTTATTGATATACAATTTTATTTAAAATTGTCCAAGTGTTGAAGAATAATTAATGTCAATTTATTTGCATGACTAATAAAAATATTCTCGGTGCTCAGTGTCGACTATTTAAAGTAAGCTATTTGAAATAAAAAATGTGCAAGAAACAATGAAGCAATAGAAGACATTGATGTTGAAATATTTCTTTTTAAATTGTTGTAAATGACCGTAAAAAAAAACAAATGGTAAAAATAATTTCCTTAATTTAAATTTTTAGTTGCTCATTTAATTAAAGTTACATAACACATTTTCTAATTTAATTTATCATCATTTTATATTGATATTAAAAATCTTCTATTTTGTAATAAAATCAATTTTTTTTTATAAATAAATTATTTTATTTAAAACTTTATAAAAAATAATAATAATATTCTCCGCAATATTTTTAATTATAATTAAAAATTAACATTATCATAATAATAAATTCACTTATTTTTGAAAGTCTGACTATATATTGACTTATATCACTTATTTGAAAAAAAAAATCTAAATTAAATTTTCATTTTTAACAGTATCTATTTTTTCGTTATTCCATTTTAAAAAATTATTATTTTATATTTAAAAGATAAATAGTAATATAATTGATTGAAAAATAAATATTGAAATAAATAAAAAAAGGACTCACCGATAAATGGTGGGCAGTGGATAAGAGTCGTCGTCCTCCATACTGCTGTTAGTATTGGCGTTATTATTGGTATCATTTCCCGCCGTCGAAGTATTTGCAAGATTGCATAGCATTAATTGTGACATAACTAATTTTAACTATCGTGATTCCGCAGACGTATAGAAGCGCGGGCTCACTACGTAGTAGTACGAACATTCGTTCTTTATCACGTCCAATTATCCTGAAGAATTATATACACAATTAAATCGAATTTAAAAATAATCGAACTGTATATTTTTTGTTGTTTAATAATAAACTGATTAATTGATCCATAAATAAAAAAATAAAAAACCAATATACTTATGCAATATATATTTTTATAAATATAACTCTATTTAATTTTTATGTCAATATTATCACAAAATGAACTTGAAAATAAAAATAGTTTATTTAATTAACTAATGAGAAGAACTTTGTTAATTAAGAATATATATTTAATAATAAAAGAAAAAACGAATTAATGAAATGAATGAATAAATAAAACATACACTTAATATTCTTTAATGAATAAACTTCGTTCCTTTTTTTTTTATTGCAAAGTTCATTAGGCACTAGTTATTATTGAAACATATTATTAGGCACCCATTAAATATTTTTGTCACATAAATTTTACAATTGATTTGTTAACGTCATTATTTAAATACGGAATTTTTCTGGTCACGATTTTATTAACATAAAATATCTGGTCGATATGAACATAGATATGTGACAGGGTGCAATTGTGTACAACAGTATGTAATCCTTGGGAGGTGTAGTATAATAATATAACGACAGTAACTAATATCCTTTTTTTGCACCGTTCACCAGCTTGTTAAGGGAGAATCGCTTTTGGTAGCGTCTCTCACCAACCACGGCTAAAGTTTCGGGATACAGAAGTGAAGGGGGGTCGACAGGGAGGAAGTAGAGAGTGTACCTCTATGGTAAGACCACCCCCTACGTCACGTATCATACGTCATCTTGATCATCTTTAATATCCACTCTATCAAAAATTCCCTTTTTAATGCTTCCACACTGCAGATTCGTTCTTTTATTTTTCCTAAATAGTCTATTTTATTTTTAACAATATTTATTTAATTTTTATTACTATCCATATCACGTTTATTTTAATGACAAAAAAGATAAAAAAATTGATTCACTGTTTTTTTTTTTTTCAATTTTTTATAAATAACACACACAAAGGTTAACTGAAACAGTTGTAAAAATAATTATTTTTAAACGGCAAGTGTTGTGCTCCCTGCCACGGTAGGCAACACTGCGCGGTTTTCAGGTTCCGTACCAGGGGGTGGTCGGTTTGTTGGTAGCGTGGGGGTCGTTTTGGTGGGGGCGAAGTGCAAGACTAGTTAGTAAGTGAAAGGAAGAGAGAGAGAGAGAGAAGGTTTTAAGTGAGGTAGGGGTTTCACAAGGGCGCATGACTTGTCTGCATCCAGCGCATGGATCGACTCTGCGTTCTCTGTCTTTATTTTAGATAAATATATAGATATGTCTCACTTGCACTTATACCAGTAAATAAGAGGTGCATATACAGGGTCTAGAATACCGTCGTCATCGTCGTCGCCGTTGGGCCACTCCGGTGGAGAGAGGTCAGGGTATGCTCGACGAACCAACAGACTCATCGGCAACGCCGCATTGCAGATCCGAACCCTGACGCGCGTGCCACCATCGGACACCACTCACAACTCTCCGTGTCTGCACTCGTTGGGCCTTTTTCACTTCCAGCCGGACTCGACCTTTTTGTCTACTACTTACTGCCCTATATTCATCCATTTAACTTTTATCCCTCTTCATCCTCGTTTGTCTCAATATTTTATCATTTATTTTTATGTTAATTTGAAAGAATTTTTTATTAATGTTACTTCCATTTTATTTATTATTATTTAGCTTATTTATAAAATATTATTTTAATTCCATCTGATGATTTTTAGAGTTATTTATTCATTTTAATGTAATAAAATACGGTCTATCAAAATTCATATTCCGATAAATTTATCGAGTGGAAGAAAATGTTATGACATGATAAACAAGTATCAAAAACAGTCAAGTTTGAAAATAATTTACTGAAAATTAAATCATTTTTTTTTTATTGGATGAATCAAGTTGATTGTGGTCCTTGATGGCAGTGGATAAAATGTTTTTTTTAGAAATTTGTCCATTAAGCTATTACTGTTGCAATAAATTTATTGAGCACAATTCTTTGGAGGTTTGCAAAGCTTTATACTCTAATCAATAACAGCAACAATTTGATAATTTCTTTTTATCTGTTGTTTAAATTAACATCTTTTCCATAGTAATTTTTCATTTCCCCTTATGAAAAAAAAATTATTAAAAGTCTTGCTATCTTTTTAATCAAAAAAACGATAAGTTAAATTAGAAAATTAGTAGACTTTTATTTTTCAACCTTAAAAATGGTAAATACTAATGAATGTCCTTGGATTTTGATAATCAATGGTTCATTATTTTTATTTTGATATCTAGAAATACGCAATTGGGTTATCAAGATTCTATTTTTTCCACAAGAGTAATAGTTTATCAATCGACTCGATATAAATTGAGAAGAAATTTTATAATTTATTAAATTGAAAACGATTACATAAATAATTTTAGTCTTCTTTCTAATCCATATTTTTTTAATCTCAAGAATGCAGAGTGATTAAAAATATTGGATAAAAATTTTCATCTGTCGAGCAATGTTATTGTTTATCGATAAAAAAATAGCAGGAGGTGTTAAGTCTACACCTTTTTTTTTATCCTCCAGTAACCCAATGACCCACAGACCGACTTGGAAGTTCCCGGAACGAAATCCCCTCAATCGGGAAACGGAAAGAGGGGGCAAACCTCGATGAGGGTTGGCGGCTCCAAGCTGTCTGGCACGACTATGGGACGCTTTCTAGCTTCTATACATACATATATATATGCACACATCTATGCAAGAATGAGAATGACTATAGAATGGGAAATGAAGTAAAGAAAGTCAATGGGATATACACACAGTAGAGTGTGATGTATTGTTCAAATATCCTCGAGACAATGAGGATCAGTGTTAAGGTCGGTATATGTTTTTAAGATCAAATTTTGTTTTTCTTATTCTTTGCAATTTACTTTGAAAATAGTCCAGTCGACATAAAAAAGAACATAACCAGTCAAAATGAAAGTAATGGATTTCTTATGGAAGAAGTCTTTCTTTTTTTCTTAGTGAATTCTTTTGTAAAAAAAAAATATAAAATATTATTTATTTACCCATGACATTTGTAAAAAATAATTCTATGTAAGAAATATATAATATAATAAAGTAATATAATAATGTAATAAAATAAATAATCTTCTGTATTTTTTTTTTCTTTCAAAGTCTTCCATCTCGACTGGACTAAAATTTTATTTGATCATTTAAACTAATTTTTCTGAATAAGACACTAGTGCTGATTGATGAGAATTATTTCGTAAACGAATGAATCAAACTGTTGGTTTTATTTTTGGCTCATTTAAGAACTTTTAAGTGTTCATTGAACAGTAGTTTATTTAAATTTCACGATAAATTTGGTGAACATTGAACAAGAGGAGAAAAAAGTTGATTAAACAGACCAACACAGAAGGGATGTTTTTTTTTCTTGATGTTTCTGTACATTTTATGACAGAAGAATAAGGATTGGAATATTGTAGAAGAGAGGATTTTTGTTTTTAAGCTTCTAATGATTACTAGCAGGTTGTATGAGAAATTGATGAAGACTCAACATGACAGGAAAAAGAATATTTCCTTTTTTTTTTTATTTATAGATTTATTCTGAGTTAATAAATGGTATTGAAAATAAGTTGATCTACTCATCAACCTCATTGGAGAGATTGTGAAAATAAAACCCCTTTGTCAATGGATATAAAATAAAAATAATTATTAAAATAATTATTTAAAAATAATTTACCTTAAAAATAACATCTAGAAAAAATATCCATTAATTTGATGTAAAATTATTAGAAAAACGTAAAGTTTAATTAATCCTTTCATATTTTTTTGCTTTTAGAGAATGTATTTATTCAATTGTATCAATATTGGAGCAAATAAAGAAAAACCTTACCAATTAATTGCCAATCAAATATTAAAAAAAAAAAAAAAAAGAATTAAACTCTAGAAATGTTTTTTCATTCATTGTCAATTTGTATTTGTAAAATAACTGAAGTAGACTTTCCATTTGGATAGACAATATAATCTAATATTCAAACTCACTCAATTAACTTGAAGATAAATGAATTCTTGTAATGAGTAGTAAAATATGCCATTTGTGGAACAACTTGAACATTCAAAAGTAAGAGAGAGAGAGAAAGAAAAAAAGTCAATGAAATATTTCTCTTTTTCAGATAATCTTCAACAATATCATCTCTTTATTTCAAGTAATTCTATTTTCTTGTTCTCCTGTCGTCTTTTCAGTTCTCAAGGGGTAAACACAATGTCTCGAGAATACTGGCGTCATTCTCATCCATCGAGACTTAAATTTCGTGCCAAGGTCGAAGCTTAAACACATCGATCGATTCGAATTTAAATGGACATATTCAAGTGGTACAGCATAAAATTTGATATATGTTTACATTTTTAATAATAATAATTTATTACTGTAATTTATTAATCTTAAGTTATAAATCTAACTAACTATTATTACTTTCCTTTAACAATCATTTTCCAATACATTGCGTGCGTCTATGATGAAGAATAACGATTGTTACGATCTACAAAAATATGTTAATTAAAAAATGAAAAAATTGATAGAATAATTATTATTATAATCATGATCAATTTTTGTTCCTCCATAGCTCAATTACATTCGTTGTTTGACGCACGTTCGTCAATACAATTATTATTAATCAATCATTAGTCCTTAAAGTTAACGAGATAATTCATTAGAGAGACAAATTAATTATTACTAAAATTAACGATAATTAATAATAAAGAGACATGATCATATTGTTTATCAACTAAAAATTCAGTGATTAATAGCAGTAATTTTGAGATTACAAATTGGTAAATATTCCTTTGATAAATGCTTCATTTATCAACAAATAACTTTGTTTTTTAATTGTAAAATAATTATACAACTAATATAGATGAGAGAGATAGAGAGAGAGAGAGAGAGAGAGAGAGAGAGAGAGAGAGAGAGAGACGTATAAAATGTTAATTGAACCTTAAACAGATTGTGAGATAAAAAATTTACACAAAAATAAGAAGGAATTTCATCATTTACATATGTATAAGAATAAGGTGATGTTTATTATTTATTTTCCAATTAATGGAGAGAAGACTTTGTGTGATTTTTTATACCATTTTTTTTTAACTTCTTCAAAGATAAACAGTGTTTGAAATTTACCTTTTTATTTCTTTTTAATGTCACTTGCTCTTTTGATGAAGCAAAATATTGAATATTGTCTTTGCTTTATGAATTACACTAAGAGAAAAAAATTATTTTTATTTCCATTCTTTCTCAAATATTTTTTTATCAAATTATTTCCAATTAAAAATCTAATAAAATTTATTTCATTTATAATTCAAGAATTGGAACAATTTTTATTGTCAATGTTAGTGTGATAATTTTACTTAGTTATTTTTTTGTTTTATAATTAATTAGAAGAAATATTTTATCACAATATTTAGCAACAATGTCATTTTTTCTCTTGGAGTATAAACATGTGTACAATAATTTCAAAATTGGTCATTATTTATAAATGTTGTTTTATTTATTGTAAGACTATTTTTCATCACTTGACCGTCCTCTCACAAGTGGGCAAATTTACCCTAAAGAATACATTGAGCTCGATAAGCGAGGCAAGAATAAGAAATACAGCGTACATACATAAACAAGCACGCCCAACTTTTTGGTCAAGTTGAAATTTATTTGAAGCGAATGCAATGTAAAGTAGCATTAAAGTAGATAGGAGTGATATTGCGCTGTATTCTAAGCCACCAGAATTGATACTGATGTAATGACGACCGGGTTGAGTAGGGGAAAAGGACGATTTGATCAGCCAAGGAAGACCGAGACAAAGAAGAATGTCAAATGTATTCGAACCAATCGAATTACTGATACCCATTGAACCATGACCTGTAATTAATTTTCAGATTACTTCCTTTCTCACATTATTTTATCTCTTCTTTTTTTTCTAACAATTTTTTAGTTTTTATTTCACTGCAATTTATTTTATAGCGGAAAAAAATATCCAAGTAATTTTTCAACAAACCTTGTTTCGCGACGATAACACTGGAAACAGCTTCTGGTACGCTTGTGCCTGCAGCTAAAAATGTAATTCCCATAACGGAGTCAGGAATTTTTAGAGTATCGCCTGTAAAAAATTTATTTTTCCAATAAATTCAAATATAAATGAGAATACAACTGTAATGAGAATTTTCCGGAGCTACGAGTTTTTAAACTGCATGAGAATATGATCCTTTCAAAGCTCTCTCTCTCTCTCTTTATTCATCAAAAAAAATAATAATATTCTAGAGCTTGAATAATTTTTTTAAATTCATTAATATTCATCAAGAGTAAAATGTGTTTACCAATAAATTTGAGTTTTTAAATAATAAATAAAGTAAATGGAAAAAAAAAGGAATAGTTACCTATAATAGTAATCATCCATGCTACAACGTAACTGAGAGATCCAATCCATATAATACACATGAGGAAGGTGACAGGAAACCACTTTTTAAACCTGGGCTTTTCACAGTCAGGTATCGTGCACATGAAGATGAGATGAATGGGCCAGGTAAGTATCCAGGCAGTCTTACGGATCCATCCACCACGGGCTGGCCATACTAATAGCTCATATTCATACTCTGCAAATCCATTTCCAATACAATTTCATTTATTTTTTTATTACTGCAATTATTGGATTCCTAAGAAGACGCAATCATCTGAGGATTCATCATTGATTTGATAAGTTTCAAATATTTATAGAGGTATGATTCGGACCGGGTCTTATGGATATTAGAAGATGTTAATAGTAAATAAAATGATTAAGTAGAGTTAATTGATGATTGATAGTGAACTTTACAAGGTGAATGTAGAGTATATTTAATTGAGCTGTAGAGTCTTTTTAGAGTTGTTTTTGAATAAAAAAAATCAACTTTAGAAAGTTTTTTTTAATTTATTTATTCATGGTGTCGTCAGTGACACTGAACTTCTTCAACAACTTTTCATATGTCAGTTTAGTTGGAGTATAAGCTTGGGTTGGAAAATTTATTACTGCCTGAATAGGAAAATTTTTCTTTAAGGAATAACTCGGGATCTATGAGGCCTATGAAGGAAATAAGGATATCAATGGATTCGTGAGAATGAGATCTTTTTATTTCATTAGGCGAAATTATAATATTAATGATGATTAATGCTAAAATTAAAGAAAGTTCCCGTTTTACCCCATTTTAGGGGTGAAATAATTAATTTTTCGAATGTTTGACTTGATTCCGCATTTCTAGGCATTGAGACGAAGAGAATGAGTGGTCGAACTTGAAAATCGGACAACTTTGATTTTTCGACCCAAAAAAATGGCAAGTGGTACCCCTTTCCATTTTTTTTGGCCAAAAAATAAAGGTACTCCGATTTTGATGATTGAGGGCTCATTCTCTTCGTCTTGATGTGTAGAAATGCGGAATCGGGGCACCGATCAAGAAAATTCACTTTAACACCCTTAAAATGGGGTTACACTAAATACAAATTATGGATTATCATCCCTTTGACTTTAAACCCCTATAACTCATGAACGGACGGTCCAATAACTGATTTTAGGGACGTTTTAGAAAGCTAAAAATTCAAGCTAAACATTCATATTTATGAAAAATGTGTAAAAAATTTCTTTCACCCTTAAAATCACTGAAATATAAAAAAAAATCACATTTTTTTGGGAAGTTGCCAACTTCTTTTGCCATTTTAAGGGTGAAATAAATTTTTAAAACATTTTTTATGGATATGTATCTTTAGCTTAGATTCTAAAGTTTTTAAACAGCTCCTAAAAATCATCATTAGATGAATTTTACGAGAGTTATAGAGGTCCAAAGCCGAGTAAGGGTCAAAAAATTACCTCTGCTTGAACTTTGAACCTCTATAACTCTCGTAAAATTCATCTAATGATGATTTTTAGGAGCTGTTTAGAAACTTTAGAATCTAAGCTAAAGATACATATCCATAAAAAATGTTTTAAAAATTTATTTCACCCTTAAAATGGCGAAAGAAGTTGGCAACTTCCCAAAAAAATGTGATTTTTTTTTATATTTCAGTGATTTTAAGGGTGAAAGAAATTTTTTACACATTTTTCATAAATATGAATGTTTAGCTTAGATTTTAAGGTTTCTAAAACGTCCCTAAAAATAGTCATTGGACCGTCCGTTCATGAGTTATAAGGGTTTAAAGTCAAGGGGATGATAATCCATAATTTGTATTTAGTGTAACCCCATTTTAAGGGTGTTAAAGTGAATTTTCTTGATCGGTGCCCCGATTCCGCATTTCTACGCATCAAGACGAAGAGAATGAGCCCTCAATCATCAAAATCGGAGTACCTTTATTTTTTGGCCAAAAAAAATGGAAAGGGGTACCACTTGCCATTTTTTTGGGTCGAAAAATCAAAGTTGTCCGATTTTTAAGTTCGACCACTCATTCTCTTCGTCTTGATGCCTAGAAATGCGGAATCAAGTCAAACATTCGAAAAATTAATTATTTCACCCCTAAAATGGGGTAAAACGGGAACTTCCTTTAATTTTAGCATTAATTATCATTAATATTATAATTTTGCCTAATGAAATAAAAAGATCTCATTCTCACGAATCCATTGATATCCTTATTTTCTTCATAGGCCCTATAGATCCCGAGTTATCAGCAGAAAATTTTCATCATGTAAAAATTGTCGAAAAAAAAAAATTTCCCCCTTTGGGGAAAAATCGTGGAACGTTTGGCGAACGATATCTTTTTATACTAGTGATTACTTCCAGAGAAGAGAAGAAGAACTCCTCCATCAGTTTCCAGTGAGAAGAATTGTATCACTGACTTTATATTTAAATGAAATAGGGTTTTAATTAATGATTTAAATAGTATTCTCTTCTGTAAGAGTATTGTTGTAATTTAAGTTTAAATTCAGTTAAATCCAATCAAATAGAAGTCAACCCCTACTTAAATTATCTAAGAATTAAAACACCCTTCAAATTGATGTCCTCAGAACAATAAGAGACTTACCAGCTTCATGATTTTCCTCTTGACTCTTTGTTCCACCATTCTGTAGTGGAACGTCGATGGTCGCAATTTGCTCGACTCTTTCACCGGATGATTGCAATTTATCAGGTCTCGATAAGTGAATTTCCCCAGCATCCCCTAGTCGTGGTGGAGGAATTAAAGACAAGAAAAAATAAAAAAAATCACAGGAAGAGAAAAAAAATATGTCAATGAAATATTAAATAAAGCTGTGGCAAATATACAAAGGGTAAATTGTTTGATAAAAATAAAAAGATCAGCCAATGAATATAGAAAAGATGATAGTGTGAAGAAAAATTTCTTGTGGCTTGCTACTACTACTACTATTATTTTTTTTTTCCTCCATACAACATGCACTTTTGCATTATTCAACGCTTGTTATATACAATAGTAAAAGTCAGCAAAGTTCCAAAGGCCGATCGATAGCTCTCGGGACCAGGTCACGAGATCAATTATCCATAACTAAAGGATAAACTGCTTTCAATATTTGCAAAAATACAATAAAGTTTAATGTTATGGAATGAAAGGCGAAAATGAACAAAAAAAACCAGTGTCATAAATAATTGCACCGATTGTTTTCAATTGGAAATATTTAAATACAATCTCAACATTATTATTATCACCAATAAAAACATATAATAATAACAAAAGCATAAAAATAATAGAGTTTAATTATTGGCAATTATTTATTAGCAAAGTTATGGTGTGATGAATTGAATTAAATTAAAATAATTAATTAAATAGAGTTATAAAATGGATGGATAATTAAATCGTATTTAAATGTAATTATTAATGTTGTTGATTGAATAAAATAGATGAATTAATTGAATAATGTCGATAACTTTTTTACCTGCTGCAATATGTCCATCTTCAGAAGAAGAGACACTGTTTTTCGTCCGGAAACGTGTACAACGTTGAAACGATTTGTCCCAATACATGACAGCAATGTAGACGATATAAAGAAGCACGAGACATAATGCCTCATACCATTCTACCCTCTCGTCATGGATGATACAGATTAAAATGGCCACTGTGACACCGTAGGCCAGACAATCTCTGCTAACTGGCCACCAATCTAATGGCACCACCTGGATCATTTATTCTTTAATAAGCTTCTTTTTTATTCAAAGTAGTTTAGCATGCAAGAAAGAAGGATTTTAAAATACACTGGATTATAAAACTTTTTTTGTTTCAACATGGAAGAAAAGTTAGTTTGGAATAAATTTAGCAAAAATGATTAAATGTTGGAAAAATGAGATTAAAGTATGGATTGGAGAAAAATGTATGTTTGGTGCTGATAATAACTTTGATCAGTAATTATGAGCTTCAAGTATAGATGAAGCATCATGTGTTTGATGTTATCAATACTCTACATGAGCCTATTTTTATTATATGTGATATTTATGTTGTCATTTTTTTTTTTTTTTAAAGATTATATTTTTTTTTTTATAATCTTGTGGTCTTAAGGTTTCCCTAACACACTAGTTAATGTATTCTAAGGGTATTTATGCTTACATTTGCATAATAATGCATAATATTTGCATTATAAATATCTTTTTTGTCAACTACAAGGATTACAATCAATTAATTACCTTTGTTATAAAATGATCAAGAAGAGAATTAATTTTTATTTATAAACTCGAAATGTGGAGGGTAAGTTTTAGGTTTATAAACTAGTAATTAAAGGATTATATAAAGGATGGAACTTTATATAGGAACGTTAGAGTTCCATGGGAAAGTGAAATTTCAGTCGAGAATTATATTAAAGCACATTTCAACCTCTTTACTATTAATAACTCTTGAACAAGCTTGTGATATAATACAGTATAGTAGTAGCTAGGGTAAATATTAAGTAAGAGGTGTCAAGTATTCAAGAGAGAGTGAAAAAATAAAACAAAAAAGGTAAATAAGTAGATTATTAAAACAATTCTATCTCAAGTTATTTACACTTTGAATAAAATAATATCTAAATAATACGTTATTTACTTTTTTTATAAAACAGAATCTCTTTGAAACTTTTATCTTCATTTGAATAAAAATCCTTTTGGCTGTAATTTACCTAAATTATAATAAATCTGTCAGATTAATATAATTTTCTAGTTACACCTTTTTTTTCTAAGCTTCACATATATATATTTATCATGACTTTGATGTAAAAATATACATGCTTGTATTATTGATAAAAAATAATCAAGTTCATTAAAAATAAAACAACTTTTTGTGATGAATTTTAGATAAGTGATGATTTTATCAGGTTTCATATTTAATTAATCAATAATTTGAAATTTAATATTGTTAATTTTATCACCAATTACTTTGAATATGATTAATTTATAGTGAGTAATTATTTAAAATATGGAAAAATTCATCTCAAAAGAAGAGAAATTAGTAGAAAATTTTAAAAAGCCACTTAAGAATCTTAAAATTGTGCTTGATGATTGTTATAAAGTCAACTTTTACAAAAAATTCCACTAAAACTGGATATTATCCCAGACATTAGGTACCTTTTCCTAGCTTTTAAGTGGCTCTTTAAAATATCTCCATCTACCAAAGATTAGCTCAGTAATTTTGATTTTTAAAACAACGAAATTTGATATGAAATTAATGGATTTTAATTAAACATTAATTGAAGCTTTTATATGGTAACATTTAGGGAAGATATTATTAATGAGATGATGGCTTTGATGGAGGGAAGTCCTAATTCAAAAGTGTCTTGGGTAAATTCTTGATCTAAATAGATGGATTTTCATGATAGCATTGGAACCGCAGCATAATTAAAATAATTATGTTAACAGGAATATTGATAAAATTACATGACAAGATAAATTACCATTCCTGCGCCTATACCACAGCATGCTGGTACTGCGAGAATATTGAAAACTGCTGATCCTACTATCGTTCCAACTCCAATATCACCTTCTGTGATAAAAGTCCCAATTGCATTAACAAAAAGCTCTGGAGCAGATGTTGCAGCTGCCATAAAAGTTGCACCAGCCACATCTTTTGACATTGATAATGCTTTTGGTGTAAATAAAATAAAATTTTCATTAAATACATTTAATTATTTTTTAATTTAACAAAAAAAAAAAAAAAGAAAAAATGTTCTTCAATCAAAAAATAATTTCTTTTGTTAATTAATTTTAATTTTTTTTTTATCTAATGAAGTAATGGTCTTACCATGACATATTTTTTCTACTGCAGGTACAAAGAATTTGTCACAAACTACCGCTAAAGCGATGAACAAGTAAAGAGATACAATGACGTGAACGACGACAGCTCCTTCTTGTCGTTGCTTCTCATCAAACAGGTCATGTGGAAAGTCTTCAATTGCCGGTGGTGTGCAATTAACCCCTGTAGAAACATTAACATAGGGTTAGAAAAAAAAAAAAAAATAATACTCCCAAAACAATATCATCGTATTCTTATGAATAATTTTTTTTTATCAACAACTTATATCACAATAACTGATATTTATTATCAATAAATAGCCTTTTAATTTGCTCTCTACTTGTTAGATAAAAAATCTGATATAATTAGTATCTCCATACTACCCCATTAAGTGAAGATAACATTCAGGTCATGACGCTATAAATATTAAGAGGGTGTTTTTGTAAAACATTCAACAGCTTCTTCATAAACTGGAAATTCGACAGTGGATATTTTATTTCACTAAAATTAAACATTTTTGTCGCACAATTCTTTATTTAAAGCTTAAAAAAAAGCTTAAAAATAATAGCATTGATGAATAATAAATGAAATTTATCATGAATAAATTTAAACGAATAAAAAATTTTTAATTAATTTTATGGATTTTATTTTTAAAAAATATATCAAATTATTATTTGAATATTTAATTGAGAATTTCAAAAGGGAAAATGATGAGTAAAAATGACTTTTCAAGTTTCATTGAAAGAAAAATGGATGAATTTTTGTGTTAATTCAAAGAATCGAGATAAATGAATAAGAAAAAAATAATAATTAATTATAGACAGATAGAAATCAATCATGTTTGTGCTACAGTTTCGTATATGAGAAGTTTCAATTAATTAAACACACTGGAGATCGTAAAATCGGGTCAATCGGTGGACAGAGACTCGCGACTAGTTCACCAGTGTCAGATAATTATTATTGTCGACGGCTATTCAATTTTGTGGTCGCGGATGTTCCACTCCCAGAAACGGAAGTCATGGAATGCCCCATTTTACGTAATATAGTCAACTACATCTCCATCTATCTCTGTATACAAATATCAAATTTACGACTTTTCTACTTCATCTTCTCACAATCGTCTCTTCATTTACTCCCTCCAATCCCCAAACTATCATCAGAGACATTAGAAAGTTTAATTGAAGCAATGACAAAAATAAAATCATGATAAAGTGATAAAAGAAATTTCTAAAAAAGATTCCTCTAAAATGTAATATTTTTTTTTTTTTTTAAAAAAGGAAAAAAACCTTTGGAAAAAGGTATTTGGATGATAAAAAATCTTTTTAAAGTGAGATTTGAATATTCACTTGATCTAATTAAATAAAAATGAAAGAAGAGTGAATAGAGTGAGTGTTTGAATTGGAAAATGTTTCAAATTTTATCTGACAATGAATCTCAACATAATTTTGTGGATGAAAAAAATCTAAAAATATTTTTTTTATAAACTCGAGTGAGTTTAATATGATTTTAATTCTATTTAAAGTACTGCGTTAAAGGAAGAGAGGACACTATTACATTGTTAATAGGTTGACGCATGGCCTGAAGGCGCAAAGCGTGCTAATAATCTTTCCAGCGAGTTTGTGGTGACCCAGAAAATATTGAAGCTCAAGAAAAGCAATAGAAGTTATACACCATGTGTTATTACATACAGTATAAAAATGATTATTAGTAAATAAATAAATATGATTGATGATGATTTTTTTTAAATTCTTAGTGTATAGACGATGAATAAGAGAGTACGAATGTAAAGGTGGCGAGTGAGTTTATATACCTATGTGGACTGATGTGACTTCCTACCGATTAAGCAACCTAAAGAAGTTAAATTGCTCTTATTCAACTGAGCAGAGATGCCATTCATGCCTAATGTACGTCGTATAAACTAGGTATAACTCAACAACTCGGTCGGTCGACTGACCACGACGACGCTTGGCTCATCCCAAAGACCAAAAGAATGTTACTTTTATCATCAAGAAGTGGAGGAAGGAAAATAAGAGAACATAAGCAAACGAGGTAATAATAAAAATGATGAAGGAATAAGTATAAAATACCATATTTGTACTTTGCACTTCACAATTATTGTAACTATCAATTTTAACTAATTTTTAATCGCACTCAATTCATCTCGTGCTAGCTTTAATATTATCTCTTTGACACTAAGCCCGACTTTCTGTCCTTAATTAATGGTAATCCGTTTTCCTCATTTGGAGATCAAACGATGCGATCACGAAAGAGACTTTGTACGTGAGAAATTCGATAATAACAACAATTATCTATTACGAAACTCCTATTCTTCCACTTGGTCTTTTATTTATTTTTTTTTTTCTTTCTTTTTTTAATAACAACCATCTTTACCGGAATTATTATGTCTATCGATCAAACACTTTTTTCAACAGATTCTTTTTGTAATTAATTATCAACATGATACAACATTTCACACGTTTGATATCAATTATTGACTATGATCACTGTTTTATCAATGAATCCTTTTGATCGAAGGATGTTAGAATGATTTCGATTGTTAATGGTTCGATGGTTTTGAGATATCGATTAATCTATAGGGAGGATTGATCCTTATTTAGTTAGGGAGATTGATTTAGAATCCTGGTGAGTCACTTTACGCGAAATGAAAATAATCTCGTGGCATGGTCGCGTTTTTTTTTATTGATGACATGATCGATTTCATTAAGTGAAGAAAAGTGTATGAAAAACACCAACCAGACGTATCCATGTTGTCAATCCCGTTGTCACACACATACTACATTAACAACTACTCCGAAGTCCGACATCGTTTGTTGAATTGCATGCCCCTCCCTTCAAGTGGATTAGTCGTTGAGCGTTTCGAACGCTTGACAAAAAATTTTTGCCACCGTTCTCGTTTCCGTTCCTTTTAGTTTCTCTATTTTTTTTCTGCTAAACCGATCGACTAGAACCTCAACCCAAATATACTAATTGCCGGATAATATTGCGGAAGGTAACTTTAACTTTCGATATTTTTTTTTAAATCGATCTATTTTTATCGTCGTTTTTTGAACGTTAGATTTGATGTGTTGAGACACGATCGAGCGACGAATGTGTAACGATCACTGCGAGATGATTTGTGTGATGCTGCTGTGTGCAGCAGATACATTCTAGAGATAGTACATATGAACTATGTACTCACTCGAACCCAGTTAACTTTGACCAGTTCCACTTTGACAATTTACCCTGCAATTTTCAACGCATTCATAATATTGTCTCGATCTGTTTCATTATTATTCCTACGAAAAAAAATCATCGATGGTGAAGTATCGACTCGATTTTAGTGATTATTTATTATGTTCAATATTTTTAAATTGCTTCTTTTTATTTGAAGATCAATCAAATATGGTCTAGACAAATATTAAAATCCTATTTTAAATTTAAAATAAAAAAATTCATTTTACAAAGATAAATAGTTCAAGTCTTAGTTGTTGAAAAAAAAATTATTTTAATTGCAGAGATTGATTAAATAAAATAATAAAAATCCAAATAGTTTAGGGAATAATTTTTTGTAGGAATTTTTACTAGTTAATTACTAGCCAAATAAATTAAAAATTACTAGGTTTTTTTTCAGTAAAAATACTTAGTTTAAAAAATTAGGAAAAAGTCAATATATTTATTAAAAATATCACTACATTAAATACAAAGTAAATTTTGGAATTTATAAATTCTTTTCTAGGAATTTTTACCAACCAACATAGTACTTTTTCCTAATTTTTTTACCTAAGTATTTTTACTAAAAAAAAAAAAAACCCCCAGAAATTTTTAATTTTTTTTTGGTTAATAAATTAAATTCTAAATTAATTGATAAAAATTCCTATAAAATTTATTTCGTATTGAGATAAAAAAAAAAAATTATGTAGTATTATATGTTTAACCGAGTGATTTATAAATTTTCCAATTATAATAATGTTTTTTGATTGTTTGAAATTTCATGCTATTAATTATATAATTGAATTGATCTAATGAAAATTGAGTATATCTAAAGCAAGTCATTGCGCTTTGTAGTATTGGCCTTGAAATTAATTTTTGCTGTCACTTGATACTTAATACTAGAAATGTGATTTTCAATACAATTATCAATAATTTCATTCAAAACAATTGTAATAATATACTTATATCATAGATGTCATTAAATAATTATTTGTAATTGGTGGAATAAAAAAATTGTTCGAAATATTAATTGACTCTAACCCATTAGTGATGTAGTTCAAGTTCTTTAAGATTGAATCATTCATTTTATTTTATAACTTTAAACATTAATTTTACGTAACTATAACGTTTACTTTATTTATCTGTTCTCAAGAATATTGAGATCCAAGTATCAATATTTAGCAAACTAATTTTTCAATGAAAAATTATTTTTTTATATTTACAATGACATAAAAATAAATAAATACAAATGATTTTACAGTGAATTAAATGAAATTTCAATGTTGAATAAACTGTAAAGAAATAAGTTTGAATAAAATATTAATTAATTTATTTATTTAAACAGCCTATTATATCAATGGATGCATAAACAAGTGTTTTCGATTACGCTAGTCTTCAATGGGATAATAATCTCAGACAAGTTATCTCCTGAGATTAGAGTTATATACATCATAATTTGCAAAAAAGATAAGAAACCCACATGTGTACCTTTTTGAACACAAACTTTCCATGAATTCTGAGGGAAAAATTCCACTTTCCAGGATATTATAAACATTGCAAGATTATTTATTATTTAATTAACACATTCGATTGTGATTACTTATCATTAATATAACTGAAGGTTTTTACTTCATCATCAAGAACTTGGTGTACCCAATAAAATGTCTCTATTTCACAATCCAATTATTAATTATTTAATTGTTCTCCCTTCAATGACTAATTAATCAGTTAAATTATAAAGCATGGAAGACAATTGCTTTAAAATACATCTGTTAATGATAATTAATGTGGTTTGTCTAAATTAAAAAACACTCTAGAGTGTATTAGGAAGAACCAACTAAATAAGGACATGGAACTTTGCCAACGCACTTTTGGCCGCATTGCACCAATTTCCTTTCAGCGACCTTGAGAAATAAATAAAAGGGAAATATTCTTGAATATTGGTACGATTGAAAATGGATCAATTAAATTCCACTAAATCATTCAACTATTTTAGTTCATTGTAAAACCAATATTAGATTTTTTCTCACACATCAATTTTATCTTGACAGATTTGTAAGATATTGATATTTTCATTATGCAAATGGAATAAGAGGTAAGGATGTCAAATAAAGTCGAGAGAATAATTGAAGTCGGTCAACGCTCTACCAATTACGTATAGAGCTTGTGGCTCACCGTCAATCACTATCTCAATTGTATTTCGTTCGTTGACGACTTTTTCATTTTTTATTATTCTCATGGTGATGAAGAGATTCTATCTTTAAAATAATTCCTTACAATTTCAATTAACTAATTAAAATACATTTTATTCAGTTATTTTTTTATTATAAAAAACAACAAGATAATTTTTGAAATTATTTATGTTAAGTGTCTAGATGATGTGTCACACTAAAAGATTAAAATTAAGCCAGATTTTTTTTTTTTGATAAAACTAAGAAGTTGTTAAAAATATTTATTGTAAAATAATGTTAATTTTATATAAAATTGATCTTAAGTTGATAGACGGTAGAATTGTTTTTCTCACAACAACTGATCGAGTGTCAAGGGATAGTTTATTCGTCGACTTTCTTTTATCTTATCACAAAGATAATAAACCAATATTCAAAAGTATTCCTCAGAGCAGTCTTTTTTCCCATCAGTCGCTGGTCAGACATTCAGTAATCAACTTCATTCCTTCAATATCAAATTTAATTTACAAAAGCATACATTTATCCAACGAATTTTATTACAACTCAACTCTGACCAGTTTTTATTTTATTTTATTTTTTTTAATTCACAATTAATTGTTTAATAGCACAAATATCTCAAGAGATATGACAAAACGCCACAAACATATGATATACTACCGCATGCTACTGGTAATCGCCATACCTTTGGTATATTTCCTCTGCACCAATCTCACTGGAGTATTTACAAAAGATTCAAGGATTGATTCTGGGATTGATAACAAAAATGCAATACGTGAGTTACACTTGAATCCGATAACTATCTACGATAAAATATTGGAAAATTTTTTTATTTTATTGTCGAATCCAGATAAACACAAGCTTATCGATAACTTGAATAATCGATTGAAAAAAATATCATGTGATATTTTAACACGCAATTACAAAGTACTTGAATTATAAATAATAATTTAAACGTAATAAAATTCATCAATAAAGTGATATTTAATATTGTTATAATTATTGGCATTATTATTAATTACTTACTTCATCAATATTTTACTCAATTAAAAACCATTACAGAAATTAAAGTCAACTAGCTTGATAATTACATTAATTATAGAGTTTCAAAATGAAGGCAAAAATTTATTTAAAGGATTTATGTATTTAAAATTAATTTTTTTATTATTTTTATATTCATTCAATTCTGTGATTATTATTAAAAAAAAAGTAATTTCGTTTATTTCTTTGCAGGATTACGAAGGTTGATGCAAATAGAAGAGCCTGAACTCAACAGTAGTAATAACTGTACACCTCCAGCAGTAAAGGAATTTCCATCTGACGGTCTCACGCCTGAAGCAAGACGTTCTGGGTTCATTGTAGTGCATATAATTTTTGCTATTTATTTATTCCTTTTGCTTGCCATTGTTTGTGACGACTTTTTTGTCCCCTCCATCACCAAAATATGCGAGAGTGAGTCCTGTTTTTTTTTTTTAATTTAATTTACTCAGTTAATCGTTTAATATATTTAATTTTATTGTTTTAAACTAAATAACAGTTGTTCATATTTCACAATTTTTATTTTATTTTTATTAATACTTCTACAGTGAGTTTCATTTTTTATTTATTTTTATTTATATAAAAGGAATTTTTTTTCTAATTCCTTTTTAAATTAATCCTCTACTTTTAAATTTAAAAATCGATATTTAATATTTAATATTTTAATAATAATTTAGTTTATAATTGATGGTGATTAAAATGATGATAAAAGATTGATTTTGATGACTTTAACTGAATATTTAAATTGCAAAAGTTGAAAATTATTCATTATAAACTGGAAAACTAAACTAGAATGTGTGAAATTCAAGATAAGTAACTGACAGTTTAACAGTTGAGTTCTTGTGAGGAAAATTACATCTAGATATTTAAATGAAACTTTACAATTGCTGTGAAATAAATTAGCCAAATAGTTATTCAAGTCATGAATTTCTTTCTAAAGCAGAGTAAAACAATTTTAATTAAAAAATCTCATCAATTGAAATAATTGATCAATCTTCTAAAAGTATACTTCTAGATAGATAAATAAAAAATTGATAAATTATGGTAATTATAATTTTTCTAGAATTGAACGTAACAGAAGACGTTGCTGGTGCAACGTTCATGGCTGCAGCAACGTCGAGTCCAGAGTTATTTATTAATGTAGTAGGAACATTCATCACTGAAGGAGATATAGGAATTGGTACGATAGTTGGTTCAGCTGTATTTAATATCCTCGCTGTTCCTGCTTGCTGTGGACTTTTTGCTAATCAGGTATTAACTTACATTCTACTCGCTAATACCCTTCTGACTAAAATAAAATAAATAGAGAAAAGTCAGCAGAAAAAAGGGCATCTGTCCCTTATTTTTAGAAATATCTGCGATTGAATTACGTCCAAAAATATTTTCTCTGGTCTTTCAAACATGGAATATGATACTACTTGGCATTCATTCAAGAATTATTCAGATTTATGCAAATTTAGAAAATCTCTGCAATAAATAGAGACGACTTTTATCAACAAAAATAGCTTGATCTTTTAATATTTAATATTATCTTATTTGAGATTGATTTTGAGGAAATGTTTGATTACTAAATGCTTCTAGAAAGTAATGAAACATCGATTACTATTTATTGTTCATATTTATAATTCATTATTTATTAATGTTGAAGGGAGTTTAATCATTTTTTAATGGATTGAACTTGATAGGTTTTGGAGCTTGATTGGTGGCCAATAAGTCGTGATTCTCTAGCTTATGCAGTGACTGTAGGATTACTAATTTTAGTCCTTCGAGATGGGCGGATCGAGTGGTACGAGGCATTAATTTTGGTCGCCACATACATCTTCTACATTTTAGGTAAATAAAAAATGAGTTAACTATTGAAACACTTCCTGTATAAAACAATTTCGTTCGCAAAACGTTCAGCGAATATTCGGCAGGGTTTTTTTGTGAATTTTTAGATGATGAAAGTTTTCTGGTGATAACTCGGGATGTATGAGGCCTATGAAGAAAATAAGGATATCAATGGATTCGTGAGAAGGAGATCTTTTTATTTCATTAGGCAAAATTATAATATTAATGATAATTAATGCTAAAATTAAAGAAAATTCCCGTTTTACCCCATTTTAGGGGTGAAATAATTAATTTTTCGAATGTTTGACTTGATTCCGCATTTCTAGGCATTGAGACGAAGAGAATGAGTGGTCGAACTTGAAAATCGGACAACTTTGATTTTTCGACCCGAAAAAATGGCAAGTGGTACCCCTTTCCATTTTTTTTGGCCAAAAAATAAAGGTACTCCGATTTTGATGATTGAGGGCTCATTCTCTTCGTCTTGATGTGTAGAAATGCGGAATCGGGGCACCGATCAAGAAAATTCACTTTAACACCCTTAAAATGGGGGTTACACTAAATACAAATTATGGATTATCATCCCTTTGACTTTAAACCCTTATAACTCATGAACGGACGGTCCAATGACTATTTTTAGGGACGTTTTAGAAACCTTAAAATCTAAGCTAAACATTCATATTTATGAAAAATGTGTAAAAAATTTCTTTCACCCTTAAAATCGCTAAAATATAAAAAAAAATCACATTTTTTTGGGAAGTTGCCAACTTCTTTCGCCATTTTAAGGGGGAAATAAATTTTTAAAACATTTTTTATGGATATGTATCTTTAGCTTAGATTCTAAAGTTTCTAAACAGCTCCTAAAAATCATCATTAGATGAATTTTACGAGAGTTATAGAGGTTCAAAGTTCAAGCAGAGGTAATTTTTTGACCCTTACTCGGCTTTGGACCTCTATAACTCTCATACAATTCATCTAATGATGATTTTTAGGAGCTGTTTAGAAACTTTAGAATCTAAGCTAAAGATACATATCCATAAAAAATGTTTTAAAAATTTATTTCACCCCTTAAAATGGCGAAAGAAGTTGGCAACTTCCCAAAAAAATGTGATTTTTTTTTATATTTTAGCGATTTTAAGGGTGAAAGAAATTTTTTACACATTTTTCATAAATATGAATGTTTAGCTTAGATTTTAAGGTTTCTAAAACGTCCCTAAAAATAGTCATTGGACCGTCCGTTCATGAGTTATAAGGGTTTAAAGTCAAAGGGATGATAATCCATAATTTGTATTTAGTGTAACCCCATTTTAAGGGTGTTAAAGTGAATTTTCTTGATCGGTGCCCCGATTCCGCATTTCTACGCATCAAGACGAAGAGAATGAGCCCTCAATCATCAAAATCGGAGTACCTTTATTTTTTGGCCAAAAAAAATGGAAAGGGGTACCACTTGCCATTTTTTCGGGTCGAAAAATCAAAGTTGTCCGATTTTCAAGTTCGACCACTCATTCTCTTCGTCTCAATGCCTAGAAATGCGGAATCAAGTCAAACATTCGAAAAATTAATTATTTCACCCCTAAAATGGGGTAAAACGGGAACTTTCTTTAATTTTAGCATTAATCATCATTAATATTATAATTGGTGCCTACTGCAATAAAAAGATCTCATTCTCACGAATCCATTGATATCCTTATTTCCTTCATAGGCCTCATAGATCCCGAGTTATCAGCAGAAAACTTTCATCACGTAAAAATTCCCGAAAAAAAAAAAAAATTTTCCCCTTTGGGGGAAAATCGGGAAATTTCCCTACTGCAGAACATTCGCGGAACGTTTGTCGAACGAAATTCTTTATACGAGTTCGTTTGATGATGTTTAATAGAATTCCATTCAAATTGATTAGCCATTAAATAAATGAATACATTGATTAATTATTAAAATAAAAATATTTTTGTATTTATAACTAATAATTTTAAAGCCATTAAAATGAGAAAAATATCTGTCAACCTCAGAAGTTAATTAAAAAATATAAATGGAATTTATTAGAACAATGAGATAATTAATTAAATATACTCCATTATTATGTTAACATCTACACCAATATTCTTCCAGCTATGTGTTTTAACAAAACAATTAGCCGATGTATGGGTTCAATGGTCGCCAAGAGGAAACAATATAAAAATATTGATAGCAGTCCTCTTCTACCCAAACGTGAGTTTTATTTTTTTTTTCATCAATCTTTCTAACTAGTTAGAGGCAAGATATCAATTGTTCCAAAGTGTAATTAAATCACAGTTAGATTGAGAGATTCAAATTAAAATATGTATAATAAAAAATGAATATTGGATACTGAATAACTAGCAGTGATTAAATTTGAAACTTTACAGATTGTATAGATGGCAAAGTAAGTAGTTTCGAACTTGTAGAAGATGAATCTTTAGAAATCGTTAACATGACAAACTGGCCTGAACCAATGTGGGAAAAAGTCTGGTGGGTGTTCACGTGGCCTATAAACTTCGTTCTACTTTTCACCATTCCTGATTGTCGCAGAAAATCTTTAAAATCTTGGTATCCAGTTACTTTTGGCATGTGCATTGTATGGATTGCTTCCATGTCATATTTTGTAGCTTGGGACATCACAATTATTGGTGATTATTTATAGAATTTCATTCAAGAATTTACATTTAATTATTTTTGAGTAAAAAGAAGAAGAAAAGCAATTTAAATTAATAAAAAAAGATATTTAAAGATGTCCTTTTTCCTCTGTATTTCATTTTTTATAGAAAATGTATTGATTATAGGTGATACTCTGGAGATTCCTGACTCAGTGATGGGTTTAACGTTTCTAGCAGCTGGGATGAGTGTCCCTGAGGCAGTATCTAGTGTCCTCGTAACAAATCAAGGTAAAGAAATATAGAAATACATATGTGCTTATTCAAAGATTCACAGATGTTGATTATATTTTCTATAATTTTGCATCAAAGTATTATTCTAAATTATAAACAATAAAAATCCACTACTGTACTCTTATTGAATAATTTAATGAGTTAGAAATGATTGAGAGGTATCTGATAAAAAATTTCTATTGAAACTTAAAAAATTTCTTTCATAATAAATCTAATAAAATGGTGTTTTTTTAGGTCATGGAACGATGGGAATCAGCAACTCTATAGGATCTAATGTCTTTGATGTTCTTCTTTGTCTGGGATTACCATGGTTTATTAAAGCAGCCTTTGCTCCAAAAATACCTGGTACCCACTATGTACAAATAAATTCAGAAGGAATTGTATACAGCTCAATATCTCTATTCTCAACTCTTCTACTACTTTACATCTCTTTTCTTGTCAATAAATTCAGACTTGATCGTAAAGTCGGGTTTACTTGTTTAAGTATATATGTATGCTTCCTTGTGATAGCTTCTCTCACTGAACTCAATGTTTTCTTTCAAGTTAATTTACCTACTTGTGTTCATTGACGAATACTTGCGGCTAAAGCCGCACTTTAATTACTAATTAAGACTTGGTGTATTAAAAAATTTATTTTACTTCATTAAGTAGGCTAATAATTATCCATGTATACAAATATTTATGAATTAAGATATAGTTTAAGAAGTTAATGTTCATCACAAAGAAATTATTGTACTTATTTAATTGTAAAATATTGATTTGTTAATGATATTTGTTAATTAAAAATTGTACATTTGTATGACATATTCAAACTGAATAGGCATAATAATAATAATAATAATGGATATTTTTTTTCTAAAAAAATGTCATCTTAAAATTTCGTTATCTTCTTTTGAAAAGATAGGACCAGTTTTATTCTAGCGAAGATATCTTGGATTAATCTTTTTCGTATGTTACCTTATCTGCAGTGTCACAGACTTTCAATATCTTAAAGTTAACTTTCAAAACAATGAATATTTCCTTTTTATTTTTTTGTTTTTGCTATTTATGAGTGTAGTTTTTTTTTTTGTTATTCTTATACCACAATCTGTGTACTTAAGACATTTACAAAGATATACTTCTTTAATTTTTTATTACTTTTACAATAATAATAGTAATAGTAAATATTAATCATAGATTAACAAACCAAATCTTTTATAATTATATTGTTACAATTTCTGAGTAATTAAAATGATTAATACTCTGGATTTATATACAAAATTAATTGCCTTTATTTAAAATATAAGACTTATTTTCAATTTTCTTAAACTAATATGATGTAATCTAGGATACAAATAGTTAAAAAAATATTAATAGATATTTAAAATAGGCCCATTACTATTCAGTTTGGTTGTTTTTAACATTTATTTACAGCAGAGATTATGAAATTGACAAATCTATTGTCTTGTTTGAAAAATAAATAAATGCTTGGCATTGATTTATTTGATGTATTCAATTTTTATTTCTAAAAAAACTCTTCATTTATTATAATGCTCATGTCATTCTCAATTTCGAAATTATTATTGCTGCTGATTATTGTAATAATAGACTTAAATGTTTTAGGTTTTCCATATTATAAATAATATCTTTTGAGTTTGAATATTATAATACTAGTATAAACGATATTTAGATAATCTGTTCTACAATAATATTAATTGCTAGTAGTCTGTAAAAATATCTGATTCTGATGAATATATTTAATATTTATCTGTAAATGAATTTAAATCATGTAAAACCAACAGAGTGATTTTCATTTTTTTTTTTGTTTCTCGGTAACTTATACCACCAACATCATAGTTTGTACCTTTGCAGTATAAACTAACTTCATTTTATAAACTCATGAAGAATAATAACTTGATAAAATATCATCAATTAACATAACAAACATAACAATAAAAAATAATTAAAATAAAAACTAATCAATTTATAATAATTATTTGATTAGTTGGGTGCTAAATTTTTTTTTTTAATCTACTTCTAATTTCCGAAAAGATCCAGCAATTCCACTAAGACCTTCTGATGATGAGGAACACGTGTCTTTTGGAGATATTTCTATATACATATCATCTAATGCCATTAAATCATTACGTTTTGCTTTCAATTTTTCTTTAAATGCAGCTGAAATTATTTACAAATGAAAAACAAAAAAATTCCATAAAAATTCAAAACTAATTTACAAGTGGATTAATTAAAAGTTTTAAGTACCAACCTATCATATCAGCAAGTGGTGTAATTCCTCCATACTCTTTCGGTAGAATTTTCGGGTTGATTGCCTCTTTCAAATCATTCACACTCTTATGAACCTGACATGAATCATTTATTTGATTAAATTTGTTATTCAAATTAAACAGAATAAATTAAGGTGGTAAATAACAAAAAAAAGAAAAAAAGATGAAGATTTTAAATATTTGATATGGAAGAATTTAATAATATTTACCATGATTCTAGCTCTGAGTTTATCATTAAGCAAAGACAAAGCAAAGTCAATGACTTTAGTAGCACAATTTGGAATATTTATGAAATGTGTCTCCTTATGTCGCATTGGAGTACTGTTTTGAATGCATCTGAGCATGTTTCGAATGTCAGTGAGTGACCAAGCACTCACATGGCTCATGGTTAACCCAGACTCATCATTTACATGAGTATACCCTCGTACTTGATTCTCTTCGTCATCCAGAAGTGCTTCAACAACGATACTATGGGCTCGAGCCATTTGAGCTGAAGTGTATTTGTATGGATCAAAGCGACCTAAATTCCAAACAGATTCATTTCTCTTATTCAACGTTTTCAAGTCAATTGATTGTTTTTGATTGATCTTTAGTAGAATTTATTAGCCATAAGAAATATCAATTTGACCATTTCAAGACATAGCAGTTTAACTTATGGATTGGTCAATGACACTTCAATCATTTCATTCGTTCATCAAGGAATCTTAATTAAACTTTTATAATGAATCAGTATATAAATGAGTTAATTACTAAAACCTAAATGATGGTAATCAAAATATTGACTCACCAGCACAAGATAAAATAACTTGTCTTCCATGATCATCTTTTTCCAACAATGGAACCAAGTATCCACTATCAATGATAGCTTCAATATCCGGATCGTTGATGTCTAAGTTCTGGAACCAATCAGGGTACAATTGTCTAATCGTGAGATAACGTTCAAGCATTTCCTGTGCCAATGGAACACTAAATTTCTTAGTCCTCAGAAAACGCAAGAGAAATACTGGATCTGTTCTACATCGTTTAATCGATGGGTGTTTCAATATCCAAGATCTAAATTGCTCTAAAGCTTGTTCCCGGATATTCTCATCTTCCCTCAATTCTGCTAGAGCAATTGCTTGAACATCCTCACTAAGATCGCACTTGTAATCCATGTCGTTTCCCATACCCATTGTTTTCTGAAAGAAAAAAAGTTTATTTCCATCAACATTTTATATTGTTTTTCATTTTTAACTCAGCAAGTACCGATGATAATGAATAATTCATAGAATAGCAATTGATGTTTTTTTAAATTAATGAATTTTGTGTTGAAGTGAATAAATATTAAGAAAGTAAAATTGCGAATAATTTATTTAGTTAAACATCACGTTCATATGCATAAATATACAAGACTGAATAACAATTTACTGGATAACCAATTGGTTCTCCACAAAGACATAAGCCTAGTCGACGTGTTCTAGGTCATCCTAAAAGTTTCGTGAAGAATATGATGTAACTTGTGATTGAATAAGTTTGTTATATAGAAAGTTTTATGTCACACCAAATGGAAAGTAATGGAAGTGTCATATTAGATATTCACACTTGGTTTCACTTAACAAAAAGATTTCATTAGAGAATTAAATGCCTATTTTTTGTTTTTTTCTGCTCATAAGTTTGAAAGAATATTAAGTTAGTAATTTTATGCTAGAAGTTACTTTTAAACATAAATGTCATTTTGGCCAAGTCTTTTAATTATTACTCTAGTGTAATGGATATACCATTTTTAATATTTATTTGGCAGTTCACGTAACTTTGTGTGAAAATGAAAGTCACCAGTTACAATAAGAATTAACGAATGTAATTGACTCATCGGGAACTTTCTACTACACTTTCTTGAGTCGTTAAATTTTTTTTGTTGATATTTTTAAACATTATTTTTGCATAATAAAACCAAGATATCAGTTAAAAATACTGTTATTGCTGTGTTGTTTATTACTATTTATAAATTATATGTATACTTTTTTATTTTTAATTTTAAAATTAGCTTTTTTCCATCTCTTCAAGTCTCATTGCAGTTATAACTGATGGAATATATTAAAAAACATATGAATAAATTACTGTTGATTCAAAGAAAAATTCAACAACTATTATTAACTAAATACAGTACAAATAGAATAAGTATAACCATATTGAAAATAAAAATACTACTTTTATATTTTTAACACAAAGGTGAAAGTTTTCTAAAATTATGATTGATCACACCAGCATGGCAAAAATAATCAATACATTCAATAATTTATTTATATTACATTACATCTATTGCACTCTCACTTTTAAAATATAATAATAAAAACCATCAATACTGTACTTATTTATTTAAATTTAATTTAAAAACAAAAAAACATTCAAAGTCTAGACACTTGGATTTTGAATATATTTATACCAAAAAAAAAATAATCGCACCTCAGATGATGTTAACTGGTTGGTTACTCAAGACTAAATAACTGTCTTGCTTAGATGAGTGACCAGATTAAGTGGGGAAGTCGACTGACCATCACTTCACTTCTAAATCTTTGCACCATGTTAAAAGTATGCTTTTACTTGACTTGATTCGTCCTCGAACCTACTACTCACTATCATATTTTGCCCCACTCATTAAATTTTTCATTTTTCGAATAATTGCTTATGAACTGGTAATATCGAAATCCAGAAATAGAAAGGATGTTTTTTTTTGTTCAATCTAAAGCATTATTTTATCAACTTTTTCACTTTCTCTTGAATTCAAAATTACATGACTGAAAAATATGACTGTTTTTTTTCACCAAAATACATAACAAGCATCATAAATATGATGATTATTATTATTATTATTCATTTTAGTCATTATTATTATTTCCCATCAAAGTATTGGTTTACACCAAGGTTTATGTTAATATACAATTATGTAATTATTCTTTTAGTATTTATTTCATGGAAGAAAAAAATAAAAAAAATTATTGAAACTATTATAGTTGTTATTATTATTGTTATTATTAATTGCAAGTAATTTTTAATGATTGTTTTGTTGAAAACAAAAATTAAATTATATGTTTAATATATCACTTTTATTGCTTTCTCCTTTGATGCTTCGATAAGCAAGCCATTATTTCACCTTCATGAACAAAGTGAAAGAAATTTTTACATATAATCATGAAAACAATAATTTAATTTTTTGATTATCAATCATTCACTTGATATTAAACAACGGTTTTAATGATTAAAGACAAGCAAAAGTTCAACTTAAATGGCTATTTTAATTGTATATCATTTTTTTAAAAATACAAATATCACATGAACGTGATTTTTAACATAATAAATATTGCAAACTATTTTTTATCTTTCAACTTCCTATAAATTATTCCCACATACTCTAGATAACTCATCAGTCAACTACTATAAATCAACAATGAAATAAGTTTGAAATTTTTTGGCATTAATTTATCATTTTTTTCTTCAAAATAACTTTTAATTATGGGAATAATTGTTTAGAATGCTGTTATTTGACTTTATTTATCAATAGTTGATGTTCCAACTATGAGCAGTGTTATTAATGATGTTTACTTCTACTAACACAAATTTACTTTTCACCAAGTGGGTTAGCACATTTGAGTTTTCTGGACTGGTTCCGGGATGCTTCAAGTTCATCTAAAGCCGGTTGGTACATAACGGGACTTGCCTCATCCACTTCTCCATCTCAGGATGTATTTTTAAATGTGCTTAATATTTACCGATCAATAAAACGCTCATTCAAAGTAATTTAAAATAAGACGTTAACGTCAGTTCTTGAATATGATGGAATATTTATCAGCTATTTATATGCTATGAAATATAAATTGAACCAACTATCAATAAATAAATAATTGTCATAATAAAAATTATTTTGTTAATTGCAAAAATAAAATACAAAAATTTTTAAATATTTAACTATTTCATGATTGCAACATCTTGATTTTTAAATAAATCAAATCAATTGGGTTTTTTTTTTTTTTTCTGTCAATAGTTATATGTTTAGTTTCCGTTGTCTCATCCAGTTCGAGAGTTACTTTCATTTTTACGATAGAACGAACAATTAGGAAAAATAGTTCCACAAGATTAATAATACTTTCGCTTTTTCAACGATTAAAAATCCTATGGGATTCTTTATCTTTCAGATGTTACCTATGTCTGAGAATGACGTAATTATGATAATGAGTCCTAACTATTTTTTATTATGTAATGAAAAATAAATAAACAACTATTATAGTCAAGTATCAAAATGACATCTTCAAGTTCAATGAATTTTTTAACCATTGGGGATTTTAAAATGATCATTATATGTTGAATGTGATGTGATCTTGTAGAAACAATGGTTGGTGATGTTAAAAAAATTATTTTATAAATAAAATAAACTTACCTTGAATGGTGCCAATTAAATATAAGATAATTTAGTTGATAATTTCAAGAAACCAATTGGAGAAACGCGCGCAGGTCTTGCACCGTTAGTTACCCTGCGCGCGACTGAAAAGACCGCCAACTCTGCACTCTTCCAGGTACAACTATTTGTTGATCTTCACTGTACGCTTGCGCAAAACGCAGATCTCACTCGTCCTGCTCATGTGTAATAGATCCTCTTTCTACCGCCTTCAGAGATTAAACAGCTTCATGAACAAACTCTCGCCAAAGAGAGTGAGAAAATCCCTGACACACTGCATTAAACATAAAAGACATTAACATATACATCTTTATCATCTTTTCATTGTTATTAATATTCATATATTTTCACATTTATAGATCCTCTGAAACTCTGAATGCTACTGTCTAATAAATAACAAGAGAAAATAATCAAGAAATTGGAGTCAAGTTGAAATTATTATCAATTGTTTATAAAAATAACATTTTTAATTTTAATCAAATGTTTATAAGAAATATTTTTATTATTTTTATGGAATGATCATTTGTAAACATGATAATTAATTGTAATCATGAGGAGAGAATAATGTTTTTTATTTAATTTTATGGGTAAGTAGATACAAGGGTATCTCTGATTAAAGGTAAAAGTTAGAAAAATAATTGTAAAAACTGATCAAATATTTCGTGTGAAGTAACAGGAAGTTGAAAGAAATTTTGTTCACAATCGACTAACTGGTATCACAACTTTCACTTATAAAAGTCGTCCTCGGTTTGTTCAATCGGTTACACAATAGATCAAACCTTTTCGATCAACGATTTTATAAATTTCATTTAATTATCACTGAAAAATATCTTAAGATTTCTACTAATTTCAGGAATAAAAAAAATTCATTAATTACACGCAACCATTTATAATTTAAATATTTTTTCTGTCTTATAAAAATGATAAATTAATTACATATTTATATGTACTGATAGAAATTGATTTAATTAAAAAAAGTTTCTGTCATAATTTAAAGTAATTTCTTTTTTTTTTTTATATCTTATTTATTGATTGCTAAATTATTAATTTAGAAAATAAATAGTTGTTTGTAATAATTGAGTGCTTGTCTGTCATATTTAACAGACGTTTTGCATGTAATAAATAATTAACTGTCATATTTATGTAATTATCCATTTTTTCTACTCCTGTCCTACTTAGCTACATAGTTATTTTTGCAAGAAATATGACAATTTTTATATTTTCTTTCTAGAATGGCTTTCTATTCATTCTTTTTGTTTTTAAATTCATTGTTTTCATTCATCCACTTATTTATAGTCACAATTTTGTACGCCTAAGAAGATCATTTATTAATGTCATCATTTTACCTTCTGCACAAGAAACGAGATCACGTGCATTAAACTTATATTCCAGTCTCTAAAGCTATGCTACATTCATTGTTTAAAAACCTTCTTGCCTGTTCACGACTTCTTTCAAACGCAAACTGAACTTTCTCCGGTGACCTTAAAACCAGAACGTACAGTTGTTGAAGCTGGAAAGAAAGTGCATCGTCCTGCACTTTATTTCTTTATGGTATCCTCATACTTTTTGCAAAAATATTAACAATTTTTTTTTTTTTTTTTTTTTTTTTAGTTTTAAATAAGTGTTTTTTATTTCAATCAAAAACACTTTTTAGTCATTTTACTCTTTTATTTATTTGATAATATCATACAGTAATACATGACTTAAATAATATACTGAATCCATAATAAGCTGCCTAATTGCTTATTTACAAATTGGATTTTTTTTTAAATAAAGTAAATTTATCCAAGAATAGTTGAATATTTTTATGTATATAATAATTACGTTCTTTTTATCGTAATTAATTTAATAAAAAAAAATAGTTTTCTCAAATTCACGTTTCAATTTGACGCTAATTGGCACATTTGTTATTAATATTAACAATTGAAATAAGTAAATATTTTATTGTTTATTTCACTTATTTTATCAATCAAAATTAACTTTAATGACTCATGTGTTTTTTGTAACTTTCTTTTTAGCAAATAATAACAAAGAAAATTTTGTTTAAAAATATATATGTATATATAATTCTTTCAGATTAGAATTTTTTTTTTTTTACTTTCTATCATTTAGTTTATGTATTGTTATTATATGGCTTTATCTAAGATTTTCTTAAAGCATTTATGTAAAATTTATACAAAAAATATTCTGAAAATATTTTATAAACAACCTAATTTACAATTTGGCATAATAAATCTTATTATTTTTGTTTTTTGTAAATAATGTTATATTTAAGTACAAAATCGCCAAAAATGATCCACCAATATCTTGAAATGTATACAAAAATATTAAATATATTTTTCCTTAACAATTACCAATTTTTTTTTGTTTAGAAATAAATCCACTATTTACATCATAAGTTTAATTATTTGATTTAACTCATATTCTCTTCAATTGATTGATTACCGATGGATCACTGAGGCAAGTTCTAATAATATTATTTTTATTTATAATTACATTATTCCGTAATATGGCGAAATGTTCATTCCAATTAATAAAATAAATATTCGCAATAATACAAGTAAGAAATTACTGACGAGAGAATGCTATTATAGAGATCATCTAAGAATGACATTATCAAAAGTCAGATCTCTACTATCCCTTTGACTGGATTTCTTGAAAGGATTCCATGGAATTCTCCGGGCTACATGAGCCGTTGTCACCGATCCTGCAGGACTCGGTTGACCAGAAGATACTCCAGATGAACTGCTTGCGGATACACTTCCTTTGTCATGGTGACTAGCCTTTACAGGTTTCTACAATACAATTGAACTTGAGTTCACTTTTTGTTCTAAAGAGTAACCACACTAATAGTTGACATTGCCCTTCTATGTAACAATCATAAATTTAATGACTTGGAAACGAATTATTTTTACTATTGAATTCACGATTATTTAGCCTCGTTATAGACCAATAATTGATGAAAAAATAATGTTCATACTTTAAATAATATTTACAACTGAAGTTAAGATGATTTTCAAAATTTTCATCGAATCGATTGTTCTAATTTCGGAGCAAAGGGATTGGCAGATAACAAATAGTTCAAGAGACATTTATATTAAGTCGTAAATATTACAATGACAGGTAAGAGTAACTACCAAGTTTATCATTTATTACCTTTAAATAATTTCTATCCATCGGCGTGACAAGTTTTAGACTTATCGAATCTCCACACTGCTTTATCAAATGGACTACTTGTTCATGAGAAGCCCATTTTACATCTTTATCATCGATGTTGACAATGAAATCTCCTTCTTTCATACCACCGAGCTATTGAACAAAAAAAAAAGAGTTCATCATAAATTTTCACATTAAAAAATTTTCTAGTGAAAATAATATTTGCTGATATTGCTTTATTATCACTTACATCAGCTAGAGAATTATGATCGACAGCTGCGATAATAACAGGCGCATCACCTCGTACACTAAATCCAAAGCCTTCACCACCCGGTCCACGTTGAAGTTGAATAAGCCGAGGAGCTGTCCAATGTCGTTTCGCAGAAAATATGGCTACAGGACCGAGAGACTTGAAAAGATCATCAACTCCATGTTGACCGAAATCTGGATGAGTAATACTTAACTGGAATTTTGTTGAAGCTGCGAAAAAAAAATATTTTTTATGACTACTTCTACCAATCAATACCTAAATAATAATAATAATAATAATATTTTCATCGTAATTTATATTTTTAAAATTATTCGAAAGATAATAAAGTAATTCACGTTGACTCGAAAGAACTTAAGTAACAAGATGCCAATAAAAATATTTACAACGATAATTATCTAGATTCTCTCTTAACCATTGATGAAGAAGACTGATCAAATGAATGAAGTGTACTTGTATTTACCGATTATATGAGGTGGATCAAGTAACTCTCTTAAATCGTCCTCTTCTCCAGCTTCATTGTAATCTTTTAGGGTTGCATCATGTGCCTTTTTGAGTACTCTGCCGAGTGCTTGTTTACTCTTCAATTCTCTACACATTCTTTGAAGTCTCTGGCTTTCTTCGTGCATAACTAGGGCTTCTCGTAGATGAGCTCTTCCTGTTTAAAATATTTATTGAAGATAAGCAAATTGTTAGAATAATGTACATTTCAATTTTAATTGACAGTGATGATAATAATAATACCAACAACAAATGACGAGGATAATAATAATAATTATTATTAATGATTACCTAATGCTTTTCGTTCATTATCATCCTTCGGGACTGTATTATCCATTTGTGTCTTTCCATCACTTTCCTGGATGTGTTCCAAAGTGAGTTTAGTTTCAGTTCTGAACTCTGAAATAGGTTTCATAAGTAAACCAGCTGCACAATGTTTGTGTGCTAATGCTAGATGGTGTTCTCGTTTAACTAGGACTAAAGAAACCCAGGATTCAGGTACGTAATCACGAACTGGTTCACGAGATATTAATCCATGGACATCACTATAAACAGCTGCTACCTGAAATCATAGAAAAATTTATTATTTATTATCTTCATTAAATAAATTGAAGAAACTTTATGTTAATATATGATTTACTATTCAATATCATTAAAATGATTTAAAATCTATCAATTTTTAATGTTCTGGAAAATGTGAAAAAAACAGAAAGTGATCACATAAAAAGTCTGGTACTCTGATTATATAGCGAAAGATAAAGAAAAGAAAAAACTGGAGTTAAAAAAGATATAAAGAAAACTGGGTCAGTTTGAAGTTACGACTATACATCAGAAAATAAAAAAAATTAATGAAAAGTAAAGGAAAAATTGTGTCGATCTACAGTTACAATTATGTTTAATAATATAACTTTCTGTTTGGATTAAAAAGTTATAAAAAAGTTTTGGCAAATATTTAATAACCAAGGTTTCTACTGAAAATGAACTCTATATTCTACAAATATTCTGATAAAAATCATTATTTTATTACTCTAATAAACAGTAAAAAGATTCTGTTAAATCTAATTGAATCTTTATTTTTAACTGATAAATAATAATTTTCCCGATTGAATAATAAAATATATCCAATAAATTTTTAGTTAGATTTAAAAAAAAAATGTTCAAATATTTACCTGTGCAGCTTCTTGAGCAAGATCCAAGCAAATATCGATACTTCTGGACTCCTGGGACTGCAATTCAAGTTTTTCAAAGAGACATTCTCGGGCTTGAGCCAACATAAGTTGCACCAACATGTCCAGCATGTCAGGGCCAAGATCCATGCTTGGAGCATTCGTAAAGTTTTCATGAATGTATCGAAAAGTCCCAGCAGCTCTTAAAAATGCATCTACCGCTTGATCAAGTCCCTTCGTACTTCTTCTGTCTTGCTTTGCTCCCAATTGGGTATAGAGAGCACCAGCATTAAAAAGTATGGACGCTTTTTCAAATGCTACAGTTCTTTGACAGCTCGGGACTCCTGTCAAGGAGTCAAACCATTCGAAATAAATTCCAAGACTTCGATCAGGTGGAAAGAAACGTCTTTCGATGAAATATAATTGATTGTAGTAACGGAAGAGGAGAGCAATGCCGGCAGCATCTCTTGTTGGAGTTCTCGTGGCCTGGATTAATTGAAATAAATGTTTTAGAATTAATATTTGTTCTTTTGTTATAAATATAATTATTTCAGTGTAATATAATTAATTATATATTCTTTTCAATTTACTGTCATTTAATTGTTATTTAATTCATGAAGTACGATATGATTAAATGAGCTTTTCATGACCAATTAAATTTAACTGATTAAATTTTTTTTACTCCAAGTAGGTTAATTAGTAAATAAAAGTGATTTTTCATTTTTATCTAATCTTTTTTTTTGTTCATAACTTTGAATTATTTCAATCAAAAATATTATTTACCTGTCGAGTTTCCATAAGATCTGCAATTGCTTCTTCATAGTTTTCGCCATCTTCACTATAATGCTCCAAAATAAAATCCTAAAAGATACAAAAAAAAGTAAGTTCATTTATAGATTCTTTTTTATTTTAAAGTGATTTCGTAAAAATATTAATTAAAATTATTGACTATTGATTAAAGTTTGAAGATGGAACATTTGGTTACTTAGGAGTTATTTAATCGATAGCTGATAGTCTTTTTCTAACCTGAATAAATAATATAATATTCATTAAGTATTATAGATTTATCTAAGTTGAATTATATTGAAATAATGGTACGAATTACTGTAGAACTTATTCGAAAAAAATCGGAGCATAATGAAGGTGAAATATCGACGTTGGAAGAAATTTCCCTACATCAAGAAAACATTGAGAAAATTGAACTGATAGATAGACTGTGTAGACACTTGACAATACTTTTACTACAAAATAATTTAATAGCTAAGATAGAAAATTTGAATATGCTGAAGAAACTTGAGTATTTGAATTTAGCACTCAATAATATTGAAGTTATTGAAAATTTAGAAGGACTGGAAAGTCTTGAAAAGTTAGATTTAACTCTGAATTTCATTGGAGATTTGCGAAGTATTAAGAGCTTAAGGTATTCTAACTTTTTCCAAAATAATTAAATTAATTGGTTTAGAAGAGAGTTGAAAAATATAAAACAATTTATCATGTGAGAAACATAATAATGAGAACCACTAAAATGAATAATATCATTGAAAAAATTAATAATAAGAAATAATTAGATGTCTGGTATTGTAATTCTTGAAAAAAAATTTAATCTGTTTTAGGCATAATGAGAACTTGAGACAGCTTTTTTTAACAGGAAATCCATGTGCTGATTATTCTGGCTACCGTGATTACGTAATAGCAACATTACCACAATTAAAGGAACTCGACATGACGGAAATCACACGATCAGAACGAATTACAGCACTTCAAAGGCACGCGGAAATTGAGGGAGATGTCATTAGAGACTACAGAAGTTATGCCAAGCTAAGAGCAAAACAAATTCATCATCACCGTCAACAGGAAGAATTTAAAAACCGCAAGGCTAATAATGACAATGGAAACCATCAACACAACAACGATAATGAAACAGAGAATCATCATAATAATGATAATGAAAGTGATGGTTATGACAATGAACAAGAGAATGAACAATTTTGGAATACTAAAAGCTATCATACACCTGAAGAACGAATTGCTATTGCTGAAAGATCACAAAAAATCATGGAAAAAAGAAACCAAACTCATCATGATCAACCTCACAAAACGAAATACATTCCTAAATTATTTAGCCCTGAAGGACTACCTTATAATCTTAACCAACCAAAGGTTCCTTTTGTTCTGAATGATGAAGATGATGGAGAAAATATTTATCTAGATGTTACTATCTACAAGTAAGTATAAAATGAATCTTTGGCATTTAAAGATTACTTTTTAATTATGATGGATTTTATTTTCTCCAGACATCTAGACTCATCACTCTTAGAGGTGGATATTCAGCCCAGTTATATAAGAGTAACTATCAAAGGAAAAATTTTACAATTGAGGCTCCCCTGTGAAGTATTAACAGACAAAAGTTTCGCCAGGAGAAATGTCATCACTGGGAATTTAATTATAACTATGCCACGTTTGGATCCATTGCCAACTATAGCAAAACCACCAAATTATTCAGACAAGAAATCTCTAAAGGATAATAAATCTCAGATTGTTAGATCTGGTGTGTTATCAACTAAACGAGAACTTTTAGAAATTGGTCCACCGAAGGATGACATGGACTTTTCTAAAATATATCAAGATCCTAAAAAGTCACACATCATTTCTCATGTAAATAAAACACATAATGAAGTTGTTACTGATAATTATGTTGATAATCCAGAAGTTCCACCACTGGAATGATTAATAAACTAAGTCATTGATGAATAATTACCTTGAAGGGGTCTCTGAAGTCAATATCTTTTGTTTCTTTTAATCCTAGAGGAATCATTGGCATAACAGGCTCCTGACTGAAATGAAAAAAATGAATGTTTAATTGCAAATGATAGGAGGAATTAATTAACGTTCAAGAAGAAATAAAATATTAATGGATGTATGTATTAAGTAATCTACTAGTTCATATAAAAAATGATTGAAAATAAATACTTATCGTATGAAAGAATGTAAAAAATTTTGTTCAATTTATTGTCAGACATAATTGGTTTCGATTTAAGGCAAAAAAAAAGCCGCTTTCATTATTTATAGCTTCTTAAAACTCTAGCAAAGATTTTTATATGAATGTCTTGACTAAAAATAACCACAGCTAACTTGTCAGAGTTTAATGCTCATTTATATGATCAATAAATCATTATCCGGTCCCGTATGCTCGACTTCCCGTTACAAAATACGAACATATGTTTGTCAGTAAAGATTAACGCGGAACAAAATGTCAATAAAAAAACTTAAGTACAACTAAAACAGCTTGTCAACAAAGTCGGTCATAAGAACACTTCAATAATTGTGGATGTTTCTAGATTTTTAATAGAAAAATTTAATAGAAGGGAAATGTTTTTGTTGAATAAGGTGATGATATGCAAAATAAAATTGATCTTATAGTACATTTGCACGCGCTCATAAACACATCCGGTGATGTTTGATAGAGCATCAGTCCAGTTAGTGTTGATGGAGAAGGTTCATATGAAAGATGATGAGATCTAGAGCTACGAAGCGTACCTAAATGAGTTATGAAAATAAGAGAAAAATGAAGTAGCTGAAGATGAGAAGGTGAGAGAATGAGCAATGAATAAAGGGAACATCATCAGAAATGAACATCCGTTGGAAGGATATAGTAGGCGGACAGTGACCCAGGAACCGAAGCATAGCGGATAGATCGGCAAACAGTTCACTCAAGGAGAAGGATTCTAAGAGGAAGTGGTCGGTGTATTACATCGCGAAATCGTTCTCGCACTTTTACACACTCTAGTGTAATCGCGTGCACAAAGAAATACTGTGCGTAAGCATCCGCATACTGACCACTAAGTGCGCGGGAATTTTAAATGGAATGCAACCACTGAAACGAGGATTTAACATTCGTGTCGCGTTTCGTTTGTTCTGATTTTTTATTCCATTCGCATTTAAATAGCATTTTAAGTTTGGTTAATTGCTTTTGCTTAATGAAGTACATTTAGAAGCATAATAAAAAGGTAGTAGAGAAGATTCTAAATATTATTCATTTTCCAAATTCTAATAAAAATATTAATTACAAGAAAATTCTAGAAGAATATTCTTGGAAATAAATTTAATTTATCAGAAGTAACGATATGTCATTTTTAATTAAATTCTTTTTGGAAATTTGAATTAGTCATGAGGTTATTGATAAGTATATTAGAATCATTTTAATTTGGGTTTCTTCTTGATAAATATTTTAAGAAATAATTTAATACTTAGTCAAGTATTTTTTCGACAATTATTTGAATAAGATAGATAAATAAATATTACTAAGATATTGAAAGAAAAGAAATACAAAACATTGTTTAACAATATTGATAAAGCATGTTAGAATAGCAATAAAAGAGATAATTTTTAAATATTTTTTAGAGTTTAAAAACGTGACCACATATGATGGAAAATATGTACAAGTTAATAGGATGTTTTATAGCTATTTTCAAGGTGAAATGATTAAATTTTATTATATTGTAAATGAATAGTATAAAGAGATTTATGAATGTAGAAATTTCAATCTTGAACTATAGATTTAAAAAATTTATCACAGTCTAGTAAACACTTACCCATCGACATTTTGATAAAGTTCTACAGAACTGTTTAGCTCAGCAAGTTGCTCCTTTAATAATTGAAGATTTGAGTTAACAAAACTGAGTTCTAAAGCTACGGTTTCCTTTAATTTCCGGTTTGTGGTTGCTCTGAAAAATTAGTACAAAGTTTTAAGACTAAAATTTCGACATAACATTTTTACTACTGCTTTTTAGGCATATTTTTTCTTAACAGTACAATTAAAGAATTTTACAGTTAACTATTTTTCGGGTAATAATAAAAAAAAAAAATAATGGTATGCTTACTTGAAAAGGTTCTCAGCTCCTGCACGAAGCCTTAACTCTTTATTTATTTCCTGGTTGAGTTTACTGCGTTTATTCTGGAGTTTTCCTCTGCATGTAGCAACCCTGGGATCTGAGCCCTGTAAGAAAACAATTTTTAAAATTGTTATGTTGGAGTAATAATTTTCAACAAGTTAGCAAATATATTTACCAAGGTCGAACTTAACCTCACTTTTTTTTCTCGATCATTACTTTTATTTAATTATACCAAATAATTCTATCTAATCTACCTTTGAATAAATAAATATTTGTTATTTTACTATAATTTCAATAGTCTGTCATTTAAGAGCAATAAAATAAAATAATTGTGTCTTTAAAATATTTTAAAACCATAAACTGTGGTATTTCTCATCGGTACGTAAATAAAGTTTGTTTGGGTTTTTTTTTCTGCAGATAAAATTCAAATACCGTTGAAATAAGTATTTGAGAGTTATACTTTTTGATTATATAAGTGTATATGTAAATATACATATTTAATGAATATTTTCGATCGTTAAGCTTGACCAAATTAATGTAAATATTAACGGTCGTAGAAACTAACTGGATACGAAGAGTAGTTATTTGCGATTCTATTAAACGTGACAAATCCAATAAACATACATATATAATCCATGCATCAGATGCACATTTTCATACCGACACCTGTGGTTTGTAACGGGTTTTTTGCATATAGAAAATGGGTGAATTTATAGTTGGTAACTGTGTGAATATTTCTATATAGATAAGGTTATGGACCTTTCAATGAAATGATTTACTGTTCATTGAAACCCAATTTTATTCAACATCAACCCATACATATATCTATTAAATAAATTATTCCTTCAATAAAAATTAACTCTTAAAACTCTTAAATTAATCTTAAAAGATCAAAGAATAAATCTTGTAAAATAGCTAGTATTTCAAAAAAATATTAAACTATTTCTTTTCATCAAAATGGCTGTTTTAAAAGAATGATTAACACTTTATTAAATGACCCTTGAATGTTCATAATGAGTGATCTTTATCACAGTAATTATTAATTAAATTAATGACATCAGAATATAAAATGAAACTTGGCACCTTTCTTTGATAATAATATTGAACACGATATAAAAATATACCTAGATCCATACTTGCAAAATTAAAGCCTTATTAAAATATATTTTACAAGCAATAATTTTGTTTCAGCAACGGCTAATCTTCCGGGTTAACGACAGATTGATTGAATAACGAGTTACGATGGTAACTTGTTCCATTCTTAGCCTTATAAGTAAAACGAGAACGAAGAACGATTAGATTTCCTCAGAGTCTCTTCATAACGACTTGGCGACCTGTCGTTGAACATTTGAGCTATCAGGAGACAAGCTAATGGACTAGCAAAGAAAAACCTTAGCACCAAGTTAGTTGATGATCAACTGTAACGAGTCATTTAAAATATCACTTTTAATTCTTTTTTTTTCATCACCACAGGTAGAATTAAACAAGAGGAAAAATTATTGAAGATTTATTGTTTAAAAAACTTAAAATTGCAGAAAAATGTCTGTAAACATGTAATTATAATTACAAAATTTGATTGACTGTTATCACAAGGTGCACAGGTGCATGACACACAGTAACGTAATACATAAAAGTGAAGGGAAAACATTCCAGTTGACCCATTCACCGGAATTATTATTGATCTGTTCTAAAATTGAAAAAATAAAAAAATATATTTGCATTTATTGCATAAATGCATGAAGGAAAGGAAACTGACTGAAAAAAAAAATGTATCTTTATGAAAGGGGAGTATTTTATGAGACCTATTTTATGATAATTAATTACTTCAAAAATTCATTAATGCTTTTTCCCTTCTAAAAGACAAACTTGACTAGAATAATAAAGTTATTTGTTCATTTCATTAGAGCAAAGATAGCACGTAGAATGCGATGCTTAATAAAACTATGTTAAAAAGTTTTCACATTTTAACTGTTTCTTACCCCTAAGCGTCTTCTTGTAGACGTGTCCACAATGACATTATCATCATTTTGTTCTTTCTTTTCATTTTCTTTATCCTGTTCACTAATCAAGTTCTCTTCTTTCTCATTTTCTCGTTCATTTATTACTTTCACTGTCTCTACATTTGGTGTAACCACTGTCGTATGGTTTTTTGGCAGTGGTGAGTGATGTACCCATTTAAGCATAATTGTCACGACATAATTAGTTCAGTTCCATCAATTTTAAAAACTATTTACATCTTTAAATAGAAACAATTGGCATTTAAAGGAATAACTTTATTACAAAATTATCAGTATACTTAATTAGTCATTGAAAAAAATAGAAAATTAATTTTTTTAATGACTACACTGACAAAGTAATATTAATAAGAAAAGAATAATTAATTGAATTCTGTTGGAAAATAATTTTTTAATCAATGTAGAAGGTTAAAACGATTATAAAATGATCTCTAGATTGAATTAGAGAATGAATATTAACTGAAATAAATCAGAGAGACACCGAGTAATGAATCGACTAAAAGGTGAGACTGAAGGTGAAGAAGAAAATAGATAAATGATTTTGTATAATAAATAAAAACAATAGAAAAGTGTTAAAAGTCTTGGCCGAAACTCGTAAATAATATTTACTGCGCTACTTGACTGCTACCCACGTATAATCGTGTAGCATGTGCAGTAATAAATTGCGATTATGTCGATGATGATTTAAAGGGGGCGGAGGATGAGATGAGCAATGAGAATTGACGAGCATTAATGATCGTTTTAGCGGATGGTCTTCTGTCTCTTGGCTACGCTTTCTACACACAGGAAACCGTACCTTATTGCTCGCTCGAATGAGATTAAAGTCCTTCCTCTTTGTTGCATTACAGTCACTATGTCGATCCGATTTGATTGTACGCCCATTCGAATTTTTATCCGGACAAATGCGTGGACTTGAATGAGGAAAGATTGATGCTGCTCGAGTGGAAACCATGACAATAGGAAAACAATAAAAAAAAGATCTATGATTCATATATATTTAATCGATCTTTTTACATAACAAAAGGAAATGGGAAGTATTGCATTTCTCTATTGCTATTGAACTTTTATATGAAAGTTATTTCATTCATTCTTTGTTCATCAATGATTATTATCCAAAGCTCTTTAGACTATCTAGAGCTTGGTAAAAATATTTTCAAGTTATTCATATCTCAAGTATTTATGAAAATGGTAGTACAATTTTGTTTTTAAGTGAATTATGATTTAATAGATTTTTTACGTAATTTATTATTAAGTATTCGTTGGCTATTGAATAAAAATACTCTCATTTCCTTATATGTAACAGCTAATTCGATATTGCGAAGTATTTATTACCCCTTTTACTTTATCGTAATGTTGCTTTCATATATTGGAAATAAAATAAAATAAAAATGAAATCATTATATTGGATCGGTTGTATCTCAGGGTCGATCTTGTAATTATAATTTTTGTAGCTATCTAAATAGAATCCGGTTTCGTATTAAGCCAATATTAAATTTATTATTTAAATCCATTTCGTTACCTCGTGAAAATTTACTCTAATATTTTATTTGATGAAATGTTGAGTTGATAACCCTATGGTAAACTGAGAAAAAAAAAATTGACTCTGATGTCTATCCAAGCATGAAGAAGGAAAGATATTGTCTCATATCATCTAACTGTTTTGATGTTCTTCACAGATTCTTTGAGGACACAATGTCGCACAACTTGACAACTGCGTGAGTTGGTTTCCGGCTTGGACATAAGCGTACTCGAACGAGCGAACAAGAAAGTAGGCAACCGGTTGTGTATCGAATACGTTCAAGTGTCTTATAGGGTTTTCAGACTATACCATGAGATAGAAGAAGAAATATTTTTAATATTGGGTATGGATTATTTATTTATCTCCAATAGATTTATAGCTTCATACAAATTTTATCACATAAAATAGGAAATCAAAACTCTATATGATAAAATAATTGCTTATAATTCGAAAGAAAAATCAACAAACTAAATAAAATAATGATGTAAACAAATATTTCTTTAACAATGAAAGAATTGCAAAATAATTGTCAAACAAAATTCATTGAATTACTCCAATGTTTATATTTGAATAATAATAAACAAGATGCCTCAGAAAACGATGTTACGATGATAAAAATGTAAAGAGTTATAAAAAGGAAAAATATTAATTCTAAAAAAATATTTTTCTTCATCAACTTAAAGGAATATGTTTTGCGAAAAATAGCTTATAGTCGACAAATAAATTCAAAAATAACAGCAAACATTATCACTAGACAAGGCCATAAAACTAACGGAAAAAATAAAATAGCAGACTTCTCCAGAAAACATTGAAATTCTTCACTATTCACTTGAAAATCAAAGAAAGCAAAGTATTATAAAATCTTCTATTGTTTTTAACAAAGTTCACATGATGATAATACAAAAATCACTGAATAATTTAATTGACATTAATTGAATGAATATGATGATGACTTGACAACTTAGAAATGTGTAACACTGCCCGAAATGTGAAGCAACTGATCCGTCAGTTACTGGACCGCGATGGTAACTGACTAGCTGTTGGTTGCGGTCAGCAAGAGAGACCCCACGGGGTCTGTGCACCAGTAGTATAGTTGTATAGTAAGTAGTAAGGTCCGTTCTTCAATACTACTGCAGTTGAGTGAAAGGAGAGAAGAGTTTGAATATCTGGTGGGGGGATGCAAGCAAAATGCACAATTAAAATCATCCTCAACGACCTCAGCTGAATTTGTTTTCTTTTTGTAAACATAAATGTCTGATTGATTGTAGTCTTTATTGTTAACTTTTTACCTTAAAATCTCTAGAACTACTAATTCTATAGTATTTTAAGACTTTCTGTGATTTACTTTAGTAAAAGCCGTAAGAAACGTCATTAGAGTCTAATGATGTGAGTCACCCTAATTGCATTGAGAATCAATAATGAAAAAGATTGAAATAATGATTCATTATCTAATGAGAGATTAATTACCTTTTTTTTAATAACTTATGCTATTATTATTGAGTTAAATGATGAGAATCATTATTCATATTTTATAGATTACATTTGCGAAACTTTGACTTCATTTTAAATTTTTATTCCATGATTCAATTCAATATCTTCTTCATGATACATTCTTTTCTATCACCTATAATATATTGAAAAAAATTTAGTTTCATAACTACAGTTCATTATAAAAAGATTTTTTCGAAGAAAAATAATAAATTGAAGAAAAAATCATAATTATGTATCTATTATAACAATTTTAAAATATCTTTTTATCTATTTTTATTCCTTTTTAAATATTATTCCTTGGAATTGTCTTTTTTTTTCATTACTATCCCATAATGTCTTTTAAAATTCAATGTCCAATTTAGAGAAGCGCAAAATTTATTAGGTTCAAGTCCAATAACATCTCGTGCTATCAAAGCCCATCGACGAATATCATTATTAGTGATAGATGCATTTTTATTGGCTGCTTCAATGAAGTATTTAATAGTAATTTCTGATATTTGAGCTATTTTATCTCTATATGTTCCACCTTGACAAACATATTTCTCCCATCTTTTCAATTGATGATCAGAAGTAACTCGCCTAAATTTTTTTTGAACACAAGAAAATTTTTTTTTGTGTTTCGTTTTGCATGATCTCCAATATTCCACAGCTCTTTTTTTATATTCAAAATCAATACCATCATAATCCTGAGATAATTTTTTCCATTCTTTAACCCTTTCTTGAGGTATTTCTTGTAAAACAAGTTCATCTCCATCAGAGTCATCGATAATTCGCTCACTACTTGTTACCTCGAGAGGTTCTGCGAAATCTAGAGTTGAAACTGACCTTGATTTCGAAATTGGTTTATCTTTTTTACTTGTAGACACTCCTTCTATACACTGATGCTGTTGTGATCGAGTTCGTTTGAGGTTAGGTGGCTCCATGGTCAATTTAACTTGAAGCTGCCTCTATAAAGCCATCGACAAATGATTCAATTGATTGTAAATGTGCTTATTTATGTCTTATTTGTATGTTTCAACCAAAATTACAGCTCTACTGTAATTGGATAATCAATATATTTGCTTTAATTATTGCCATCACTAAAAGACAACAACCACATGTAGTCCACATCAAGACTCCAAAAACAAGTGGAGCCACCTTTCTCTGAGATACTGCGCCTCTTTCTGCGCAACACGTGGCCACTTTCCACCAACAATTCAAATACGTTCTGTATTTTTTAACTCAATAGGATTACTCCAAAATTTTGTTCTAAAATATTAATAAACTATTATAAAACTAACTTTATAATTTTTATCTTCAAGTAGGAACATTATTACTTGATATCATGCTACATAAATTGCAATTATTTCCATAATATTCACTTTATTGTTAAAAATAATTTTTTTTTCCTCAATTAAAAATATTTAATGTTTTAAAACTTTTGTTCAGCTAATTAATTTTTTATTAATCTATTATCTGATAAATTACTTGATTATACCATACATACTGTTAATACTTCCTTAATAAATGTATTTTTTTTAAAATAAATTTTTTCATCAGTTGAAAAAAAAAAATAATTTCAAATGAATCGTTTGAGTAGGTGTTAAAATATTAATTACCTATCGAAAGAGTATCATAAAAAAATAGAATAGACTAGTGTGATTAGATTATATTTATAAAATCAAAATAAATGATAGTGATTATGTCGATAAATATTTTCTATCAAGATTTTTTATATTTGTCTTTTAGTATGAAAGAGATAAAAATCCAATGATTGAACATATTACGATGTCTAGACAGGTTAAAAATACCAAGTCTACTACTTGGGGGGTTTTTTTTTTTTTCATTTCAATGTGTCATCGACAGTTAATTAATCATAAATGAACCGTACTAATTAATATAAACATCAGAATAGACACGTTAAACATGAGTGAAATAAATAATAAAAAGCATTAGCAACACTTCAATGATTAATCTAATCGAGAGTAATGTTGGAAAAATTTAAACCTATTAATTATTTTATACTTCTTTTGGAATTACGTAAAATTAATCAATTAATATCCGTTTATTTGTGCAATAACTTTTTTTATCAATGCTCGTAATAATTTTTGTAACCATTTAATGACGTAATATTTTGGAGATAATGAGACTTATCTATATCTTGTGTTTATTGATCAATCGATTATTAGCTAAAAAAAAAAAAATAATTAGTTTTTTTAACATCTGTATTTATAACTCGACTGTCCAGTATGACTAGTACTTTTACTTCACCATAATATTCAGAATGTGTAGTAAAGAGAAAAAAAAGACCTACAAAAAAAAAAAAAAAGAAACAACCTGAACACGATTTATATCAGTTCCTCAGTCAGACATTAATCTATTCCATTTCCTAAAAATACCCGGATAATTTATCGATCAGTTCAAGAACCGGTTGTGAATTAGATAAGGATTTTTCATAGTGAATTTTCCACTGAATAATTAAAGGAAAAAATAAATCGAGGCCACGCCCTGTCCGTTAGTCATTTACCTATCGAGAAGGAAGGTATTGAGTAAAGGAGGAATGAATTTGCCTCTGAGTGTAGAAGGTATAACCGTTACTGGCTCTCTTCTCGAACCTCTTCTTGCTTTCTTATCTTTGACTACACCGATGACCAACTGTTTATATCTTTCCTTCTATTTTTTTTTAATATTTTACGCATCTTTTACAACTTCTCATGTTTTTTTTGTAATAATTAATTTATTTATTTTTAATAGTTAATTTAAATGGTTGATAACCGTATCAATGATTGATAAAATAATCGTATGATTAATGAGAAAGTTAAACTAAGATGATTGTAATTCATGGATTGAAAAAGAAGGTGTAAAAGATGTGAATGAAACAAAAATGTCTTACTACAATTAAATTAACACTCGAGACACAGTGACGTGCCAAGGTTGTCGCCTAATTAAGATTGGAAAGCTGCAAGGTTGGTCTGAAATCACGAGGACGTATTAAAATAATACTTATTTCACTATTCGTGACCTCGGTATATCTGCAAAACAATCAGGAAAGAAATTATTTTTTTTTTAACATAAAAATGTAATTCAGTTAAATAAATAAATATATACCACGCTTTGTGATTATCACATTAAAATTTAATTGAATTGTTATACAGATTAAAATCAACGAGTTCATTGATAATTACCTCAGGTTATGTCTTCCTGATTAATCCGCTTACAAATAAATTTATATTCCAATTCCTAACCTTTTTTATATCATCTCAAATCTTCCATTTCATTTATCGGATTATATACATTTATTTTTTTCAATCAAATAAATTAATTAAACACTTTTTTTTTTTGATAATTTGTTGCAACATCTGGTGATTTAATTTGCACAAATTTTCATCAAGAGTTTTTTAAAATGAATATCATGTTTCTGAGTTGCAAAAATTTTTTAAAAAAAAACCTGTTCACTCTATTTATTTATTTAATTACTAACTAGAAATATCTTATCTTTTATACCTTGGAATTTTTGCAAAAAACATTTAAATATCTAGTACAATATAATTGTAACGTATTTCATCGATTCCTATCGATTAATTTATATGGACATATGAAGTTAGTTAATAATCGATATATATCGAAATAATGAGTGACTTTCCTAATTGGTTGTTTAATTTATGCGGGAAATTTAAAAAATTAACAATTTGCATCGTATATCCACGACGCGTACTTAGTGCGTACTAATTTCTAGTTTTAATTATTTATGAAGAGTTTCTCAATAATTATATAGCCTTAAATGGTTTTATATTGACATATAATCTCTCTTTTATCAAATGTATGTATTGAGGATATTAGTTATTATCATCAAAATATTTCTTCAACAAATGATCAATAGACATATTTATTCGAAAGTGTAAATGTATTTAACCTCGAAAATGTGCAAAGTTATGGATGGATAATGTGAAGAAAATGACATGGAAATTTTTTTATTATTACAGTAATATATTAGCTTATTTTTGCAAAATGAATATTTGTCTCGGTTATTATCTACAATGACTAACAAAAATCTGTTAGTTTTCGCACGCAATATTTCTTTTCTTAATGTTTATAAAATAGTCTGTAGGACAAGCTGATGATGGAATGCGGCCACTCGATGTAGGAAAAGCAGAGACAAGGAATGAAAGAGAGATATCTACTGGGAGAAAAGAAAGAAATCTTGTTGGAATTATGTCGCCATGCCGCTCCTTTATGTCATTAACCTTCATTATTAATTCAAATTATTGAAGAAATTGATATTTATTACAGTAATGTTCCCAACTTGCTGTTGAATATCATCAACAACTTATCAGGTTTATTGAATAATTGATGGAATATTTTGTTAATGAAAAATAGTTTAAATAACTCTAGAATACTGACTTTTACTAGATGATATTTAACAAAAAATTATTTTGTCGTATTATTATTTAAATTTTGAGAATTGGAGATAAATTAAAAGTGATAAAGTAACTGAATCAGTTGATAAAAAACATATCAATCTAATTTTTTCAAGTTGTGATAAATTAAAGGTCAACTTGATTTTTGTTGCTTCAAACCAAAAACAACCAGTTTTAAAGAAGCTGATCCATGAACTTAGTTCATGGTTAATTTAATCTTGAAAAAAATTAATTGATTTTTTTATTTTCAGACTTTAAGAATAAAACATCTAGAAAACAATTCAGTAAACAGTTGTTTTTCTTCAACGCCAAGGATTTTCTATAAAAGTTTCAAGCAAAAGTCGCTTACTTTATGTTTAAAAGGAGAATATTTAAACCAAGTTTTAATTTTAAATTATAGTTGAAGAATACAAGTTGACCAATTAGTTCTATGTCTAATGTAATATTCCTAGCTCATGTTGAAGCTCTCATCAAACTATTCCAACTGTTTTGATCTCAAGCTTCATGCTTATAGCAGAGAATAAAATGATTACCATAATATTTGAAACTTATTGCTGGTCAAAGTGCAGGTTGTACACTGATGGGCTTTTATGATGCTTAGGCCTGATCATTTATTTATACCAACTGCTATTATATAATATTCTAACGACCAATCTAAAATATTACTTACTAAAAGGTTTATAACTGACAAGCTATTTTATATCAACAAAATGAAAAATGATGTTGATATTTTTGCCATAAAAAAATCGATAATAATGAAACATATTTATTAAATTCTAGATCTAGAATGGACAAAGAATATAATTAAAGCTCTTATGAGTATTATATCTTAGAATGAAGCTACTAATGAATGAAAATGTTGGGTTACTGGAAAAAATGTTTGATGAGACGTAAATTGAATTTGTATTCATGATGAGTGTCTAGGTGAAGTCGACAGAAGGAAAACGTGCCAATCATTCCAGAAGCGACGTCACGCATGTTCACACACAGTGTGATCTTGACAGAAAAAGGAAGAGAAACACGATGCGGAGAAATTGTTGATCGAAAGTCTCTACCAACTGTCACCACTTCAATCGTTGATGAGAAATAAAAACTCAGCAGATCATCTAGTTTATTTTTCCAATTTATTATTGCCAGTTATTTCTATGTAGGATAGCTATTGATGATCATTGAAAGAGAAATGTGTTAAGGTAGCAGAATGTATTGGCACAGAGGAAAAAAAGAAAAATGTGGAAATGTGAAGAAAATTATTAAGTAAATAGGATGATAAATTAGAGTTTATGTGAAGCTCTAAGAGAATGGATACATACTACGTGGAATGAACGATGAATTTTTATGACTTTTTAGTCACGACTTACACAAGCCTGTGGGTATGGGACACAGCAGGTCATCTTGGGGATGTATTATGCAATTATCCTGCATTCTCATCATTTATATGTGAGAGAAAAAAATATAGTACGTTTTCTATTGTCGATTTAATAAATTTAAGAGGACGAGATACCGTTCTTGTATGTTTTTTTTTTTATTTCTTGTCAGTTGAATAGAGAAAATTTCAATACATAATTAATTATACTTATGACATGTGTATGAGTTGAATCCATCATTTACTCGTGCATTAGCAAATATTTTTACAGTTGGTTAATGCACAAATATTTTTCAACAAATAACATCAATAAAATAAGTCCTCTTATTTAAATATATTTATGCTTGAATAAAAATGTTTCTAAAGCAATATTGTATCTGGTAATTTTGTTGCTAGAAGGACTGGAAGATTTGGTGCACATTAAAGTTATAGCATTTCACTTTCATTGATTCTGAGAGTTGTTAAATTGAAACGTTAGTTCCGCATCAACAGCCAAATAATCATGAGATTCAACTGAAAGAAAGGAAAATGAAACAACAAGATGGAGATAAATAATAATCTTAAGTACAAGTAAAAAACTTCCTGGATTTTTGGAAAGTGTTGTAATAAAGATAATACTATAATTTTTATAATAGTTTGAAAAAGAAAAGAAATTTCGATGGAGAAGTAAAAATGCAATTTTATAAAATACAAGAAAGTAAAAGAAAAATCGAGTAAGAGTCATCTAAGAAAGTACAGAGTGGATAAAGTCACATGGATTACTGGAAAGTAGCTGAAGGAAATCCGGCGATGAATCTGTCGTTCGACACGCCGGTCGTTGACATTCTTACCAGTACTTTAGTACGATCATGATCTGTGGTTAAGTGAAAGAATGAAAAAAAATAAAAAATTAAGAATAGAGAACAGAAGAGAATCAGGTGAAATCGGAAATTGGCAGTTACGAATTACTCGAGAGGAACGTGGGTAAATTACTGGGAAATAATTACGGAAGTTTATAAGAGAAATTGGGGGTTGAAGAAAGAAATAAAATCCATAAAACCACGAAAATTATTGTCATTTAGATTAAAAGAAATATTTGTTTATGTAATGTCTGTCAGTCATCCATAAAATTATAGTATACTCAGCAATATTCTCAGTAAAGAAACTAATAACTATTAATAATAATTAAACAACTACATGTTTTTTTTTTTAACAACAATGATAATGAATTAATACTAAATCATATTTTCATCATAAATAAAATGAAATGTTTTAAATAATTTTATCAACAATTGGAATAATATTGTTTGGATCTAAATGAATGCAACATACTGTTATGAGATTATTCAGATGTAAAAATTAATTGTCGAAAAATTTTATTCCTCTATGAGAGTTGAATAAAAATAGAGATGAGTCTGTAATAAAAAATATAATAAGACTCATAAAAATATCATTTTTAATTGAAAAAAAAAAAAATTCAATCTGCAAAAGCACAAATGCATAATTAAAATATCATTAAGACTTTATGATTCATACGAAATGAAGAGTATAAAAATGCAAATTTATAATTATAATATAAAATTAAAACATAATTAGTTAGTTAGTATTAAAATACATGAAGATAATGGAATATTTTAAAAAATATACAGTAAAGTTTTAAATTATTTTAATAATACATTTACTATAATATATTGCATCTAGAGAAGATAAAGTACTACGAATTAAACAAAAGTCAGAATTACTTGAAAAATCATACTGCTAACTTGCCAAGAGTTATTATAAATATTAATAATTATAAAAACTTTGTAAGTATATATATATATATATATATATATATATATATATATATTTCAATTGCACGGAAGTAAACTAATAAATAACATGTATTAGTTAAATTATTCATACCTCTATAGTAAATGACTGAAGTAAAAGTAAAAATAGATAAGAAATATGAAAATGCGAGTGAAAAAAAGGAACAGTTATGGTTAAAGATATTATAATTATAGCATTATAACTGGTAGTTTAATGTTTGATGGTATCATATTTCAAGAAGTTGCAAGTCTTCCTACACCTAAGGCTAACTCGTACGTAAATGTGATTATAATAAATGCAATATAAGTGTCTACTTCATTCCTTTGGTATACACAAAATTATAAGCACGAAAAAAAATGATACAAGATATTATCATTAATCATTAACTCATGTTACATATATGTATTATTAAACTCATACATACGAGATGAAATTATTAAACAGTGTAACTATCATAATCACCATGAACCTCATAAGTTTCTCGACCTTGAATAATACGCAACGCTTCGGAAAGAGCTAACTCCTGGCTTGAGAATCACCCGAGCGTTAATTAGAATCTTTTTTTACTTCTCTTTAGACCTCATAAAAAATATCATAATTTCATAGAAAATTTTCTCTATTGTTTCTACATTTTTTGGGTCGAAACGGTCAAACATGGTACCATCAAGAGAAATAATTCTGATAAATATTTTCATTATTACATTGCATTATTCTATTTTAATTTATTCATTGACAAACGATTGTTGAAAGAGTTTAATTATTAAATAATTAAATGAATAGCTTGGCAATACTTTTGTTCACTGGGTAGGATATATTTATTCCTTTGATGATAATGA